TGAACAGAGAATCTGTGATATGAAAGAGGGATGTGATGTAAACCTCTAGTTCTCAGGTAGAAATCTAATGAAATGCTCCTTTTGGAGGAGGACTAGCAAGTAACATGGTGAACATCGTTTTTGAGGGCATGAGAACTGTTTCTTTTATTATTCTTTATTTTTTCTTTTGGTCAGGTTTCTGCTAGGATGAACAGGGCAGGATTTTGATGTACTCAAAACAATTTAGCTAAATGCAGAAGGCAGATAATATCTAACTCCATTGTTCAGATAAGGAAACAGATTCAGAGATCGAAATTACTACCTAAGGTCTTAAAGCAGCTTGGTGACCTTTGAATGATGAAGATGCCACATGTTTTCTGTGTTTGACATTGAGGTATGGCCACCATTCCGAAATTTGATTTTTTTGGTTAGAAAAGACCTATCATTAGATAGTCTTATACTGGAAAATAAATCATTCCAAATTCCAAAATGTTTCCAACTGAATGCCATCATAATGCAGTTGTTCTTCCTAGTCTCAAAACAGAAATTTACCTCATATGAAACAGATCATAACATGATCTATTAAACAAGACTTTTTATGCACCAAACCACCAAGTTATCTACACTGTGAATGTGCACTTCTCCCTAAAACATAGCTTCCTAGCAGTCATGCCTTTTTCTTTAAACATTATTTTCTAACTGTGTGACTAACACTGATAAATTTGTGACAAGAGTCTTCCTTGGTGTTTCATCAGCCTGTCACCACTTTCCCTAAATTTGGGTAGTTCTAAGTGAGTGATCTTTCAGAAACACTCCTTACTGGTGTCTGGGTGTGACCACACAACCTAGCCAAATGAGTATTAGAGAGTCCAGCAAACTCTTTGGAGTTGAATGAGGCTGATTTCATATTTTTTCTTAAATCACAGTCATCTAATTATTAAGACTTGGTCATTTTAAGGAAAAAGTGACGGAATTTACTCAAAATGTTTGTGCAATGTAGCCTAATCCTATGGTAACAAAGTAAATAACTGAAAGAACATTTTTTTTCAGTGGAAGAATCATAAGTGTATGACTAAGAAAGATCTCCACTCCTATTATACCTTACATCTCACCAAATACTTGAAGAATTACCCAAAATATTTTTGAGCCAGCTATTTAATGCTCAACAAATTTAAATGTTTGAGGATATAACATTTTATAGAGTTTAGTTTTTCTTCTTTCACATTTTCAACATAGAGAAACACTACATGAATTATTAGGCAATAATGTTGCATTTAACAGTCATCACTAAATTACTCTTCTGTTTTTATCGAGTACTTTTATATGTCTAATCACTTTAGAGGCAATGATAGAAAGGGAATAAAAAGTAAGACATGACTAAGTTTAACAAACAAATGGAAAGTTAAAACTAACATTAAAGGCACAATTAGGCAGTGATAAACAGCAATCTGTAATCAAGTCTTGGATTGTTCAGTAGTCACAGGATGTAGAGAAAAGTTTGGAGAAAGAAAAATCTTTTAAGGAAATTGAGAACGTTTGTAATATTTCCTATCATGATTTTTCTTTTCCAAAATGTAGATTATGAAATCTGGATAAAAATTTTACAACCAGGGCTACTTTATTATTTTAATTTTTTTTCATGGAAAAATTTAAACATACACAAAAAAATAGGAAAATATACCTTTATACACACCACCAAGTCACACTAATAGTTTTATTTTTTTGGAGTATTCTTTCTTGAGATATGTATAAGCTCTCTACCCTTAAGAATTTATCTCAAATCACCTCACAAAGTCCTTCCATGACCATTCTATTCAAAACTGCACCCCTAGAAATCCCTTTACCTCTTCCTTTATCTCTCACATATCACTGTCACCCTCTAACTTCAAAAATACTTATTTCTCATCTGTTTGCAATCCAATGAAGTACACAAAGGCAGGAATTATTAAATCTTTATTAGTATATTCCAGTACCTAACACAATGCCTGATACTTATACACAGAAGGGCTTAATAAACAATCAGTGAATAAATGAATATGTCTTCATAAGGGGAAATGTCCATGATATAGTAAGGTTAAAAAACAGAAAAGCTGCAACACAGTTTGGATAACACTACATGATGCTGGTGCGGGTGGGGTAGATTGTGACAAAGGTAGTAACACTCACCAAATAAGCCTACACTCCACATTCCACACTTCCCAGCTTACTTGCAGTTGGGCAGAGCTATGGTTACTAGTTATTGGTAATAAATCACAAACGGAAGTGAATATGTCAATTTTGGGCTGCGGTAGTAAGAAGTCCATGTGTGGTTTTATTGTCTCTTTCTTTTACTGTTATGGTGACTAAGAGGCCATGTATTGCAGAGTCTGACCACAACAGGATGGAATCTCTAGTCCCCTGGGTCCCAGAATGACTGCATGAAGAAACCACCTAGTGAATCTGTGTAAGACATGTAGCATTAACAAGAAATAAATTTGTTGTTTTAAACCATTGAGATTTTGGAGGCTGTTTATTAATACAACGTAATCTAGTCTATCCTGACAAATTCATGTACAAAACTAGTACTTATTAGGCACTTATTACATGTCCCAGCTATGCTTTATATATTATCTTATTAAACCCTGTAAATTCTGTAAGCCAGTGATGAAGTGAGATAAGAAAAGTGAGGCAGTGTGAAGACAGATAACTGGTCCAAGGCTGCCAGCTGAATGGAAAAGACGGAAATGGAGCCCAGGCAGTCTGGAGTAAGATGCTCTAAGCTGTTAACAGTAGTTATTCTTGAGGGCAGTATTACGAAGATGTACAAATCTTTGATCTGCATTCCTATAATATTGCAATTTGTTAAATAATCATTCATTACCTTTGCAGTAGCTAATAAACAAACTGATAAAGTATAATGTTAGATGATCAGAGACTATAAATTCTGAGATGAAAATCAAGTGACCACAGGAACTTGGTGTAATCAAGGAATGTCTAAAATCAATTCTCCTACTATTTTTCAGCAAACCTGGTTTCATGAATTCCAGCCAATAATAAGCAGAGTCATTTTATATTTCATAATAAAATTAATTCATTTCCCGGAGGACAAGTACTTGGACTCCTACTTATTTTAATTTTTGGCAAGAAAGGAGTTAATAAAATGTCTGTGCCCATAGCAGGAGGACAGCTATAGTTCTGGGAATGTTTTGCAAGTTTTCCAGTACTTGATAGTGCTCTTTAAAAGAAAAATAATAAAGAGCAATCCCTTATGGCTAAAAATAGCTTTATTAAATGTGTATTTTAAATGTTCTATTTAGTCATAACATAAACTACATATGGCATAATATATGATAATGAAGTCCATAGGTAGTTTTTCTAGCTCCCTAGGATCTAAGTCCCCATTTGGGGAACTCAATAATTGTATGACACTTAACAGGAGGAAACCAAAGGCCAAAATACTGGTTTTCTCAGACACTGAGCAGCGAGGTGGCAAACTCAATCAGCTCTTCCCATAGCATGACCTTGGCTGTGCGTCTGACTACCTATCTCTTGATTTCTATCATTTTTTTGAGCCTGGCTCTCCAGCCTTTCCACTGATTGTGTAAACTAACATTCTGCCCAGAGTTGGTTTCTTTCACTTGGAAGCAAGAACCTGACTATCAATCAGTAGTTATTGGCAGTTATATATTTGAAGGCACAGTATTTAAGAGAAAATGAGCCACTTTCAAAGAGTTAAACAAAATCTAAATTGAAAATATGATCATAAACACCGTAAAAACACTTTGACTAGAGATATTTTTCATGCCACCACATTCCTCCCAGATTTGATCTTTTGCTTCCTTTCCAGGACTTTCTGTCATATCTGAGTATTCCCTAATTCTACACATAAATATCTCTAAGCTTAATTTCTAGATTCTTTCATTTATACTATCACAATTTTAAAGAGGTGTCATTATATAACATGATCCACATCAGTAAAAATACTTTAAATTTGTGGCTTCACATTATAGAAAACAAATTACTTATTTCATTAACTTAAGCCCAGAAGTCTACAACAGAAAACAAAGCCTCAACATAAGAAAATGAGAAATATCTACATTTCATGCCCAGTGTCAACAATAATACCTATTTTATCTCATGGTATTTAACAGTCAAAGGAAATAACTGAAGAATATATTTAGACAATTATTTTAAGGTACACATTTCAACAAATCTTACGATACATCCATTGTAAGACGCACCTTTAGTTATATACCACAAAAAAAAGGAGAAATGAGGCAAATTAAAAACTGTAGCACATGCTTTCTTACCTTGTGGCGCTTTTATTTTTAACACCTAGTAAAAAAGCTCTCTTATACTTAATTAGACATGGATTATTATATCCAATTCTTGTGCAAACATAAAGAGGAAAATATAAATTAAAGATTTTCTAAAAACTTCTCATTGAGTCCAATACTCACTCCTAAATCATTTCACAACTCAAACACTGCTATGCGTGTAATGGACAGGAATATTTTACCATATAATAGCCATATAATATCATTATCTGTGCTATTAAATGACATAGCATTTCTTCTCCCTTCTCACCTTCTCCTACCGACACACTTAAACTACAGCTATATACAGAACAATTCCTTCTGAAAGAAATCCAGAAACTAGCTGAACAACTCCTACACATCAGGCAAACAAGAAAAACCCACATTGAAATGGATAGGACAGACTGAGTTACAATCTTTACATAAACTCTACCCCTGGCATGACGACACAAAACTAAAAGGTTCTACTCACAACTCCTAGATTCTCCCCGAGGCACCCACACATTGGTGCCTCAGCTCCTAAAACTTCCAAATGAGATAAATGCCCAAAATATCTAGTTTTGAAATCCAACAGGACTTATATTTTCAAGGTGCTCATGGCTATAGTGAACTAATAGTTATTAAAAAGATCACCCAGATTCACCATAGCTAACCTTCCAGAACTCGGCGCAGAGGCAGCAAAACAAAACACAGCCAATCTTTCCATGAAAGAAAACCATTTCTTACCTGAAAAGTTTCAGGTTGAGGGGAAGGCTTCTGGCACCAACTGCAATACTTTCCGGAGACCACAGACGCTACTGGCTGCCATCTTCCTGCTCTCCATCTGCCTCCTTCCAGGTCGCTGGTATCTCCCAGAGAGTAGCTGATCACATATGTGGTTGCTGTCCAGAGGACACTGCTTGGCTGCCTAGCTCTGGTGGTGAGCAAGGCTCTGTTCATGCATCCTATATGCCTGTAACAAACAGATAAATAGTTCTTACCTGATCATCTTCCCAGGGCACAGAATAGGACTGTGAAGAGGAGTATCTGTTTATCTTAAAAGCTGCAACCTGACGGGCAAGTTTCTAATTTAACACATATCTAGGGACTACTGTAATTGTCTCTGGAGAACAGACAGGCCAGCAGCTCCCTTCTTCACACTCTTCCTCTGCCAAACTCCAGGTTGCCAGTGTTTCTGAAAAATGAACTTATGCATATGACCCATGCTCTGGCTTTTGTGGATACCACCCTGAAGTCATATCCCTTGATAGCATATAGCTCTGCTAACCAACAGGACTGTGTTCATGAGTTCAACAGGAAGGTTGCAAAGGAAGAAACAGTTCTTAATTGTCTATCCCCCAGGTCTCATTGCAGAGAAAGAAAACAGAATCAACCATCCCCCAATCTTCCCTTGAAAGAGACATATTTACATACTTTTAAAAAAAGACTTATTTTTATTTATACAAGAACTGGGGTACAGGCCAGAGGAGTGGGAGGATGAGAGAATACACCAGAGACAGAGTGGGGAACAGAACAGGCAGATGGGCCAAAAACACTGCTGAGGGTAGCAGCGAGTGAGATAGGAGAGGTCTGCCGCACCATGTGGGTAGTTCCCTGGCCGGCCAGGAATCGAACCCACACTGCAGAGGCTGCGGACAGCATCACAGAGCTGCGCTCAACTGTGCCACCAGGGAGGCCCCATATTTACACACTTTAAAAGATGCAATCTGAGGGTTTGGTTTCCAATTAACCTGCTTCTAGTACTGACTCAGAGTCTACTCTCTGGGAAACTAACAGGTCTTGGCACTCAACTACTCAATTAGTAGAAGCTACTTAGAGCAAGGAAGGTAGTTTGGATAATCACAAAGATTTGAGAGACAACTAAAAGCTAGGGCCGGGCTGTATGGTACGGTTCACTTATAATAGACCATTCTTTCAATACTGAGAGAGGCGGCTGTTTCATCTAATATACAGAACCAACCCAGAGTGTCCAGGAAAATGAAGAAAACAATGACATGTTCCAAATGAAAGAGCAAGGTAAACCTCAGAAAAGAGCTTTATAAAATGAAGTGGTTAACTGATAAAGAAATCAAATAATAGTCACAAAATGCTTACTAAGATCAGGAGAACAATGCATAAACAAAGTGAGAAGTTAACAAGGTCAGAAAGTATAAGAAAGCACAAAGAGAAGTCATAAGGCTGAAAAATTAAAAAAATTGAATAGAAGGGTTCTACATCAGACATTATGAAAGAGAAGAAAATATCAACAAACTCAAAGATAAGTGCAGTGAAATTCATCCAGAGGTACAAAAGATAAAAAGAAAGCAAATGAGTGAAGATAATTTAAGGGAATTATGAAACATTAAGCAGACCAACATTGGCATTATAGGACTTGCAGGAGGAGAAGAGAGTGTAAGGGGGCAGAAAACTTATTTGAAGAAATAATAGCAGAAATTTCCATTACATGTCTCCAGATTCCAGAAGCCATCCCAGAGACATCCAGATCCTAGAAGCCCACAAAATTCCACATAAGAGAATCACAAAGAGACCCACACTAAGACATATTACAATAAATCTGTCAAAAGTTAGACAAGATGATTTTAAAATCAAGAGAAAAATAATTTGTTACATACAAGGGGACCTTCAAGAGACCACTAGCAGATTTCTCAGCAGAAATTTTGCAGGCCGGGAGGGAGTGACATGATATATTTAAATTCATAACATAAAGTGCCAAGCAAAAATGCTCTCCCCAATAAAGTTATCCTTCAGAGTTGAAGGGGAGAGAAAGTTTTCCAGAGAGGAAAGAACTAAGAGTTCAACCTGCCTTAAAAGAAATGTTAAAGGGACTTCTTTAATCTGAAATGAAAAGGCACTAGTTAGTAACAGGAAAACATATGAAAGTATAAATCTCACTGGTAAAGGTAAATATGTAGTTATATTCAGGATAACCTAATATTGCATGGGTAGTGGGAAATTAAAAGAGAGAAGTGGTAAAAATAACTAGAATCACACTAATTTGTTAATGGATACACAAGATAACAAGATATAACTTGTGACATCAAAAAAATAAAATATGGGAGGAACAGTAAAAATGTAAACTGCATTGGAAAATAAAGCTTAGTTATCAACTTAACACATACTGTAACAAATAAGATGTTTAAGGAATGTAATCACAAAGCAAAACCTACACTGGATACATAAAAGATAAAGGAATCTAAGCATACCACTAGATAAAATCATCCAATTACAAAGGAAGAGAGCAAGAGAAGGAACAAAGGAATTACAAAACAGCCAGAAAACATTAGCAAAAAGGCAATAAGTACACACCTGTAAATTATTTTAAATGTAAAGAGACTAAATTCTCCAATCAAAAAAGAGCACCATCTATATGGTGACTACAAAAGACTAACTTCTTATGTAAGAATATACAACAGACTGAAAGTGAAGAGATGGGCAAAGATACACCATGCAAGTGGAAACCAAAAGAAAATTTCAATACCTATTCTTACATGAGAAAAGAGATTTTAAAACAAAGACTGTAATGGGAAGCAAAGGAGGGCATTACCTAAAAACAAAAGGGTTAATCTAATCAGAGGATATAATATTTATATGCATCCAACACAGAAACAACTAAATATATAAAGCAAATATTACAGACCTTGGAGGGGAAATACAGCAAGCAATTATACCAAAGGATTTTAATACTCCACTTTCATCAATAAACAGATCATCCAGATAGGATATCAATAAAAAAACACTGGACTTAGATGATATATTAGATCAGATGGACTTAATAGATATTTAAAGTACATTTCATGCAAAAGCATCAGAATATGTATTCTCAAGTGTACATGGAACATTCTCTAGAATAGGTCATATTCTAGACAAGTCTTAAACAAATTTAAAATCGAGGTTAAAATCATAACAAGCATTTTAAACCACCATTGTTTGAAATTAGAAATAAAATTATAAGAAGAAAATTGGAATATCCACAAACATGTGGAGATTAAACACATGCTACTGAATAATCAATGAATCAAAGAAGAAATCAAAACAAATGAAAAATAACCTTAAGATGAATACCAAACATACCAGAAATTATGCAGTGTAGCAAAAACCGTGTAAGAGGGATGTTCATAGAGATACCTAGATTAAGAACAAAGAGTGCAAAAAACAACCACCTGCCTTTACACTGCAAAGAACTAGGATAAGAACAACTAAAGCCAAAGTTATCAGGAGGAAAATAAATATCAAAGTGGAAATGAAATAGACTAAAAAAGACAATAGAAAAGAACAATGAAACTAAACTGTTTTTTCTTTGAAAAAACTGACAAAACTTTAGCAAGACTCCCCAAGAAAAAGAGAAGATTCAAATGAATAAAATCAGAAGAAACATTACATCTGATACTACAGAAATACAAAGGACCAAAGTGACTACTATGAAAATTATACACCAACAAATTAGATAACTTAGAAGAAATGAATAAAATCTTAGAAATATACAACCTACCAAGACTGAATCATGAAGAAACAGAAAATCTGAACATAGTCATTACTAGTAAGGAGATTGAGTAATCAAAAAACCTGCCAACAATATCCAAAATATATAAAGCACTCATACAACTCAATAGCAAACAAACAATCCAATTAAAAGTGAGCAGAGGCTCTGAATAAACACTTTTCTAAAAAAGACATACAGCTAGCCAACTGTAGACAAAAAGATACTCAATGTTACTAACAGAGAAAAGCAAATCAAAACCACAATGAGATATTACCTTGTAGCTTTTAGAATTATTATAAAGACAAGAAATAACAAGTGTCAGGATGCTAGCAGGGAGCAAGGCACAAGGAAGGAAGCTACACAACTTTGGTAAATTACTTCAAGTCTCTGAACCTGTTACCTCATTTGTAAAATGCGGACACGTGTTACTGAGTTAATATGCTTTGGAAATCAGCACTCAGCCCTTGTGCACTGCTGATAGGAATATAAACTGGTGCAGACACTATAAACAAGTATAGTGGTGCCTCAAAAAAATTAAAACTAGAACTACCATATCATCTAGTAATTTCACTTCTGGTATTTATCCAAAGAAAATCAAAACACTACCTCAAAAAGACATATCCACCCTCATATGCATTGCACCATCATGTACAATTACCAAGATGTGGAAGCAACCAATGTTTCCATTGATGGATGCAATGGATCAAGAAAGTGTGGCACATCCACACTGAAATACTAATCACACAAAAAGGCAATTTTGCCATGCACCACAGCATGGATGAACCCTGAGGGCATCACGTTAAGTGAATAAGTCAGAGAAAGAAAAATGCTGTTATGACCTCACTTATATGTGGAATCTAACATACCAAAAACAAATACAGAGATCTAGAGATTGTCATAGGTGGGGGATGGTTCATAAGCAAAATGGTAGGGGTCAAAGGGGACAAATTTCCAGTTTTAAGATAAATAAGTTGTAGAACATTGTGACCACAACTAACAATACCATATTTACTGTACTATATATTTTAAAGTTGCTGAGAGTAGATCTTAAAAGTTTTCATCACAAGAGCAAAAAAAATTGTAACTGTGTGTCTATACACGTCAACAAAACATCAGTTTGCAATATATAAATATATCAAATCATGTATGATATTGTGTGCTTACAAAATATCTCAATTATGTCTCAATTTAAAAAAGAATCCATAATAAAGATCACTAGAGGACACCAATATTCCCATTAAACAAAAAGATGAGTGTAATGGCAGGAATGTCACAGAGAAGGTTCTCTATGATTCTAGCAGACGGGGTAAGGACAGAGTCCAAGAGAGTCCTAGAGCCCTTGGTGGCTTTGGCAGGATTTTATTGGGATTTACCAGGTACACAGCAGGCAGGGGTGCTGGGGGGCAGGGAGGCTGGCAGGCCTCCCAGCCCCCAGCAAGTCTTCACTCTGTCTGGGGTCTCTCGCCTTCTCTCCGCCTTCTCTCGGGTTCTCTCTGCTCTCGTGGTTCTCCTGGCTTCTCCGTGACGCTGCCCTAATAAGCCCAGCCTTAGCCCAGGTGTACCCATTTACGCATGCCCACACCCTACTCCAGGTGTCCGCCATCAGGCATGCATTCAGGACTGCAAGGGTCCATCATCAATGCTAATGGCGGGAGGGCAGAAAAGCCTGATATCATTTACTTACCCTACAAAGAGCTTGTTACCTGGCTACCTGGGACTCCTTATTGCAACAAATTCAATAGGCAGAGGAGGGGGTCACTATATTGGCCAGAGTGTCCGCATTTAACTATTATATTAAGGAGACACTAGTTTCACATGGCACAAAGGAGGAAAGCACAAGATGTTTGGGAGTTCCTCTTGGAATCCTATGTTCTGTTGGAAATGTTATAATAGTTTCACTTTTTGCTAAATTATTACATTTACAGATTCCATTGCTCAGGAGACACTCCCTTGAAAGCACTGGGCCAAGAGTCTGATGAGAAAACATGGCTGTATGTTTAAGATGAGAGGTGATTAACTTTAATAGTCATATACAATTTTTCTATGTATAAGGATAAAAACAAGGATACGGATATGGATGCCTTCAGACTCACTGATGCTTGAAGCTGTGAGAATGCATGAATCCGTAAAAAGTTAACTGAAATTTAAATCTCACAAATACGCAGAAACTATAACTGCAGGAAGACTATACACGGTCTTACACCTTCACACAGTTTTAAAATATAATAATTTGCAATTTCAACAAATTGCAATTTAAGGAAAAAACAAGGAAGGGAAGGTACTAGCTACATGACTATGGTAAATTACTTCAAGTCTCTGAAACTGTTACCTCATTTGCAAAATGGGGACACCTGCTACCTAGTTAAGATGCTTTGGAAATCAGCACTCAGAGAAGTTATTTTACTTCTTTTAACCCAGGGTTTCTCAGTCTCAGCAGGATTGCTATTTCAGGGCAGGTCATTCTTTGTAGTGGGGTCCTGCCCCTCATATTATACTATCTTTAGCAGTGTACATGGTCTCTACCCACCTCCACCCTCTGGACAGACTGCCAGGAACACCTCCCGCCCCTCCTGCCCCCCAAAACAAGAGGTTGAAAATGCACCAGACGTTTCCAAAAGATTTGGGGAGACAAAAATCGCCTCAGCGGACTACCACTGCCCTATTCAAAAAAGCGAGAAATAAAGTGTCTGGAAGGGGTAGAGTTAAGTGGCCCCCACCTCCTGGAAGCAGCCTTTGCGACTGAGAAAACTGGAGTTGAGGGGTTTCTAGCAGCCGGTGCGTGGCCAACGTCCTTTCATGAAATGCTACTCAGGGAAGGGGCAGTAAGAGGCAAACTGAAGAGGGCGAGAGGCCGAGGCTCTGGCCACTGAGTCAAAGCAGCCCGCACCAGCCACCACTTACGCTGCTTAGCGGACGCCTAAACCGGCTACTTCCCGGCGCGGGGCGAGGCTCGGGCTCCGGCGGCGCCCCCGCGGGGTGGAGTCGCAGGACTTGGACGCCGCCGCCCGGAGCGCTGACGCCACGGCAGGCCCCGCCCCCGCGACCCCGCCCCGCCCCCGGAGCGCCGCCCCCGCCCGCCTGCGCGCGCCCTGCGTCAGCGGGCCGGGGCGGGGTGGAGGCGTGGGCGCTGCCACGTCTCGGCGGGGGCTCGCGCGGCGCCTGCAGCGGCGGCGACCGTGGCGCGGGAGGCAGCGGAGGAGGTGGGGCCGTCGCGGAAGCCGGATCCGGATCTAGGGCTGTGTGTCCGGGTGGGTGAGAGTCCAGCCGGCTGGGAGAGGAGCGCCGACTGCCGGGCCTCTGCGGGTGAGGGAGTCCGGAGGTGCGAGGGCAAGCGCGGGGCCGGCGGGCGTCCGGGGCTGGGCGCGGGCCTGCTGCAGACCGAGCGAACAGGTGTGTCTGCCGGCCCCGGGCGGGCGAGCTAGGCCCGGAGCGGGCAGGGGGAAGGTGGGGGCTCCGTCTGAGAACCTGGCGTTTATCCCCGCCAGCGGGTGCACATGGGCTGTGAAACGCGGCTCCGAGCTAGGTGAGCGGGCGGGCGCCCGGGGCGCAGGTTGAGGATGGTGGCCGTGGTCCAGGCAGGCAGGGGTGGCCCTGGCAGGGTCGGAGGAGAGACTGGGGTCGGAGCGCACTTTCGCTCACCATTCTTTGGCGTGGGGTAGGTATCCAGGCTGTTGCTGCTAACAGTCGCTTCCTCCCTGGGTTTTGAATGGGTATGAACGCTCCAGCCCCCTGTCTCCCCCTTCCTTTCCGAGGCGCACCCCGAGGCTGTCGCGAGCCACTTGAGGACATGCTGCTGCTCGGAAGAACATCTCCTGCACTGCCTACTTCGGGACTTTCGCTGCAGGGAAAGGACCTCCTTTGTCTCCTTTCCCGGGGCTTTTTAGCCCTAGAAACACCGAGGGCTGTGATTTCTGTTGTGGGAACTCTTGGTTACGTAAACCGAACTCTTAAAAAATTTCGTACAGAATTGAACGGGCGATTATGGAGCTAAGATAGCCACTCATGGACGAATCTTAGAATGGGTCAATTCTATTTAGGCAGGATTCATGGGTTTCCCCCCACCCCCCCTCGGAATAGTGGAGACAGAGCTACCTGTCTCTGGTACTCTTGACGTCTGTTGAGTATTGTAGAGCTCAAGTTGGGGGGGAAAAGATAGGAGGATTCTAGTCCTAGTTCATGCGTTTGTTGTGCTACCTTGGGGTCAAGTCCTGAATGCTCCACGTGCTCCCGCTTCTTGCACGATAAACTAGGAATAGATTATAAGGATCAAATAAACTACTAGAAAATACTTTGGAGAAGTTTCAAGTGTAGTTGCATAATTTTATATGACCGGCTCTGTTAGAATCAGCGAATGAAATGTTTAGACCCACACGTTAGTCAAGTTACTTTAAAAAATGTATGTTGGAGACAACCCTAACGTCTCAAACAAGCTCTCCCCCCAGCGGGTCCCCCCTCCCCCGCCCCCCATTCATTATGTGCTAAGGTGTTGTAGTTACTCTCCGGGAGCTCTTGGTATATATATATATATATTGGGCAGTTTACTTTGGCCTTAGATTATGCATTTAAAAATTTCCTATCAACTTAAAAAGAAATCTCCATTCCCAGTATTACTTGTTGCTCAGTTGCTTTCTTGTAGCAGCAGCTCCTCCCCATTTGTATTCTAATCAGCTTCGATGCTGGGAAAAAAAGCTGTTGAAATTGTGTCCAGATAGTCACAATGAAAACCTAATGTGATCACAGTATTTGATGTATGGTTTTGTGATCTCACTTCTGGCAGTTTCGGGATTTTTTTTCTTCTGGATTTTTTCTAAAATACCATTATTTCTTTACTAGACAATTATTGGGCTAAAGTTAGACTACTGCGGGCCTTGTAAATGCCTGCTAGTTTAGAAGTTAAAGGAGTTTGAGAAATAGTTAAGGAAGGTTAGGGTTTAAAATTAATCCACAATCTTTAAAATTTAAAACCCAGGGATAATGGTGAAATGCAGCTTCAAACAAAACAATTCTATTTACTGAAATGTCCTAGTTCTATAATAACTATGGGCACTTTAAGACACTGAAATATTTCTTTTGTAAGCTACATAAATTTGTTTCATTCTTTTCTAAAATCTTTTGAAATGTTATCAAATCACATCTTTCTTTAACTTGTCCAGCAATTGGGCGTTAGCAGAGTTTTACTATTTGGAGGTGGAGTAAAAGTATGGTATACCTTACAGATGGCTGTTTTGTAAAATAGCTCTTAAGAACTTTTTAATATTAATTTCTGACTTTAATATTTAATTTCTAAGGGGATTGTCATTTACATACAAGATGTTTGGTTTAATGCATTTTGACTAGTCTGAAATCCTGATTTTCCAAATATAAGTTACAAGTCATGTTTTTTACTATATTTTCAACATTTGTACAATAAAGTAGGAAATTTATTTCACTGTGAGTCTCCAGTACTAAGTACACTCCGGAGTCATACAACATAATTTGTGGTAATCCACACTAAATGAAAATGCACAGCTACCCATTAAAAAATTATTAAGAATTTAAAGAGAGTGGTCACAGAGAATTAAACCAAATGTAGAGTCCTGAGCAAATTGCATGAGTCCAGTGCCATGAAGTTGTTCTTTTACCTGACTTTGAATCCTAACTCTGTTGCTTGTTGGTTACCTTGAGCAACTTAATGTGCTTATCTCCTCCTCTGTGAAATGAGGATAACACATTTTTCATTGTATTTTTTAGTTAAATATAAAGCACTCGTCAAATGTTAGCCAATATCACTTGTGATCATTCGACTATTTGGTTAAAGAAAAGCACAGCAAAAATATTAGTATTTACTGTTTTAAATTTATTAAAGTCTTTGCAATCCTAATTCTACTTTCTCTCCTTTCTCTGCCAGAAATTATACACCCTATCTTGCATGTTGTGTTTATTCTAAATCCAGCTCTGTAAGAAAAAGGAATCTGGTTAACATTAAATGTTTTTAATGTTTATCTGAATTCCCTTTAAATAGCATGAATGTCTCAAATGTTTAAATAGTGTGTTTTCTTGAGGATCTTTAATTTTTAATTGTTTTTGGCTTTTGCCAAAATGTGTTCATTTAACTGATAAATATGTAGCCTATTTATTTGCATATCTGGAAAACAATCACCTTGTTAACCATCTGCAGATGAGAGTACACCCAAAAAGCCTCAGGGGCCCAATTATCAGTGCCAAATGCTTAAATCCATGTAGTAAAATTACTCTATGAAAATCTGTTTTTAATGGACTATAACTTTGTTTAATTTGATGATTGTTTTAATTATCACAATTTATTTCCTTTACTGTTCTTAGAACCAGATATAGTGTTTATAGTACAACTATATTTGAGCACTTTTCAAGGGGAAAAAAAAAATCACAATATTCTACATAATATACTATTTTTTAATTTTCTATCCAAGAATGCTAACTCATTTTGCATAAACATAATATATAACCTGTCATTCTTTTTGTAGCCCCTGTCCCTAGACAGTGCCTGACTCATGAATTAACTTAAAGGTGAAAAAAATGAAGAATTTATAAAAATGAATTTTAAATTGCTAACTATAAAGCATATTGTGTTGAACACTTAGGCACTATCTAGTGCTTGCATACAATAATTGATTTCATATTCCCAATAACTACCTCCATTTTGCAAATGAATAAACATTCTCAGAGTTTAACTACCTTAACCATGACCACACCATTGACATTTAAACATCAGGTCTGACTCCAGAGCTCATGCTCTTTCCATGCCTGGGTTTAAATTCTAGCTTCACTAATTTTCTCACCTTGGGCAAGTTATTTAACTCATTTGTGCTACATTTCCCTGTTAAGATGGAGGTAATTAGGATTGCTGGAGTAAATAAATTAGTATGTAAAGTTCTTTGAACAATGCCTGGCACTTAAGTGATCTTACATTATTAGACCACAATATCTTCCCACAGCCTCTACTATACAGCATAACCTTTATAGCTTAGCATAACCTATGTCAGGTTACATAGGCAGAAGTTTTATATGCCTTTAAGGAAAAATTAGAGATAATTGCTCTTAAACATATTATGAAATAGGGATTATCTGGGTTATTGGGAAAATTGTTCAGTCATTAAGTGGACTTTAATTTTTCCTGTATTGCATCTTTGTTTTATGGTATATGTTTGTATCTTTAAATTCTTTGTTTCAAAGAAGACACAGGCAGGTATTGAATAGAATAGCTTCTCTAATTGGGTTTAGGACTAAAAATCAAAGTTGGGAATTGCTTTATAGTGCCCTAATAATTGGTAGGAAGACTCTGGGTCTCTGTGCTCTACAGAAGTCTCCCATTTTTATCCTTTATATAATTTTCCCCCTTCTATCATCATGTCTGTCATCTGTCCTTTAGTCTCAATTTTATTAGACCACAACTAGTAGAACCTGCTCATTTATCAAATGTTCAAAAAGAGTATCATAATCAAATATACTTTGTGTGAATCTGTCATAGCTGAGACTAAGCATTATAGTGAATGTAGATAATAATTTAAGCCATCAATTCATCAATTAATTTAAACAATCAAGTTCATCAATTATGGTTTGTTCACAGTTCATATAAAAAATAAGTTGCATGCTGAATAAGTCTTCCTTAGTGGTAAGACCCACAAATAATTTATTAGCCCCATGATAAAATTCAAGAATATATGATGAAATAAGTCAGAGGGAAAAAGAAAAATATCTGATGGTTTCACCTATAGGACGAATATAGGGGAATCAAAAAGGCATCAGGGAAAAAAATAGTAATAAAAAACATAGCAAAACAAAAATAAACAGACAACTATAAATCAAAAACATTCTGCAGGAGAGGGGGAGGGAGAGGGATCAAAACAAGGGAGGGAAGAGCACAAGGGACTATGGTGATGGTGCACTGGTGAACTGGTTGTGGAAAGTCTATGGGGACTACACCTGAGAAAAGAAAACAAACATTGTAAAAAAAATGAATAATGATGTAAAATATAAATAAATTGTATAGCAAAAAAAAGGTAGGAGCCCATGAAAAGCCAGTTATCCAGTGCTGCACTGGTAGGACCAATCCATGAATAAAATATTTTAAAAGACTTACTATGGATTCTTTAAAACTTTTTTAATTTAGTCACTTCTTTACTATTTGATTGTAATCATGAGTTTTCAATTATCTGTAGTTGTGGCATTTGGTGTTATGATTCAGGATATGGTTAAAAGAAAGATTTGTATGTTATTTTTCTGATTCTGATTGCACTAATGTATATTAAGAATTTCAGTGACTAATAATTCTTCTATAAAAATGCTTTAACATTTAAAATTTTATTTTAGACCTTTTTGCAAAAATGAAGCCTGATGAAACTCCTATGTTTGACCCAAGTCTTCTCAAAGAAGTGGACTGGAGTCAGAATACAGCGACATTTTCTCCAGCCATTTCCCCAACACATCCTGGAGAAGGTTTGGTTTTAAGGCCTCTTTGCACTGCTGACTTAAATAGAGGTATGGACTTACTCAATTTAAAGATAGTTAAAAGATAGTTAATTATACTTAGCATCCTATTTTCTTCACAAACATTGATACTGATAATTTTTTTAAATATTTGAATTTTGGATTTTTTTGTACTTGTAAAGTAACTGAGACATTCAATTCCAATGTGTATATATCATGGCTAAGACAAGACGTTAATGTGAAACATTTCAAATGACTGAAGTACAACATTTCAAATGACTGAAGTACATTTCAAATGACTGAAGTCATTTCAAATGACTGATAATTTGCCTTAGGTAAACTGCAAAAGGCTTTTTCTAAATGTACATTTAACATATAAATTCTCCAAATTTCCTTAAATTTTGGCTATCAAAAATCAACTTTTCAGTTTTATTTTTAATAGAAAATCCCTCTGAGAAAACTATTTTTGTTCCAATTGTTGAGTGCAGAAGATTCTTAAAATTCTAACGTAATGAAATTAACCAGAAATCTTTTAAAAAAAAAAAAATCTGACTGTAGATTTGAGGCTATCTGGTGGGGTAGTAAAAGGAGAGAGCAAATCAAAGAGGGAATACAGTGGACTAGGATGGATTTTTGGTGCCTTAGTGGTGGATATGGTGTGGTAATATGCACCTGAAAGGTGTGATCCTATACCTCTAAATGGTGTAAAGTGTTGTAAAAGTGTTATCTCAAAAAAAAAAAAAAATTATCTTCTAACCATGTTACATCATTTATATTTATCTTACAAATATTAGTATCATATTTGACCAAATATGACAAATATGATAAGAATTTTGTATTTTAAGAATACATTCTAAGAATCTTGTATTTTAAATAAAACCAAAGCACGTATTTGGGGACCTTGGCATCCTTTGAGTTGACTTTAATGCACATTAACATTGAAAAATGTACATGCTGATCCTGCAAGTATTGACTATTAAACTATTCCAAAACCCCTGGTGAAACTATTCTTTGATATGTAGTGATTATAGGAAAAATAATGGGTTTAAGTTTTTAAGTAATTTTAGTATGATTCATTACAGAAAGTTTTGAAAAAATAACTGACTGTAATCCCACCAGCTTAACACATTACCTTTTTTTGGCATATCTTCCATTTACTCTCTTCATGACTTTTTGTTTTTCATAATTAGGTTTTTTTAAGGTACTAGGTCAGCTGACAGAGACTGGAGTTGTTAGCCCTGAACAATTTATGAGTGAGTATTACAGCCTCTTTTCTTTGTTTAGAGGCCTTTTCATTGGTGTTTTTATTCAAATAACAAATGAGGTATTTTCTTATATACTTAAACATGGCTAACATTCTAGAATCCAAATGTAGCAATTAACATGTTTACAAAATACTTGCTTTTAGATAATTACTATAGTATAGAATGTAGGCACAGCTCTTGAAATTTTTTATTGTAGTATTTCTTTTCATGTGTTTAGGTTATTCACAGAAATTTTGATTCACTAAATAAAAAATATAAGAATATGTTATATTTTTTGGGTTCATTTATATTGAATTTGAAGGTTAGCAAGTATCTTAAGTTATAGTTCAACCCTCTTTTTTTATGTACACATGAGTGGAAATCCAGAAGTCAGTGGCTTACCCAAGGCCATGGTTATTGGTAAGGAAATGATTAGTACACTCTTTACTGCATCCAGTGCTCTCACACTATCTTTTCCTGCTTTTCCTGTTTAATTTCTTCATTTCCTTCAATAGGTAATTTTGTTTGGTACTTTACTAATCCTCCTGAGGTGAAGATCATCATTCTTGTTCTGTTTATTTTCCTTCACTGAATTTATTTTCTACCCAAACCAGATCCTCCTTCATAGCATAAAACGGTGAAAATAGTATGTGAGACTGTTCAGCTCAGTTTTTATTTGATTCCTCTTTGCATCAGATTCAGTGAGAGACCATGTTATTTCAGCAATATAAGTACTAAACATCTACTTGAGGAGAACGTGTTTTTTCCATCTTTGCTCCTATTTGCAATGTGCCTTTCAGAAAGTAATGTAGAAAGAGACATAACTTTTGACTTACTTCACAAGGTGCTGTCAAGGCAAACAAAAATGATTTCTAAAAAAGGCAAGTTATATAATCACGAAGCACTTGAGGTTACAAGGGGAAAACTGAAAACTATTTTGTCAAGATATTTTGAAACCAAAAAACTAAACATTATAGAATGGTGCCATATATAGACAATCGCTTGTTACACTGGCTGTTTTGTTCTGTTTATCTGTTGAGTGTAAAGGTTAAAGAAATTGATTTATTAAAGTTTTTTCATCTTTTCATCTTAAATAGCTGTATTACTCTCTATTTTGTGAGCAGCATGAGCTATATCCAGTTTATGATTTTTAATATTTAAACTGTCATTTCAAGTATTTTCTTTAGAACAAAGTATCAATTACTTTATTGAAATACCTCTAAATATTTATTAATGAAGTCAGCTAACTGTAGTTTCTAGCAATAAGGTGTAATATGTAGCACATAATGCTTTTCCAATTTTCATAGAATCTTTTGAGCACATGAAGAAATCTGGGGATTATTATGTTACAGTTGTGGAAGATGTGACTTTAGGACAGATTGTTGCTACAGCAACTCTGATAATTGAACATAAATTCATCCATTCCTGTGCTAAGGTATGTGTTCATATTGATACTCATGTGTAAAACGGAGAGGTGTTTTCTAGTAACACCAACTTTTGAGTTTCCATTAGTCTTTTCGCAGTGCTTTTCATTGTAAAATGAGAACCATATTGCTGTGTAAAGGTATTCCTTCTTAGAAATCACTTAGAACAGGCATTTTCCCATTGTCTCCTGAGAGTTATAGGAAAGAAATGGTACCAATAACATTGTTTGCTAGTAAATTGTTCAGTAAGGTGTTAGATTTGGTATAATGAAGCGAAGTCCTCACTGTAAAATATAGCAGTAACATTTAACATCCGTAATGCTATTTTTTCCCTCAAAAATACCTTGAATATACCTCATCAGCACAAATTCCAATCAGTTTCCAAGCTATAAAGGATTCAGAATACTATTCTAACTGTGACACTTATAATGTCTGAAGAGCCACTTTACTCATGACTGAAGAAAATTTAGGTAATCCGATGAGAATAAGAAAATCTGCAACGTAATCTGTTAAATATGACTTATTATGGTGTTTCTGGGCTAGAAATTAATAAATTATATTTAGCTATCTGAAGTAAATTACTATTAAAGAACAAGGTAATGTATGCTTGTGTAAGATTATATTTTGAGGATATGGATTCTGAGATTTGCTTTAAAACAGTTAGGTGAGGAGGCTATATAGGAACTAGGCAAAGCAAGAACATCAGCCTCTAGGTGATTCATTGTATTTCCTTTATAGTAATAAGTTTAAAAAATGCAGTTGGGTTTTTCTCAAAGTCTAGCTTACAAAACTTTTTTATCAATGAGTTTTTACCACTGTCCCTTGTTGATTCAGCTAAAACCAAAACTACATGCTTAGTCCTTTCAACATTGTTAATTATTTTCAGAGAGGAAGAGTAGAAGATGTTGTTGTTAGTGATGAATGCAGAGGAAAGCAGCTTGGCAAATTGTAAGTAGGCAGAAACAAGGTAACTCTGGATAAACTAGATACTCAGTGTTGCAGCTGATAGTTTCTGGCCAAGATAACTTATTATGAATGTTTTCCTGTTTGAAATTCTTTGTAGATGTCATTCATTATGAACCTATTCTCTCTCTATACTTAGACTGAGTTTAAAGAAGAAATAAATCATTTATATTACTTTTATCAAGTTCAGAAGTTGTATGTTTATTGTTTTACAGTTACATCTTTAACTTCAAATAGTATCTTTCTATCAATAGGAAATAGAAACTGTCCATGTCAAAAGATTTACTCCAGTTTCGCTCATATTTAAAAACAAGTTTTAGAAACACATAATGAAACTTCATGCACTGTATAATCATTTAAATATTTAGTGATAGGTTTATACAGTGAATGCAGTTGCAATAATTTAAACTATTTAAATTAGTCCCTACATAATCCTACATATTAAAGATAAATATAAACCTTTCAAAATAAATTTAAGTTTCACAGGTTTGTTACCAATTTTATAAAATAGAACTTTATAATTACCTCTACTTTTAAGAAATTCACTCAACAAATATTAAGCACTTGCTATTGAAGGTATTTTGGATATGTCACAGAACCAAAGAGACATACTTTAACTATTCTAGCCCACTAGTCATACCATTCATGATTTTATATTATCAATCAAGATGTTGTCTTCACAATATGATTTTTCAGCCTGTGCATGAGAAGAACTCTTCAAGTAAAATTTTGTACATCTTTTTTAGTATTCTCCTGCCCCTTCCCGCAGAATCATTCTGTTCTAGGTTTAGATACTATAAGGATTCCTAAAAATGTATACTTGTTTGCTTTGTTTCCACTTCATATTAGATAAGTCTAGAGTTAATCTGATACTTTTTCCACAGATAGTAGTTTAATAAAGATGATAAAGAACAAAGGTGTTATTTACCCATATTATGTGGGAATGTTGACTGCTCCTAAGTAGTTTGAATGAACTTATTAGTAAAAATAAATAAATAAAAGACCTTTAAAAAATAATTCTGGCCATATCTTGTAAAAGGTTTTCAGTCTTAAGTGTTAACATTAATCTTAAAATTTATTTTTAAAAAAGAGCTTTTAGGATGAGTTTAGTATTTGTCCTATATATTCATGAAAATTACTGGAGTATTTTGAAACAAAAAGCTTCGGTGATTAAAGCTTATATTTAAATGAATACAGTGGGAAAGGCCATTCTCTAAACCTATTTTGTACTATAAACTTGAAATTTCAAGTAGCATTCACTTACATTAAATGACTAACAACCATTTAACATACCCCCCCTTTTCTTTCTTTTTTGTTTAAATTTCAGGTTATTATCTACCCTTACTTTGCTAAGCAAGAAACTGAACTGTTATAAGATTACCCTTGAATGTTTACCACAAAATGTTGGTTTCTATAAAAAGTTTGGATATACAGTCTCTGAAGAAAACTACATGTGTCGGAGGTTTCTGAAGTAAAAATCTTTTAAGAAAGACATCAAAGGAGCTTATGCAACAAGGTTATACTCTTCCTAGAGTCAAAAATGTTTGTTGCTGCAACCCAGTGACCTCCATAAATACTGAATTTAAAAAAAATTGTAATACAAGTATAATGACATTTAGAAGATTACTTTGGGCTGGTGGGACATGCTATGTGTTTAGATTACAAATGAATATTATAATGGGGATGATTTTTAACCAAAGGAATATATTTTTAACTTGAATCTTTTCTTGCATTGTATTTTTCTAAAGTTTGGCTTCATTTCTTGGTAGTCAAGAATAGAGGTAATAAGGAGTTATGTCTACTATCATTACTGCTCATTTGAAAAAGTATCTAATGAATAATGCCGTTCTCATATTCATAAAATTTTGTTTCAAAGAAACATATCTAAATACCACCTAGGGGTATATTATTTCCCAAATGTTATATGAAATTGGGTAAGTTAGATACATGAAAACTAAATGTAATGCAATTCAACATTTATTGATCCTAATACTATATTGGCAAACAACCTGATCAGTGTTTTAAAGAAGTAAAAATGAAAATTAACTTTTAAAATGTGACAAGATTCAAACAATTTAAATGTACATCTAAAGTTTATATAATTCTAATGTAGTTTATCTCCATTATATGTTACCTGTCTTACATGTGAAAGATAATTATTCATTTATTTAAAAATACCTTAGAGCCAATATTAAGTACTTTAAAAACAGTGAATTAGCAACTCCTGGCATATTATGTATTTCTAACTTGATCTCTCATCTTTTCACGAGTGTCTGAAGCCTCTCTTAGTAACATTTTTATGAAAAATAGATAATTACAAAAATGAGAATATTTAAAAATGTACCATACTGTATTGGTTACATTCTGAAAATGTTGATGAAAGCTTTTCTATTTAATGTGATCATAATAATGGTACTATTATTCTGGTCAGTATCCTGATTTGATTTTATTTATTTTAATTATTTTTTAAGTAGAAGAATTAGATACTTTATCAGTGGTTCTAATCTTTTGCATTCCATGGTACATTAAACCTGTTCATATGATAAATAGTGTTTTGTTAGAATCCTAATGTTGTCTGCACTTTTCTTGAATCTCCTGTTTAATTATTAGGTCAAGTCATGTCTCATAAAATTTTAATATTATGTACTCTTTGTAAAATGATTTTGGAAAGTAAAAATGGCCTGTTTTTCCATCCCTCTAATTAGAACCTACCTCAACTGGATTTCAGATTTCCCTTCATGTTATAAGTTAGATTTCTGATAAAACATAATAAACCCTTCTCCAATAATGGGTGCACTACTTATCTACAGATGACCTGTTTAGATGAACTGATCTCTATCTAATTAAAGCAACACTAGCTTTGCCTTTTTGGGAGTCTTGTAACCTTAGCACAACAGTACCATTTTTAGGTACATGCTGGCAATTATAAACTGATGTGTATAAGCCTGGTAAAAGGCAAAACAATGTTATATTACTTTCTTACCACTGAAAAATATGAAGTAAAACTGTCTACAAGGTTTGGTATTTTAATAAATCCTTTAAAATAATGTTCTTATTAGATCTATAGGAAATATAGGTAAGGCATAGTATATGAATATTGTGTGATTGAGGATGATCTGTATTTAGCTTTAGTTAACCAGAGTATATGTATCATTTTCTCAGCCACACTGAGTAAATGAATATGACAAAAAGCTACATGAAAGCATTGTTTGCTTTTGAAAAGGTATAATGAAGTGGGTGGCAGTTGTGATTTTTATTGTGCCCCTTATGTTCTACATATTTGTATTTCATTAACTTTAAGATGCAAGGTTTTCTTTACAGTTTCAAAAATCTGGATGCATTTTATGATCAATGGCTTGTCATACTTCAGAAATATTTTGTCTTTTTAGTGGTATCTAAAATAATGACATAAAGATGGTCTAGTGATGACATCTTTAGATTTGATGAAAAATACTAAGTATGTAGGTAGGTTCAAAGGGGGGGAGAGGGTACTTTGTGTAAAAGCAAGCAGTATTTTTAAAATGGGTTGGAAGGTACCCTACAGAAATAATTTATCCTCTGCCTTCAGAAACTAATTCCCTCACTTCCCACTCCAAACTTGTTCAAGCAGTCTTTAAAATATACTTGAGCTGAAATCTGAACTTTGCATGAACTTACTGACACTAATTTTTTAGTGTGTGACCACAGTGTTTTGGAAGATACTCTTAAGTGTTTCTCAATAGCCAGTATTCATTCATCCTTCTTAATCTGTGGGAATAAAACTGGGTTACATTTACCCAGAAGACAGTAATCTAAAGTTCTAAAAGGCACAAGCAGTATAAATGAGCTTTTCAAGCTTTTTGAGGTACAATGGCACAACAGTTTTAATACAACCACCAATCTTCACAAAATAATTTTAATACTTTGTGCCTGGGCTAGCAGCATCTTGCACTGTGACATTCCTATACATACATAAGCATTTTATCCAAGTACAAATGTTAAAAGCAGAGTAACTTAAGCATTGCCTATACAAAGGTAACAGACACTGTAGGTTATTTTTCTTGAATCATTTTTGCTGCATAGTAAATTGCAATTACATGTCAGTATAATGTTACTGATCTATAGAATACACTTTGAACTGTGAGGTATGGCAACTCCCTACAAGAGAGAGCTAACATGTAAACCTGAATATTCTGAGTGATTTTTTTTTTTTAGCTGCCATGAATGGGTAAGACAAAAAAGGAAAAAAAAAAATCCAGCATTCAAAGACCCTAAAAACTTATTTTTCTAATCAATAAAAAAAAATCATTTAGTAATTCTCAGCTATTATTTCCTCACTGGAGCATTGTTGAATGGACAACGATAAAATAAATATTGACGTGAAGCTAAGTTTGTAATGGAATTATGGGTTAAACCAGTTATTTAAAAGAAAAATCCGCCAGGTAACTGCTCATTTACTTTACATCAAGTTGAGATCTCAATATATATAGATACAGACATCCCAACTTTATAATTCAAGACTGCAGTTAAATACTTCTAATTCACTTGAATTACCATGGTAATAAGACAATTATAAACCTTATATTTTCTTAAAAAGGACATGCTTTTTCTGACATTACTTCTAAACTCAGATGAAGCACAAAATACCCTCAAAACAAACATATTCTGCTCTAAAAGTTAAATGGTTGAGAGTTGGTAGCAAAAGCTATCACGGTTTAACATTTCCACCATAGCATAGTATTAAAATAAAAGTAACTGCTGTTTAAACATCTAACAGATATGAGATTAACATGAATTAGTTATCTGAAATTAGAATACTGCCATTCCAGTTTGAATATTTAAGTTACATACTTTCAAAATGGACAGTAAAGCAATTTTCCTATGTTTTGATGCAATTTCACTTTAAGTTTTGTGCCCAGATTCAACTTAATGTTTAAAATTAGGTGCTACATCATTCATACATTATTCAGATATCTTAGAAAGTAAATCATGATTGGTTAAATCACTGTAGTTAATGATCACAAAACATCAGTGGAAATAAAGGAATTACAGAAATGGAACCAAACAGAAGACTAGTTAAGAGTTAGCAGAACTAGTTGAACATTAGGTGGAAGAATAAATCTAAGGTAAAACAAACTTGCAATATTCCTATATAAAAAGAATAAACCATGTTTGTCCATATTAATAAATGTACTCAAGAATATGACAGTCCCTTTTCCTAGTGTTTGTGAGAGATGGTCTTTAATATATAGTGCTGGGCAGGCACTTTAGTGATGACATAAAAATTATAGTGGCTAGAAAAAGTGGAAAATTACCAGTTATAAATTAAATAACCAAATCTGTATTTTTAGTTAGATTACTAGAGAGGATATGTGTATTAAGAAACTAATTTTAAAAATCTTAAGTGTCTCATTAAAAAACCTAAATTTGGTATTGTGAAGATTCTTTGAAACAGTTTCTGCTGAATGAAGCATCATAAGATTACAAGAGAGATGTTGCTGATCTATATACAGGAGAGTTCTGTTATCTGGCACTTTACCAGTTGGAAGTTCTGAACACTCAATGCAAATTTTGACTACTTAGACCACTGTACCAAATAACCTAATCACACAACAGAATACCAGACCACAGTGGGATTAACAATATGCTCTTTTTGGGGTGGTAAAATGAGAAGGGAAGGGAAATCAGATTTCTTGGGTCAACAGGAATTAATAAAGCAAGTTTAATTCATTTTGACTTCCGCTATGCTGGAGGCGGTGTGTGTGAGGAGCTCTATTATTACAGCTTAGGGAGGAAAGCAAAGCAAGTAACTTGATGTAATAGGTTACCTAGAATAAGTACCTTTTGGTACCAAGGGAATGTATGGACATCATTCCCAACAGTAAAGCACCTCAAGAGAGGATTGAGAAAAGTGAGATACAAAGGAGTTTTGTTTGTGCTCCAAATCACCTATAAAAAAGTTAAAAACACTCCTCTCCTTCCTCACGTCATACTTAAAATAGCAAAAATGTTTTTCTTAGAACCTTTTTTATATGTATAAATAATAATAGGAGAACCAAGGGTCCATAAAGTGACTTTGCTAAACACAAATTATGGGGGAAATTTATATTAATTCAATGTAAAGAAATGATTAAAAATATTAATTTAAAATACACTGAAGTCTCCCACAAATCACTTTCCCCAATAAATGCATTTTCAAAGAAGAGCTTCTGTCTGAGCCAGAACCACCTCACAGAATCATTAAGACAAGCATAAAATGAAGGAGTAAATGTTCCATATTCCAAATAGTTTACTGAGGTTTCTTTAAACCTCATACACTGTTTAAACTAAATGATGGTTAAAAAAAAATACAAAAAATGTTAAAGAATTTTTACTGTCCTACATACTAATTTAGAGGTCATAGGATTTATTTATTTATTTTTTTAATGATACAAGGCACTTTTCTTTTTTGGGCTTCATTTAGGAAAAAAAAATAGTGCTACATACGTTTATCATATTCTACTTAGAACCATTTTGGAACAACAGGAAAAAAAGGCTAAACAACTCTAAAAAGAAAAAAACACAACATTTGGCTTTTGAGAAATGCAAAAAGGAAAGTCATCTTAAAATCTGCAACTGTTTTTGAGGACCTGGTATTAAAAAGAAAAATATCATCCTTTGTTCATTAAACTTTGCAGTTCTTTTCTATAGAATAAAATTGGGAAGGTAATAGGAAGAAATACTTGGATCGTGTTAAAGTAAGGATAGTTAGCTAACATCATGATTTTATATTAAGAAGGGTTCAAGAAGTTTAAAAAAATAAAAGGGGAATTAAGCTATTGAATTATACTAAAAAGGAATGCAGCAGAGTCCTGCATTTGTTAATGTTTCTGTAAGAGGCTCCACAAAATTGAACTGTAAAATTATTTTTAAAATGTAATTTATAGAACACAAAATGAATTTTTAGCAAATTTTAGGAAATTCTTTTGTTATAAATTACCCAGATTTTATAAACAAATCCCCCCTAACTTGCATTTTGTTTAAAGTAATAACTTTATATCATACAAATAAATTTCAAGTATGAAAAGTGCATTATTGCAATAATACCTCTTTGCAAGTCCAAAATTCTTGGTTTATAATAAAACTGTGAAGTTAAAAAAAAAAAAAAAAAAAAAAAAGAAAAACCATCAGTGCCATCTATTGAAGAAGTCCAACATCTTAAAATGTTGCTTATCAAATTGCAGAGAAACACATCTGGAAGCAACATATAATTGGAAAAAAAAAAACTACATGTGTTTTTACCATTTTACATTATTATTGTCTCTAGTATCTTCTCTTTTCCAAATAGAAATTCACATCCTCTTTAATGTTGCTCTTGAGTCAACCATTCTGTGCAGTTGCCACCTGCATGTTTCCAAAATCATCTTCTTCTTCATGTGTTCTCTTCAAACTGCCTAAAAGTTATTGCATGAACAAAATATATAGTGGGGACTTAAATATATTCATTTGTTTGAATATCATAGCTAATAAACATTTCATTTTTCATTATTGCCATTACATGCACGATGAAAATTCCATGACTGAATTTTTAGATAACTTTAGTAAATTCTTTTTCTACAGATTACCCAAATAATTTTATATCTTAACAAAAGGATACATTTTCCCTCTTGAGAATTATGTCTTAGGTATTGCACATAATAAACATTAATTTTTAAAACAATTTGCAAATAAGTTTTTAAGATAATGGTATATAAATGTTTAATTACCAAGTTTATATCTTTTAAGATCATAAATGTGACCTAGGCTATATAATTTAAGAAATTAATTTTATATGTATACAAATTAATTCTGTAGATACAGTTACCTTTTTGCTTTCACAGATGCTGCTGAAAATATTTTTCCACTGACACTGTGGTTTTATTACCACTAAGTCTATAGTTGGAAAGTAGGAAATCATGTAGCATGTAAAGAAGAGATTTGCTTTTATCTACTCTATGTCAGAGTCTGCTAATACAGAAATTTCCCAAAGTGAATTAAAGCTATCCCTGTAAGTCCTACAGTTATAATCAGGCAATCTGAGGGTCAATAGAGGAAAAACTTGAGGAAACAAACTGAGAAAGGATCTGCTGTGTTGTCTAACAATGGCATGGTCTTTAACTTATGCTCTAAAGACTGCTGCTAAATCATGGCAATAATGTTAATTCAAAAGGCAGATTCCAACATGAAACTAATGTTTCATTATAAAAGTAATAAAGGATAGAAGTATAATATCAAAATAATGGAATAAAATAAGTTATGCTAGTCATAAAGTTAACTGAGTTTCAGATGAAGTGCACCTGAATCTTACTAAAAGAGTAAGAAACATAAATAAGTAATTCAAGGAAGAAAGCAAAGAGGTACAGATAAAGCTCTATAGGACTTCCAAATGAGCAGGAACTGGAGGATGAATGAGTTAATTGTTGGGTTTTCTTGAGATGATATCTGAACTAAGTTCTCTTAAGACTAGAGAGGCTGAATCTGATCTAGGTGGAGAAAAGACAAACACAGAAAACTCTAAGTAGTTCGGGTTTCTGGAGTGCATATATAAAGAGGAACAATGGGAGATACAAATAAATAAAAATGACATGAACCTTTAACCTATATGTATTTTCTTCTGTAGGAATTAAGCCAATGGAGGCTTTGCACAGGAAAAATATCATTATTAGAACTATTTTTCATGGAAATAAGTTTGGCCACAATGTACAGAACAGCTCAAATAAGAAATGGATAGGAGGCCAATAAGGACCTGAACTATACTGAGCTTCGAGATAGTATAAAAGGAGGAGGGACTATAAAAGATATTGCAGGAAAAAAAAAAAGATGTTGCAGAAACCAATGCTATCACATTTGGAAATTGATTAGAAGTGGAAAAGGGAAGAGAAGAGTCAATGATAACTACAAAGTAGAGTCTAAGGGATGCAGTGCAATATAATGAAATTGCAATTGGCAGTGCAATATAATGAAATGAGTGATGAACTTTTGGATCAGATCACTAATGCTTAATTTCCAGGTCCAGCAGTAACAAAATATGTAACCTGTTCTACTTTATAAGGGCTGTTGATATCAATGAAACTGAAATGAACTATGAGAGGTAGAAAAGTATAAATAAGTTCCATGAGTACTCTGGCAAAAAGGCAAACAAGGGTAACAAAGGTAAAATTTAAAAAAATTGAAAGCATGCTTGGATTATTAACTTTGAAAATAGGAGAGAGGTGATGTGAAACAAAGGACTGAAATATTGATGATGAAAGAAAACAGGTAGCTCACACCAATCACCCTACTGAATTGAAATGTGCTTTTTTCACTTATTAATCACATTTGTTTTTAAGTAGAGAAGAGAAGCTCTCTTACGTGTTCATAGGTCCCTCTTCCAGAATCTCTTATTTTAATCTTTGCAACAATTATACCACTTAAATGACTTAAAACTAAACCAAGCAGAACTCTGACCTTTCAACCAGCATATTCTTCTAACTAGATAGGTACAATGATGTACGTATAGCAAAAGCACAATGAAAATGCATACATTGTGCAAAAATGAAAAATGATGTAAAAAATATATAAAATTAAAAAATTAAAACAGAAATTATCTTGTTTTAAATGAACAGTACAAAGTTTTCTAAGCAATTTAAATTATTTAGTGTAGCTTATAATGAGTGAAAAAAGTTTTTCTTCCTACCTTTCATACCATCATTCTCCCTGACTTTCTCCAGAATTAAAAAAATCCTTACCTGTGGTACCAGAATGAACAGATAATGACCTTTCTATCTGGAGTGGTGACATCATCTGTATTGTTAATTTTGCTAGGTAGATGGCTTCATATTCCTAAAAAAAAAAAGATTTTAATTCAAATATATGTTTGAGTCCTTGAATATCCCTTAACAGTGATTAATACATACATACATTATTAGTATTCTTAATTTATACTGAAAAATCTATTTCCATTATTATTGTAAGAGAAATCCAGGCTTATAATTCCTGTTTCATAATTTCATATTTATTGATTACACTATAAATCAAATCAGGCAAAAAGCTTGCACCAGCGTACTACAAATGAACTGCCAGTCAGTATGTGTTTTCTGCCTCTGGGGCATGAGCCATGTAATCTCTGTCTTTATCTGTTAACACATATACACACAAACATACATGCCAAAAACACAAATGTGCAATCTCATAAAATGATTCTAAGAATGAAATAAAATAAAGTTCAGTAAAAAGGAAATGCTATATTTAGTTGCAAAAATAAGAGAGAATTGGCCATGTAAGGGTGGGACATGAATTGCATTTTTAAAAGATGATTAGAGAAGGACTCATCACCATCTGACCCACCACATTTCACCATTGTTTATTGTCTAATTCACCCATTAGAATTAAGTCAGAGATTTATGTCTGTTTCAGTGCCAAATAAATGCTTGATGAAACAATACAGCATGAGACATGTCTCTGAAATAAGGGAAGGCTCAACTCTGCAAGTGATAAGGCATAATATGACTCAGAAAACAACTGATATAGAGCACCCAGCAGGTATATCTTCATAAAGCATTCTATATTCACACAGACAATGCCCCCTCCTAATCAAGTCATCTAAGGGAGAAAGTTTTTTTTTTTTTTTTTAATTAGGCTTCCTTCAGATTTCTCTGGAACAATATTTAATGCCAGGCCTATGTATAAACCCATAAGGGAAGAAGTATTAAATAAAAATTTTGTATCTAGACAACTGTCTTTCAAACAAAAAGGCAACAGAAAAATATTCCCCAACATGTCAGGATTTATGGACTATAGTTTCCATGAACTCTTCTTGAAAACAATGCTCAAAGACAAACTCCAGAAGTTGAATAAAGAAGCTGGAGTCCTATATAAATGTAGAACTAAGGATGAACAAATAGAAAGTGGCAGGAGCAATAGAGGAGGGCAATGTAACTATCAGATGATCCTATATTGGTAAGTATTATTTAAAGCAACTAAGTAACAAGAAGCTTAATTTTTAAATATTTTAAAGGCATAAGAGGTAATCCTTAGAAGAACTAAGATTTAAACAGCTAGTGTAGGGAAGATGGGAAAGGAGTAGAGATATATAAATCTGTATTTTTTTTATAATGGAACTCTTCAGGCTGTTATTTAAATGTGGTAACTCAAGAAACATATATATGTTTCCAATTGTGCCCACTAGAAGTAAAAACTATAGACTTTGTAAGTTGATTAAAATTACCAAAAGAGGGGCCCCCTGGTGGCACAGGCGGTTGAGCGCAGTGCTGTGAAGCTGTCTGCAGCCTCTGCAGTGCTGGTTTGATCCCGGCCAGCCAGCGAGGGTACCACATGGTGCGGCAGACCTCTCCTGTCGCACTCGCTGCTCCCCTCAGCAGTGTATTTCGTCAGTTTGCCTGTTCTGCTCCCTGCTCTGTCTCTGGTGAATCCTCTCACCCTCCTGTGCCTCTGGCCTGTACCTCATCTCTTGTATAAATAAAAAGTAAATCTTAAAAAAAAAAAAATTACCAAAAGAATACAATCATCAAAAACCTCAAATCGTATAGCAATTTTTTTTAAAGGATGCGTATAAAAGAAAAAGGATGATATTAAACAATAGACAAAAGTGTATCTGTCATCTTCAGCATATGAAAGGGGGATAATTTCACCTATTAATACTAACAATGGATCAATAGCAAAAATCAATCAAAGGCAATATGTAGGAAATGCATCTAATACAAAATGAATTAGGTAGAGAGAAAAGGAATGAGGAACTGCAAATGGTAAATGCAAACAAAAAAAATCAGGATCAAAAAATTATTAAGGTTAATTTCAAGATAAAATAACTGAACGGAATAACAAAGAATATAATACAATGAAGCCCTAACTTGAATTTTATGTACCAAATAATACAGCACCAAATTGGTACACTCACACAAAAAATAGAAGAAGTAGAAAAAAATAAACAGAAACACACACAAAAAGGGGGGTTAAAATTCACCCCCCTCATCCCAAGACATAGCAAGTGGACAAATATATCTCTGGAAACAAAGAATATATCTTTCCAAATGTCAATGAAATGTTCATAATAACAACTGCATACTAGACCATGAAGAAAACATTAAAGAATTCATGAAGTATAAAGTATTAGAAAACATTCTCTACCACAATGCAATAAAATTAAAATGAACAAAAATAGAAAATCTTAAAATCCTAGCATTGATAGCTTAAAAAAAATTCTCAAACACATTAGATAAAAAATAAGATCAAAACTGAAATTACAAAATATCAAGCTATAACAATAATAAAAATACCACATAGCAGAATCTGTAGGATATTGGTCAAGTCAATGCTAAGAAGATAATTCATAGTCTTGAAATTTTCAAAGAACGAAAAGCCAAGCTTCCAACTCAGGAAATTCACAAAAGAACAATAGCTAGCAACAACAACAACAAAACTAAAGGAAAGTACAACGCAAGCAGAAATGATAGAAACTAAGCAGATCAAAGAGAAAAACAGCATAGATATACAAAGTTTAAAACAAAAATGAAAAAGAAGCAGATTCAGAAAATATTAAAAGAATACATTATGTTCCTTAACTGGCAAATCCTATGAATTGAATGGTTATATAGGAAATTATAAAACAATCCAAAATGATGTGAAGAGTGTGTAAGAAAATCTGACTGACCTAACAAAGAAAGCTGTCCAAGAACTGGCTACCCTCAAAATACATGAGTGAATGAAAAATAATGACTAACCAAATTTCATAGGTGCACTATACCTTAACATCAAGAAACAGGTAACTCCAATCTAAACTGTTTTAGAGCACATAGAGAAAAAGAAACTCCCATTTTAAAAATGAATACACCATGATAAACACCAAAACCGGAAAAGGGTAGTAAAGAAAAAAATTACTAAAAAATGTTACTTAGTCAACTGATTCTAAAATCTTAAAAAAAAATACTAGTAAATAAAATCTGGCATCACATTAAGAGACAATCCTACCATAACCAAGTGAGACCCATTCCTGAATCAAAAACATGATGCAAAATTAGGAAATCTAATATGTGTTTCAATAATAAACAATTCACCATATTAATGGTTTTAAAAAGTGAAACTACAGAATTGTTCCATAAACAATTTTTAAGCTAAAAAGCAATAGCTCTTCCTGATAAGAACTCTTTACATAGGAACAGATGGATACACACACACACACAAAGCAAAATCAGAAATCAGAAATAAGTATAGTATTACTTATCAGTCTGATAAAATGAACATCCAAGAAAGCAATTTTTAAAAATTAGTAAAGTGGTAAAATTATTACAATTTAAAGATGAAAAACTAGAAAATTTTTTAGAATCAGTAAGAATTTTAATAAGGTTGTCAACTGAAAACTTAATAAAATCAGAAGCTTCTGGGCCGACCCGGGGGCACAGTGGTTGCGTGCTGGGCTGCAAAGCTGCCTGCAGCCTCTGCAGCGCCGGTTCAATGCCCAGCCACCGGCAAGGGTCCCACATGGCACACAGACCTCTCCTGCTGTGCCCGCTGGTCCCCTCAGCAGTGTACTTCATCAGTCTGCCTGTTCTGCTCCCCGCTCTGGCTCTGGTGAATTCTCTCACCCTCCTGCACTTCTGACTATACCCAGTGCTTGTATAAATAAATAAATCTTTAAAAAAAAAAAAAATAGACGCGTCCCTATATACAGATAATCATAGAAGACATATGGGAAGAAAAACAATTTCATCTATATGGAAATTAAAGAAAATACCTATGAATACTTTTCATAAGAAATGCAGATATTCTATACAAAGAAAACCTTAAAACATTAAAGGATACAGAAGCTGGCTTGAATTAATGGAACATATTCTTAAAGAGGAAGACTGAAGTTTTAAATGTGCTAATTCTTTCTGAAGTATGAATATAGAGATAGCATTATTAAACATTTCTGCAGATCTCCTTCTACTAAAGTTCATCCCAAAACATAAATTTAAGAACTTTCTAGGCACATTCTAAAAGAACATTAAATCTAAAAGTCCATGAAGGAACTTGAAATATAAAATTGTGCTACATAAATACATATAAAAAATATTATGCAGGCAAAGTTATATTTATTATAGAAAATGGCCTTCAAGATACACTATTAAGGAGACTAACTTTTCTCCTTAGGCATTATTAAATTTAAATTTTTGTAACCACTGGTATATATTACTTTTTCAAATTCAAAATAAGTTTAAAATGAGTATTTCAAACAATAAAGGGCTAAAGGCAAAGAAACACAGTTTTGCATTCTATAATGTAATTATAAAGGGAATTAAAAAGAAATATAAACTAGTTGAAAACAGAGCTACCACTAAAAGAAGTTAAAAACTAAAGATGGAGGCCTCCCTGGTCACGCAGTGGGTTGAGCACAGCGCTGTGAAGCTGTCCACAGCCTCTGCAGCATGGGTTTGATTCCCAGCCAGCCAGGGAGATTCCCACATGGCATGATAGACCTCTCCTGTCTCACCCGCTGCTCCCCTCAGCAGTGTATTTCGTCAGTCTGCCTGTTCTGTTCCCCACTCTGTCTCTGGTGAATCCTTTTACCTCCCGCGCCTCTGGCCTGTACCCCAGCTCTTGTATAAAAATAAATCTAAAATAAAAACAAACAAAAAAAAACTAAAGATAAATAAATATTTAAAAATAAATTTAAAATATCTTTAAAATTTAAAAATATTTAAATTAAAAATATTAAATTTAAAAATTAAAAACATTTTAAATTAAAAATAAATTTAAAATATTTAAAAATAAATCTAAAATAAAAATAAAAAAAACAACTAAAGATAGAACAAAATTTAGTAACTAAGACATCTTATTTTGTAATGCTTTTGACAACTCAATGTGAGATTTATTTCTACATAACTGGGTAGAATCAGCCAGAGCACATGCTTAAACCTCTGATTTTCTTTCTTAGAAAAAATTATAAAGTTCAATCAGACAATTCACAAGTTCATCTTTATCATTTTTAGTGCATCTTCCAGTAAAGTAAGATAAGGCACATAACAAAGAAAAGATAAAGATAAATAGAAAAAGCTGCTACAAGAAGTATACTTAGAATCAAAACTCTCTTATGTTCAGTGTAATCAATATGGAAAAAAATTTGAAGAGATTTCAAATATCAGTATTTTACCTTAAGATTTAAAAATCTGTCTTTAACCCTTTTTTAAAATTATTATTATTGGTATTGGCAGCTTAAAAAAAATTTTTAGAAATGTAAACCGGAATAAAAAATTTGTCAGGTTATGGCAAATTTTCAGTATTTACAAAGTAAATTTTATACCTAAATTACATGAACATAAGATTCTAACTATCCTACTTTCTGGATTGTTTTGAAGAAAAAGAGAGAACTTGCCTGAAGTTGATGGACAAATCCAGCATTAGGATTAATACAAAATCTTCTTTCTTGAACATAAGCAAATGCATCTCTGAAAACAGAAAAAGAAAATTAAGATAATGGTATTTTTTCATGAATTAATATCAATTTTTTCCAGAATTTACCTAAAATAGGAGCTTATCTAAAAATTTACCTAAAACAGGAAATCTTATTCATGGAGCTTGCACTACAGAGGGATAGTGAATTTAGTGGAAAAATTAACAGCTTAGTCAGACTAAATATCACAGTCCCTCTGCTTACCAGCTGTGTGTCCTAGGGGAAATTACTCAACTTCTCTGAGCTTAACTTATCTGTAAAATGGGAATTATAATTATACCTTACCTTGGAGGGCTATTGTGAAGATGGAAGATAGTAAGTGTAAAGCACCTTGTATAGCATCTGTCACATAGCACATGCTCAAAATATAATCATTGGTTAAATGAGAAGTATATCTACTTCCTTGTGTTCCTGTGAGGCTTAAATGAGATCAAAGTGCCTACAATAGTACCTGCACAAAGCAGAAATCCAATAAATGGAAGTTATTTTCACTATTAATATTATTACTGACAAGACACCAAATAATAGAGAAGATGTAAAACAAAAAACCTACCAATGCTTATTAATCTTTTTTCAATTAAGTAAAGCATTTTTATTCAAATAATATTCTTTTAAGAACTGGTCTTTTAAGCAAACTTTTCCACTGTAATTTTAACAGAATGGATACCAAACAAACAAATAAGCATTTAAATGTTTACTGTAAGTCAGGCAATTAGATCCAATGCTGAAAAGCTCAAATGAGAAGAATTATATGAATGAGGGTATAAGGGCAAAAGAGGGTGATAGGGGCATGCAACGCAAAATTTCACTGGCCATGTTAAAAATTATTAAGGATCAGAAACCTTTCAGAGCTTTTTGGGGTAACTAAATCCATAATACTAGTCTACTGCATAGACTAGAGAAGGAAAGAATAGATGTGACCACTTAGGTAACTACTAAGATAGTGAAAGGAACAAACACATGAATGAAGTTTGTATTAGGGGAGTTAAATGATGAAGAGATGGACTCAAGGTATGTTTTAGGACCTAAAAAAAATCTGGTAATGGATCAGTTTGGGTGATGTGGCATGAAAGAGAAAGAAGTGTCAATGACTACCAGGTTTCTAACTTGTTCAACAAGAAACACTGAAAGGAAACACTTTACACTAGTCAAAGTTGGATTTGTTTGAAGGCAAGAAGCTCATGAGCCTGCTCCCTCAGCCTCTCTCTTTCCATCTCTCTTTCTCCCTTTTATCTATGTAGTATGCTTGGATATGATGGGTTTTGGATAAGACTGAATTTTTCTAAAACAAATCTAGGTAATTTTTTATGTAAGGAAAGAAAAACAGAATGAAGTCAACCTTTTCAACAAGGCAAGCAATAACATTTATTTTAAACAAGGCAAGCAATAACAGCTCTATCTTAGAGATTTTAAATTGAAACTAACCAATTCCTAGTAATAAGTAATTTTCCATGGGTTATTCTACTATTGTTACCTTGGATTCTTAAAGTAGCAACAATTAGCATTAACTCCACAAAAACCAGAAAAATTAGCCTAAGCAGATCTATAGAAAGTAGACAAGCTACAACAGTTAAAAGACTGACCGTAAGAAGATAAGAGTTTGAATATTAAACATGACTAGATCACAAAACCAGGAGAAATGAATGTTAAACTCCCAAACCACCTCCATTGTTTCATTTTAATGAGAATTTAAATTGTGACTAGGTTTCAGAGTACTTTCTTACCTGTACTTCATTCCAAATGTTTCCATAATGTATGCAATAACAAAGGCAGCACTGAAGAGGGGGAAAAAATTTTAGAAAAAAACAGAAAACACAGCTCATTAATAAATGCTAAAGAAAGAAAGATTATCTCTAACTTCATACCTCCTGGAGATCCCTGCATTTCCATGGACAAGAACTTTTCCTGAAAAACAAGAAATAGTTATTCTGATATAAAAGCACCTGGTTCAACACCTAAAAATATATTGAAACCGTGTATTATGCCATTTTGTATTATACCATTTTGTGTTTTATACATACCACTTGGATATTTAGTAATTTTCAGATTTCTGCAACTTACTTGTACTTACTATGTGGCAAACACAACATACTTTTAGGTTAAAGAGATTAGAGCTGATCCAGAATTTGAAAATAGCTCCATAGAAATATTAAAGAAAGTCTATGCAAATGAAACAAGTTGAAAAAATTCAAATTTAGGAACAATCGACTATCTGTAGTTATAACTTCCTTATCATTTAAGACAAATATTAACTAAAAGTAACTGAAAACCAACTTTCTAAAAATAAACATTAGCTAAGCAAAATGATTATTATTTACCTCCAGTTTGTAAGCTCCCATCAATAAATTCTTTAGTCTAAAGGCAAAATATAATGTATTAAAATAAAATGTGGATTAATACAAGTATAAAATACACATATACAGTGAAACAGAATATACAGAAAAATAATTTCCTGCTAATATATATGAATAAAAACTACCAAAATACAAAATTTCCAATGCTATGAAAACAGCTATTCTAAGATTTAAAAATAACACAAGGCACCCCCCGCTGTGGCACAGTGGATTGAATGCTCCACCGTAGAGCTGTCCACAGACTACAGCGCAGGTTAGATTTCGGGCCAGCCAGGGAGAAACCCACATGGCGTGGCAGACCTCTCCTGTCTTGCCCACTGCTCCCCTTAGCAGTGTCTTCGGTTCGTCTACCTGTTCTGCTCCCACTCTCTCTGGTGAATTCTCTCACCCGCCCGTGCCTCCGACCTGTACCCCAGTTCTTATATAAATAAATAAATCTTTAAAAAAAAAGTAAATGAGTTCTTATAAAAAAAATAAAATAAAAACACAGGGGCCAAAATTTAACTTGAATTTAATATATTCAGAGTATAATTTCTCAAATTTTTAAAGATCATAAAATGTTTTAAAATAATAAATTTTCCTTGAAATATAATTCCACAATTTTCAGTCACAACAAAGCAATAGTAGTATTGGAGGGAATTATATCTCATTAAGTTTTAGAACCACAATAAAGAGTTCAAGTCACAAAGAAATTTTAAATATTAAAATATTGATACCTACCATGGGGAAAAAACGTATTATATTTTCAACTGGATTATCTGCAATATCCAAGACTAAATATCTGAAAATAAAATTATTTTGTGATAAGTACACTTTCAGATAAAATTCTACATATTAAAAACTTAACTCTAAAACTGCTTGTCAAGCACATAAGGAATGCAGAATAACTTTCAAAGTATCACACTCCCAAGGAACAGATTTCACACTGCTTGAAGACATAACATTTAAAGCCTTAAATAACATTTTTCTGATATTTTGGTATAAAAAACTCTATCCAGTTTAAACAGAAAATCACAATGGATGTAGATAATGATAAAACATGTTTCTATTCCTTGTTGTTATTTTTCTATTTCTATCAACTTTCCTAGGACTAGCAGATTCTTTTCTGAGTGGCTGTGATCCCTTCCTCCTAACCCTATCAAGGACAATTTAGAGGAAGCCCAAAGTCTGAAAGACTGATTAGGAAGCTAATCAAAACAGAAGATGACAATCCAATAGAGTCATATGTGAACTAATCTTTAGTAGAGCAAAAAAAAAAAAAAAAAAAAAAGGGCCAAGAATCAAGAAGATGTAGTGCAGATACACAATGGAGTATTATTCAGCAACAGCAATCAAAAAAGATAAACTCATGCCATTCACAGCAACGTGGATGGAGCTAGAAGGAATTATGTTCAGTGAAATAAGCCAGAAGGAAAAAGAAAAATATCGGATGGTTTCACTTATAACAGGAATATAGGGGAACCAAATAAGACATCAGTGCAAAAAAAGTAATAACAGTACAAAACACAACAAAGCAAAAACAGACAATTATAAATCAGAGACATCCTGCGCTGGAGGAGAAGGGAGAGGGATCAGAGGGAGGGAAGAAGGAGCACAGGGGACTGAGGTGATGGTGCACGGGTGCATTGGGGAAGGAAATTCTATGGGGACTAAACCTGAGGGGGTGGGGGGAAGCAAATATTGTTTAAAAATGATCAATGATGTAAAAAGAAAATAGCATTAAAAATTTTTTTAAAAATGGCCAAGAGACTACCTGTTTGGAAATTTATACTTTGGAAAACATTTAAAAACTTCCATTTCTAATCCATCTGTTTATTAACATAACTACATAATGGTAACTAAGTCATAAAATTAATTTTTAAAGTCAAAATTTCTTTAAAAACTAGTTCTTTAATGACTGTTTAGGTGGCAAATTCAATAAACTCAGGGTTTATCACAGAGAAGCTAAAGCCCAGAATTCAAGGATTATAAGGATTCTAAAAATGATGATCCTAAAGTGACTGGGTAAGTTTACTATATAAAAAAACTGCTTTGGGGGGGAAAAAAAGTTATTTTACAGTCAAGCTAAAATATTTTACTCTGTGCCAGTTATTATTAAACCTACTGCTAGAACAATCAATTTATAAGCCAGCATTCTAAGTCTGAGGAAAAAGGTTTTTTCCATTGATATTAAAAAAAACCTGCACCCACAACATTCTGGTGCAAAAAAACAAAAATTCTATACAAATTAGAACTCAAGAGCATGGTATTTAATATATAATATTTTTATTTTTCTTAATATACTTAAGGTTATATGTGCTAAACCTAATAAACATACAACTGAGAATGACATATAAAAGGCAGTATACTAAAATGTTCCCTCTGGTTGTGGATGACTTGTAAAAAACACTTTTCTTGGTGTCATTTTATATGTTCCAAAGTACTTATAAGGAACAAATATTTCTTTAACAATAAGAAAATATCAAATCTATTTCATTTTAGAATATACATTCCTTTTTATTAATTAGTTTCTATTAACTAAAAAACATATACCATCCAGATACATGTCTCTTCTCAGAAGTAACCACTGTCAAATTTCTGGTCTGTTAGTCCAGAAATTTTCTATGTATACAGAACATATATGTCTAATGTACTGTATGTATCTTAAACCACATTAAAAGTATATACATTGTCTGCATCTTCTATTCATTTAATATACCTTAGAGAGTATTTCCTATTAACCACACATAGAAATATTTGATTCTTTTTTGTGGTTACAAAACTTTATTGTATGTTCATACAGCATACTTTAAAGTGTCTTATATTGATGGAATTTCAAATTGCTTTCATTTCTACAAATAAAGCAGAGCATGAAACTATTTTTTAATATGCATGCTTTTATATAAACACAGAATACCACTAGAATGATATTCAAGTAAGAGTTAATAGTAGTTGCCTCCTAGGAGAGAAGTGAAGTGTTTGGGTTTAAAGGAGAAAAGAAACTTAACTTTAGAATAAAAGGCATGCTTTAGTATAACTTTTAGTACCCTTCTTATCATGTGTCATATACTGTTTTAAAAATAAAGTTTGAATAACAGGCTACTCATTATAAGATAAATGAGAAAGGCGAATTAAAACAATATGAGACACCACCTTTACTCATTCCAGCATTGGGAAAAGATAAAAATTTTGATGGCAAGAGTCACTTATATACTTCACAGCGAAAATGCAAACTCACTGGACTGGATGGCGATTTGCAACATTTATTAAAATCTTAAATACTCATTCTGTGATTAAGCAATTCCACTTTTACAAATTTACACTACTGATACATTCACATTAATATATTCATTATGAATTATATATATTCATTTATTTAGTATGAATTAAACAACCTACACATGGACATTCACTATATGCTATATTAGCAAAAGTCTGGAAACAATTTAAATGTCCAACAATAGAGACAGGTTGAGTAAATTTTAGTATGGTCATACAATGGACAACTATGCAACTTTAAAAGAACACAGTTCTCTAAGATGACATAAGGGTATCTCCAAAAAATACATTTTAAAAGTGTAAAACAGAAGTTTATCTGTGGAAATATGCTTGTATATGTAAGATAACACTGGAAGGGTACTCAAGAAGAAGTAACAATGGATGCCTCTATGGAAGGAATTTAAGTACCTATAGGATAGAAACAGGAAAGCCTACTTTTCAGAATACATTCTTTTGAATCTTAAGAATTCTACAATATGTACATGAATTACTTGTTTGAAATATTTTAAAGGAAACTGATTTTATGTGATGTATGTACCATATGACCCATTTTTATAAAATATGTACAGAAGATATTCTGATAAAATCAACTTGAAATAAAAACTCTATTTACATGTTTGCTACCCTTAACATTTTCATGTATCACAGCAATAATTCTTACCTAAATAACTGTTGAAAGTTTGGTTTTATAAAGTTTGCTTCGATATTTTGTCTTATGCATATTATATGGGTTATTCCATGTTTCTGTAGTATAGGTAGCTATAAAAAAGGGGGAGCAGGGGAGAGAAATAGTTTAAAATACAAAACATCATCTATTGTAACACAGATGTTTAAAAATACACAGGGTTCAACATTAGAATATACCTACATATTAGTCTAAGCATAGGGGAATTAAAACTAATTTTACAATATACCTAAAATGATCAGCAATATATTTCAATGATTTATGACCGATATATTAAATATCTTCATAAAAGGAAAAAAGGGTTATTTTACAAGGGACCCTACAATACTTTATTTAGGGAAATAATACTATGTAGTAATTAAAGACATGGACTTTGGAATCATAAGAACCCAAGCTCTAGATGCCAGCTCTGCCAATGATCTAACCTGTATGGCTTGGTCTTCCCATGTGAAAATGAGAAAAAGTCTACCTATTCATTGAGTGCTTTTGAGAATTACATACGATGATATTTATAAAGTGCTTGGCATAATGACTGGAGCACATGGCAAGTAAATGATAATTACATATACTGATAACAATCTTCATTATTTAAGGGAACTACTAAGACATAAACAGTTGTTCAACATTACTGTCCTATTTAATAGTGGTGCCAGAGCACAACACTATGGACTACTCCCTGCCTCTCCCAGTATATATTTTCTCTAAGTCAGATTAATTTATATTTGCCAAACCTAATTAGCCTTTCAGAGTTTTAAAATCCTCCTAAAGTTAAAAACGGAAGTCCAAATGATATTATAGTCTGTGGTGCTTTTGCAGCTCTATGTGTAAATCAATTTAATACTTAATAGAAATTATTTTGAAAATTTATAAATAATCAAAAATATTTTTGCAAGTGATTACAGTATCAGTAAGTTTGTAGATGGCATAGTATTTTGATATCTAGAATGTAAATTCCATAGGAACAAGAATTTTACTTGTACACTGATTCATATTAAATATGTGTACTGCCTGAAACACAGGTGTTCAATAATTATCTGGTCAACAAATGAACAAAAACATGCTGGCCTAAGGAATCAGAAATAATCATCTTGAGTTTTCCATATTTTCATTTATTCATTTCCTATATATTTCTCACTTTTTGCATGAAACAGCCCAGAATAGTAATATTGATAATTTATGCAAGAAATAAAAACATAATTTATATTTGTTATAGACTGAATGTTACAGACTGAATTCCTATGTTGAAGTTTTAAACCTCCAAGGTAATGATGGTATGAGGAGGAGGAAGGATCTTTGGGAATTAACTGATATATTTACACGAGATTGCAAGAGTAGTGCCCCAGAATGGAATTACTTCTTTTATAAGAAGAGACATCAGAGCTTCCTCTCTCTACCATGTAAGAGTACCTACATGGTGACTGGCAGCTATCTGTAATTCAGGGAAAGAAAGGGCCTTGATCAAAATCTAACCATGCTGGCACCTTGATCTAAGACTTCCCATCTCCAGAACTCCGAGAAATAAATGTCTGTTAGTGAAGACATCCATTCTATGATATTTTATGGCAGTAGCCCAAAAAATTGACTTAAAAAATATGGTTTTTAAAAGTTTTTAACTGACTTTAATGCCAATTGATAAATTACACAGGTTTTCAGATGTACAGCATTATACATCAACATTTGTATATACTGCAATATGTTGACCACCAAAAGTATAGTTTTCTTCATTTACCATATCAAAAGTGTAACTTATTTTTTGCAGCAAATTTTTCTATGTCTGGCATAGATCAGTGTTTAAGTATCTATTTCCTGAGCATATGCCAAGTAAGTTAGAGGAAAGTAAGCATTTGGTAGGATCAATAATTAATATTCCACATTCACATTTATCCACATTGCAAAATGAATGCAACATCCTTTTGTGGAAAAACAAAAACAAAAACACCCATATCTATTCCTTTGTTTATACTTGATCTACGATTATATCAACAAGTTATCACATCAACTTTATTAACATGAAAAACTACAAGACATAATTACGGATAAAAATATGTTTTAACAAGCTTTGAAGGCACATTAACTATTACTAAGTAAAAACAAACCTTATCAAAGTAAAACTCAAATGTAATAGCAAACAAGATATCTCTTACTTTTCAATGAATTATTTAAAGCAAGTTATGACCTTACCGCATACCTACAAACAACAGAAACATTTTATGAAAAGAAATAGCTCATTAGTTAAAAAGAATCTAAATGTGTCCCTTTTATTGGAGTGTAATGCAAGACAAGCTTAAATAAGTGAGTCTTAGAGGAGGAGTTTATTCCCTAAGGTTTCTTTATCTCCATTATCAACTTTAGTTGTTATTTTTACATAGTTTTTGGATAATGATATGGAAAGAAATATGAACTGTATTATGCTGACTCAGGCTAAGAAATAATTAGGTTTTGTCATAAAAGGTTTCTATCAGTCTAATAAGATCATAATGACGTTGAGGGGGCTGAGGGTTTTGAGGAGTTAGATTTGTAAACAAATACAATTTAATGTGACAATAGTATAGGTATAGTCATAGAGTGCAATGGGAAAACAAAAAGCAAATAATCTAAAACCATCTAGAAGACCAGTATTTTGCAAATATGATATTATTTAGGCAATAGCTTTGTTTTTATATTTGTTTTTCACAAAGCAAATCACAGATAGGTCTGTAGTTATCTCATATCCTTTCCTTTTATTTTCAACCAATGCCCCACCTTTCCAACCTCGCTGTTAGCCATCAAAATGACTATGGTTACTTAGTTATACCTCAATAATCAAAAAGCTTTTTCAGTTTCAGAATGAATGACTAACTTTAAAAACCTACCAATCACTTAAAATTCATACATATATCAAGACTTAAAATTCTAGTTTTATAAAATCTCTTTAGGTAGATATTATATGCAAAAATACTGACTTCTAAACAGGTAGATTTGTGATGCGGTGTCTCACATTACAATTCAAAAAGATCCATTTCCATAATTCATAGGGCTGAATCCTCTAGGAAGTGGCAAGAACATATTATTAAGATTAGATCTACCTTTTTAATTGTAACTGAAGAAATCCATTTCAGTTTGACTATAAAGGACACCTATCTACACTGTGCAGCACTATATAACTTGGAGCATCTAGAACTCTTAAAGTCTGGAAAAACAAATAAGATTTGAGTCACTTCAACTAGAACATACATGTGCATATGTATGCATGCCTATTTACTCTTGATAAAGGTAAGGTTTGCCAAAATATTCCATATCTTATTATGAGCTTTAATTTTAATTGTTCATAAACTAAAATTTGCAATGAGAGATGGCTAGTATTTAAGAGGCTAAATAAATTATTAAATAAAAGTCAAATAAATTATTTGGTAAATCTTTCAAACATGGATTTCATGAGAAAACAAAATATAAACTTATTTTGATTTGTGGGAAAACACTTGAGAATCACTGATTAAGTAAAATTTGCAAAGTAGGTGCTCTAGAGTGGCAATTACTAACACACACTATTTGTGAATCCTCCTACAACTAAAACTCTTACTATTAAAAAATTTGGTTAATAAAGTCTCTTAATGTACCTAACCTAAAGTTCATACCTTGCTTTTCATAGCAGAAGAATATGGACCTAAAAACAATCCAGGTAAAATTTCCTAGAAAAAAAATTGAGATATTTACCATCAGTAATTTAAATCTATACAAAATATGTACCATATAAGTGGATCTGTGGGGTGTCTTTATAGTTGTTCTAATAATGTGTTAATATTTGTTATTTATTTAGGAAGCATTTCCTACCCACACTGAACAAATGCTTGGGAAAAGAAATGCAAACATGCTTTAGACATCAAATAAAATAAAACATTCAAAGTTTAAGTACAGTTCTGAAAAATCAGGTATTTTAACTTCCACAGTACTTTTTATTAGCAGTTTGGGTAAAATTAGTACACATATTAATAGCATAGTAACAAGTTTCTAATTTTACATCTATTTTCTGCCATAGCTTAAAAATAAAACAGGCATAAAGAAAATTATCCCTTTGAAATTACAAAAAATCTCAGCCAAATCAACAGCAGTATGAGATATAACAAACAGCACAGATTACCTATAGTTAATAGTAGAAATGAAGAATTATTACAAAGTTTAAAAAAGATCAATATGAAAATATTTGCCTTTTGACAGAGTTTGAACAGTTTATACAAGTTAAATCAACATTTGTATATACTCCTAAATTAAAATTTTTGACTGCTGAATTAAAATTAATTCTATGTCAATTCAATATAAAGCTCTTTCAGCCAGGTTATGATAAACTAGATACTAATATAGTGTAATTTTGTGTTCAGTTCTATAGGACAGAATAATTAATCGCACACGGGTCTGATTTCTGCTACCAGTTTCTCATGGGCACAAATTACATTTTATTCATTTCTGCATTCCCCCATAGCACCAAATAAAATGCTTCAGAGGTACTAAAAAGAGAAAGGAAGGAGATTTTTAAAAGTGAAGGGATTTCCTGGAATGGGAGATAGTGATCTAGCCTAGGACTAACAGAGTTGTCTGTTAATGAAATACAAAAGAAAAGTTAACTACTGTGAGGGTCAGCTATCACTTAAATTTATTTCATAGTAGGAGTATTCAATTCAGTTTTTCAAGGACTTAATTATGGAACTTGATAATGGAAAAGACAGAGATGAACAATTATTGGAAAGAGTGATTTGCTTTACAGTTAACTCTCCTACACTTATATGAGCAAGACAAGCATGGAAAGCAAGATGCTTTCCAAAGGGAATACAAATATTATATATGATTTTTTTGGATGAGGAAAAACAAAGTGACTCATTAAGTACATACATATGTTACCATGCTCATATTTGTTTCTAATCTAAGGAAGAAAGGAACAATTCATTTCCTCTCTTTTTAATATCCACAGTTAACTTTAAAGATGTTAATATTTTAACTACTAAGAGATGACTCTCCTAATCATGAGTCAACAGGTCTCAAACCCTTTGTGAAATTGGGTTATGTTATTTAATAATGATGATAATATGGGTTGGTTTGAATAAACAAAAAGATTACCATACCTGCATCTCTCGTCTCATAGGATAGGTCCATTCCTTAAAAATGGAAGGGAAATACAAAATTATGAAAAATATCACCCAAATAAAGGTCACAGATGAGACATACAAATGATGAATTTTTTAAAAAATAAGTATTTTAAGAATATTTTGTAAGTATAGCAGATTCAATTGACTTCACAAACGCCTGAAAATTTAAGTGGCAAGAAACATGTTTAAGACGTTCTTTAAGGGGCCTCCCCTGGTGGCACAGAGGTTGAGCGCTGGGTGGCTAAGCTGCCCATAGCCTCTGCAGCGCTGGTTCGATCCCCAGCTGCTCCCCGGCCACTGGAGGAGGGTCCCACATGGTGTGCAGACCTCTCCTGCCACCCGCTGCTCCCCTCAGCAGTGTACTTCGATCCCTCTGCCTGTTCTGTTCCCAGCTCTGGCGAATTCTCTCACCCTCCCATGCTTCTGACTGGACTCAGTGCTTGTATGAATAAATAAATAAATCTTAAAAAAAAAAAAAAAAAAAGATGTTCTTTAAATAACTGAACTTCCAAAATTAAGATAATGTTATGTCATACAATGGATAGGTTATCTCATTAGCAGCAGATATTTCAGAAGTTTCTCCCATAAACTAATCCTCTAAATCAGATATCAAATAGATAACACTGATCAATTGGCAATGGAAAACCAAAACACCTGACAAGACTTGGGATGCAAAGGGTGCTTTGAAAAGTAACAATCACAGTGGATGAAAGAAGAATGGTATGGAATAAGTACTTGCCATCCCTAATCTAAACTGCTGGACTTTCCTTAGTCTTTTTCATATTTTACTGGGGTTTAATTTTCTGTTTAGTTCAATTCCCTTTAAAAGATGTATCTCATTAAATGATAGAGTTCATTCTGTCTTTGTAATGAAGATCAAGAAAAAAGAAGTTGGAAAATAATGCAAAATGGCGATGACAAAGGAGAGAACATATTTTAAAAGTTATGAAAAGAACAAAGCAGTCATAGGTAAATTGATGGAAAGAATCAAAAATATAGTATGGATAGTCCTAGTTTGTAAACAGATTGCAAAAGTTTCTAACTTGGCTACTTAAAACTCAGATTTATAAATAGTAATTAGGTTCATAAAGTTAAAAATGATGCTACAATAATAATGATAAAGCTAGGATTATTGAAATGTTGCAAAACTAATGCCAAGAATTCCCTTTACCCTTCACCTAGATTCCCCCAAGTCAGGAAAGTATTATTAGCACATAAGATAAAATTGTACTCATCTATAATGGAAAAAGAAAACAATACTATTCCTGCAGTGGTAATCATCAGTTTTTTTTGTTTTTTTGTTTTTTTAAAGATTTATTTATTTATTTATATAAGCACTGGGTATAGTCAGAAGCGCGGGAGGGTGAGAGAATTCACCAGAGCCAGAGTGGGGAACAGAACAGGCAGACTGACGAAATACCTTGCTGAGGGGAGCAGCGGGCACGGCAGGAGAGGTCTGTCATGCCATGTGGGACCCTCGCTGGAGGCCGGGGACTGAACCAGTGCTGCAGAGGCTGCGGGCAGCTTCGTGGCCCAGTGCTGAACAGCTGCGCCACCAGGGGAGGCCCTTTTTTTTTTTTTTCAATAAAGAGAAAGCATTTTTTGTTTTTCATTTTAAAAATTGGCCTCTCTAATGTCGTAGAAATAGGCTACAAGCCCTGAGAAATCTTATCAAGTAATAATATTTAAAATGTATTTTTAAAAATATCTTTAAATACATAGTTGAACTAACAAGAAAGTAAGGGAATCCTGAGTGAATCCTCAGAGACAGACAGACCGACAGACAGATAGACAGTCACACACACACACAGAGAAAGCACAAACCCAGAAAGATTACTGTGCACTGAGCAGTTTCCTAAGAGGATCTGTTGTTCTTTTCCCGGTCTTATATTTCTTTCTGTTCTTTTTAAACAAAGATGTAAAAGGACAAAGGATGAGATGTTAAAATGCCCAACTCTCAATGTAGAGCTTGATGAATTTTTACAAACGTATACACCTAGATAACTGCCACTCAAGATTTCTGTGATCCCAGAAAGTTCCCGCATTCCTCTTCTCAGTCTAATGTCCCCATTTTCTGAGGTAACTACTGACATTTTCCACTACAGATTAAATTCTGCCTGTTCTTGAAATACATATGAATACAATCATATAGCAGTATTATTTTATGTCTGACTTCTCTCACTCAACTTAATGCCTGCTGTGCAGTATACTAGTATATGGATATTCCATAATTTACTCATTTACCTGTTGGTGGAGACTTAAGTAGCTTCCAGGTTTGGGCAATTATGAATAAAGGTGCTATGAAAATTCTTTTATATGACCTTTGGTGGACAGATATATTCATTTCTTTTGGATATATAAGCAATGTCACTGGTGGATCACTGTATGTTTGGCTTTACCAGACACTGTCAAAAGCTTTCCTAAACCAATTTACAGCTCCACCAGCAATGTACAGGAGTTATTTCTTTCTCACATCTTCACCATGGCCTTATTTTAAATGGCACTGTACAAATGAGACATAAGACAAAGTCTAGGACATGTTCAAAGTGGGAAGTCAGATTAAGACCAAAAAGCTGGGACTGACAATAGGCATTATCTTCAGTTCAAGACAAATTAGGGAAGAAAAATAAAAACCTCCTCACATCTCCAACTTTGGTTCTGAGAAGAAAGTGGTGCTAGTGGTAGGGTTGGGGTTTTCCTAACCACAATGTGACCTACACTCATTTGACATTAGAATCCCATTATGTTTGTAAGGCTAAGTGAATAATGTCAAATGATGCTGGGTAGACAGTGTTCAGGCGTTAGTGGAAGAAACAAATGCATTTTCCTTCTGGAGAAACATACCCTAAATCCACAGAAATAATTCAGATAGATAGGTTACAATAAAAAAATGATTAAAAGAAAAAAAAATGAAAGAAAATCAGCAACAACTGAATCATACCCACAAAGATACAGATAATACAATAATGAAAAATATAAAACATTTAATATAATTACAGAAATGAGAGTATCAAAAGTATGACCAAGGACGAAGTAAATGACTTTAAGAAAGCCAAGAGGAATGTGAAAATTCCTTGAAAAAAGAAATGAAGAAGTGTGACTGAAACTAAAAATTAGTGGGTAGGTTAAACAGAAGAAAAGGACAGGTAAAATGAGATTTTGTGAACTGGAAAATAGAAGAAATGACTAACTTCAGAACTGGAAAACTTGGCAGTTAATAGATATGCAAGACAATTAAAAGTTGTGACATCCATAAAACCTAAGTTCCAGAAGGGAGAAGAGAAAATAAAGGAGAAAGAATATTACAGAATATTTATTTAGAATTTTCTAAAATTGGCTAAAGACACCACACCTTAGAAATAGGCAAATCAATAAATCACAAAAGGAGAAGAAGGCAACTGATAGGTAAACAGTAAAACAATAGCACACCAAACACAAAGAGAAATACTAGATTATCTTTTCTCATACTAAAAGTATATAGAAGAATGGAAAAGAATAAAATCCAGACAATCTAAACATATGCAGTTAATGACCTTTCCTGAAAAAACATGAAGGCAACTCAATGAAGAAAGAAAAATCTTTTTTTTTAAAAAAAGAATTATTCCTTTATTGTCAGATTTTTTGTTTTATTTATTTTGCGTAGAAGAACTGGGGTTTAGACCACAGGTGCGGGGCGGCGGGGGGTGGGGTGGGGGGTGCTTACCAGAGACAGAGAGGGAAGCAAAACAGGCAGACTGACTGAAATACACTGCTGAGGGGAGCAGCTGAGGAGATAGGAAAGGTCTGTTGTGCCAAATGTGGGTTAGCTCCCTGGCCAGGGAGAGAACTTAGGTCCCCTGCGGTAGCGGTGGGAGTGCTGAGACTTAATCACTAGGCTACCAGGGAGGCCCTCAAAAAATCTTTCAACAAGAATGTCAAAAAATAAAAATGAATTTGACCTTGCTATCTCTCTCTCTCACTCACACTCACACACACCCCTTTCTTCACTACTGTATCTATTTCCAATGCTTGATGACGGTGCCTCATACATAGTAGGCACTCAATACTTGTTGGTAAGAATGGTTTGTACCTTGATAGGAGTAATAGTGATATTTGTACACATTTATCACTCACTGAATTGCACACTTATTATCTATGCACTACACTCTGCAAATTTTACCTCTATTAAAAGACAGTATTCAGACAAAAAAAGACAGATTATATACAAAGGAAAGACACTTAGACTGAACATGACTTCTCAACTGGAAAAATAGAACCCACAAGAAAAAACAATACAAAGTGATAAAAATAAATGTTGATCAGAATATATGCTCAGAAAATCATCTTTCAACTACAAAGTGAAATAAAAGACAGTTCCATAAAAATGAACACAGAGAGTTTATTACCAGCAGACTCTCAATGATTTTCTTTGAAGAAAAGGTGTTATTGTCTCTATTTTATATTTCTGCTTTAGGCACAGAGTCTAAGTAACTTGATTTTCAAGTCTAAGTAGTGTTCTCTTAATCACATGATACAGCAGCCTCTCAAGGTAAGACGGAACTATATAGAAAACATACAGCTACATTTAAACAAATACTGACTCAGTTAAAAAAAAAAAACAAAACAACACGTAAGTTTATGGGGATTAATAGACAAGAAACACGGTATATTAATTTCCAAGCCAATAGAGGTAGAAATGTAATCATTAATTGTACAAATTGAATGTTTACTTGCATTTTTAACTTAATGCATTCTAATCTTTTCATACTGAAAAGTTTTCAATTGCCTTAGGTTAAAGGCAGTTATTTTAGTCATAGTACTCCCAACATCAAAAGTAATGATGCATCAGGCATAGATCCTTTGAAACCTTCAAAATTTTATCTTACAGAATTTTTAATTTGGCACTATTCCTGGTGTAGCAGCAGATACTGATCTCAAGGATCAACCTTCTTTTTGGCCCTAGCCCTGAGTCCTACCTTAAGAACAAATCTTTAGCCCAACACGACCTACCAATCCTGTTAATGCGTTTAGCATACTAGGTCAAGTTTTAAAATCATTCATGCTGGGGGTCTCCCTGGTGGCACGAGGGGTTAAGTCTCAGCACTATGAAGCTATCCACAGCCACTGCAGGAGGAGTTCCATCCCTGACCAGGGAGATGACTCACATGGTGCATGCAGTGGACCTCTTCTGTCTTGCCCACTGTTCCCCTACGCAGTCTATTTTGGTCAATCTGCCTGTTCTGCTCCCCACTCTGTCTCTGGTGAATCTGCTTATCCCCCACACCACTGGCCTGCAGCCCAGCTCTTGTATGGATAAATAAATCCATCTATCTGAACATGTCTGTAATAACCAACTTTTGCCTGTATCATACTCAATCTTCATCTCAGTTCTGCCATGTTGCTCTTAAAATCCATCACTTTCGAGATGATAGTATTAATGAGGCAGACTCCCACTCTAATTGCTAATGATCTATTTTGAGTTAATACTATAGTTAATAAGCAGACTCAATTTCCCAAACTTTGATGATAAGTCAAGCCATTTGACTATGTTTTACAAATCAAATGAAGTCAGCTAAGCCAAAATACTCCTAATTGTAAAACATGCCATGCTTCTTACAGAAATTAATTCACAAGTGAAAATCCTTCAATCATTGATAAGAGGAGGTAACACATATTAAAACATCGTTCAGGGTCTCTTCATTCTCATACAAATGCAAAGTTACAAATCTATAAATTATACCCAGGAGACAGAAAGTATGTTATAAAAATGGTCAAAGATCAACCAGTGCACCAAAGGACATAGTCTGTAATTATTACATAAAATAAAAACAATCCTTATCAGATATATCAGGTGGGTTGAAACCTTACCTTTTAGAAATACCAAGATAGATTTACAAATTTTACATAGGTGAGGAAAGCAGTTTGGATTAAAAAATCATCAGAAAACATTATCTAAGTTGGGACATTTCACAAAATAAAAAAATCTGCATTACAATTCCTCTTCTCCAAAAAAAAAAAAAGGTAGTACTCTCTGGAGTAAGCCATTTCCAATAGTTCCCACCCCTAGCTCAAGCTTTGCTTAAAACAAAGGAGCAAAGGAGAGTTTCACTCAGATAAAAAAAAATGAGAAGGTTGGGGACAAAAAGAGACAGAAGGACATTCAAATAAGAGGCTTCTAAATCAGGGGTCTCCCTAGTGGTACCAGAGGTTCAACATCAGCACTATGAAGCAGTTCACAGCTACTGCAGCACGTGTTCAATTCCCTGCCAGGGAGCTGACCCACATGGCATAGCAGACCTCTCCTGATTGGCCCACTGCTCCCCTCAGCAGTGTATTTCAGTCAACCTGCCTGTTCTACTCCCCACTCTGTCTCTGGTGAATCCTCTCACCCCGTCCCCTCCAAGCACCTTTGGCCTATACCCTAGTTCTTATATGCATAAATAAATCTTAAAAAAAAAAAAAAAAAGAGGCTTTTAAATCACTCATTCTAAAATGTGGCTGCCATTAGGAATATCTGGCTTCATCTCAAGCCAATTAAATCAGAACAGAGTCTAACCAAAATTGAAATAAATTATATTTGTTTTTATTTGAAAAGAAAATGAAATATTAATCACTGAATTATAAAACAAAGTGTCCTAACCATGCAACTAATTCATTTAAAAATTAGTACTGTAAGTTTTTTTCCCTTCCTAATATCTACAAAACCACTGTCATCTTGCCACAAGACTCAAATATCAAAGCAATCAAGATTCTTTTCCATTAATTTAATAAACATTTGTTAAGCTGATGGTATATTCCATTGTACTAGGTGAAAGAAACAGTGGTGAGCTTTAGCAATTCATTGTTGACCAAGATCCCTTATGAAACTATCAAGGAAAATAGACCAAAATTGTTAAGTATTGACCACTGTTACATAGATATAGGTAAGAAAGAGTCAAATGCTACAGAAGCTTATAAACCTGGGGGATTGAATTAGTCTTGGCAGCAGAAAGGGGGCAGGAAGAACTGGCAAAACTAGGGAAAGCTTCTCCTTAAGAAACGATGCCTAAAGTGAGCTCTAAGCTGAGAGCCAGTAGTTAATTGAGGGCAAAAAGAGTGCTGACAGCAATGGGTGGGAAAAAAAGCAAAGGTAAAGGTTCTTAGATAGGGGTAAATGAAAGCATTCAAGTGCTGAGAAATGATGAGAAATGAATATGATGAGGGCATACAGAGAAGAGAGCAAGGGGAAAAGTAGCTGTAATGGGTTAGTTTAACTGGCAGGCAGATACCAGATCACAAAGGACCATGTAGACGATATTACAGGTCTGAATGTCATCCTTAAAACAATGGGAAATCCTGGCAAAGTTTTAAACAAGGCAGCAGCAATCTATGCAGACTGATCTGAATCCTGCTAAATTTTTGCCAGCACTTTCTGATACAGAATGCCCTGGCCAGTATTTCAAGAAACTTGGGACTATTTAACAGAGGTGATAGAATCATCAAGCTAGCATAGCTCAATTACATCAATAAGAGCATTCATTAACAGCACTCTACAAAGTCTACCTTTACGAAAGAAAGATTTGGATTATAATTTACTTTTCATGTATAGTTTTTTATATGGAAGAAACTGCTGTCTGGACACGCCAATTTGTAAGAAAACGTAACACTTTACACATCTCAATGGAAATGAGAAAATCAACACTGTTTTCTCTGTCTGTCATTAACTGTGCCCTATTTAATGGTTATTCATAGTTTTATCAGCACAAAAAGCACCTTTCATCTTTTGTGAAATTTCTCATATGGTTTTGGTGTGAGGACTACCAATGATAAACTTCACTCTCCAGTCAAATAAGTGAGTTTATGACCTAGAATGGACCCTTCAGTGTATTTACCCCCTCCTGGTAATAATGACTGATCCAAAGGACCAGCACCTGACCTGATGTGGTAGATTTCTCTAGATTTTAAACACTAAAACTTGGAGAAAGGTGCTTTCATTCTTCAACGTTCAGACTCTGTAAGAGTGAGACCCCAGAACAGCTGATGGCCAAACTCTATTAGGATACAAAAGCCTGACAGAAAGTAGTGAGGAGAAACACAAAGGAGATTCTAATGCATTATAATATTATTTGGTCAAGTTCCTGAAACCAGTTGTATCTACATGTTTCTGGGTTACTACTTTTTTTTTTGCTTAAAGCAGTCTAAGCTAGATTTTGTCACTTGAAACCAAGAGAAGAAACATTCCAAGTTATGAAATATTGAATGAATTGGTTTTCAGTATATAGTACTGACATCATCATCTACTAGACTTTGTTCTACACAGGAAAGAAAGCTAAAGAAATTAAGCTTCTACCCTTTTTGCAAGGATATTATAAACAATAAAAGAATAAACACAAAGTTAGCAAGCATTGTAAACTGGAACTGCTAAGAAGAGAGCACGGTAGAACTATATTAAAGAAGAATGAACTAAGATTCAGAAGACCAAGGTCCTCACTGTGTCCTGTGCTACTTGTTACCATGGCATACCACTTATTCTATGTAAGTTACAATTCCTTTACCTAAGAAGTGGAAAGCTCTACATTTTATCTAAGGTTGCTTCTGTTGTGGGATTTATGGAATCATTTTGAGGCTGTAAAGCATTCTCCTCATTCACATTATTCCACAGTAAACAAAGAGAAAACTGTAAATTCATTTTACATCTAAATTCTACTTTCTTTTTTCCTATTTAATAGTGTACTTTTAAAACATAAAAGTCTCAAAGTTCACGACCAGCAGCAAAACATCCCTCCAAATTAAAATGATATCCAATATATCTGGTTTAAATTGAATGGTATCTTAAAAATAGAGCTTTATTTTCCAATTTTGCAAGATATTTAAAACTAGAAATTCTAGATTTCTTTCTTGATCCTACTAAAGCCTGTGTATCCTTGTCCTGTTAGTAATTTGGCCCTCAAAAAATTCTAATTTAATAGTCTACGATACCATAAAGTATTTTAAACTAGTAATAAATGGTGTGTGTGTGGGGAGGGGAAGACCACCCTCTATACAACGTCAGGCAAGAACTAAGTATGGTGGAGTAAAAAGAGCCCTAATTAGAAATCAGGAGACCAAAATGTAAAGAACTTTATTCTCGGTTATTTCTTTCCCTCCAAAGAACAAGACTTCTGATTGAAGTTTCCCGATTCAAATGAGTTAGCCTTATGACATTTAATTCTGTTGGTTATAGTCTGGCACCCCAAAAAACCCAAACAAAACCAACAAACTACTTTGGGAAACTTTTCGAAGGCGCACTTTCAAGTTCAGGCCTTGAGTCTATTCCACATGTGGGGCTTCGAGTCCCCCAAGTGAATGGATGACACTAAGGCTACTCCTCAAATCGATAGTGAAAACATTACCTTCGTATTGTTTTGGCAATAAAAGAGGAACTTTACTCCAAGTAAATCCTCGATGCCGAGCTTAGAGAGTGAAGGAGTGTTTTTGCTCATCTCATTCTTTAAATTGGAGCCCAGACCCAGCCCCTCCGCCGGGGTCTCCCGACCGGGAAGAGGAGCTTCGTCGGGGTCGGGGCAGCCCGTCCCCGAGCCCCAGGCTGCGCCCGGAGGTTCCGGGGCGCCGTCGGAAGGGAACCGGGTGCTGTGGAGCCGGAGGTTTCGAGGCTGGGGCCTGGGGTCGCCCCTCGGCCGAAGAGCCACGGGGAAGGCCTGCGCGTGGCATCACCAGACTCACCTCGGCGTCTTCTTTGCACTGTGGGAGCGACGGGAACTCCAGCTTCATGTCCTCCATGGTCCCTGCCCGCGCGCCGGTGGGTGGGGAGGGAGCTACCGGTCGGCCCGACCCTCAGGCTGGCAGTGGCGGTGAAAGGAAGACGGGCAGGTGGGCCGGAGAACTGACGGGCGGGCGGCCGGCTCCCAGCTAACACACGCAGACGGAAAGGTCCCAGCGACTCCGGCGACGGCGGCGGCGACAGCGGGGAAGAGGAGGGTTGGGCGGCTCGTACCCGGCCGCCATGCTGCCGCCGTCTTCCTCCCCCCGATCTCCTCGCCCCTCAGGCCGCCCCGGCTCCGGCTCTAGCACGAGCGCTACAACCGTCGCCCCGCCTTCCAGCCCACCCCTCGCGCCGCCCCAGCCAATCCCAGCACACGCTCGCCCTCGGCCCGCCCTCCGCAGCCGCCAGGTGTCAGCGCGCCGCCGCCCCGCCCCTTCGCGAAGGCGCAGACGCGAGGGGCGGGGCCTCGAGGGCGCAGCGGCCGGAGCGCGCTCCGCGTGGAGGGGCGGGGCTGCGGCAGGAGGGAGGGAGTGACTGAAGGACAGCCCCAGCCCTTTCCGACAGCGGGCCGACCTCTTCGTGTGAAAGGACAAAATATCCTAGCCAGCAGAAGCTGGCGTCCGAAATAAAAAACATCGCTCCCCCTTCTCTGAATCCTATGCAATCTGTGGTGAGGTTATAACCAAAGGGGTGTTAACTGAGTTCATCCTAAAACTATGTTATGCTACATAGAAAATAAAACACCCATCAATTTTAAGAAAATTGAAACGGTGGACTTCTAAGAATACTGGGGAACATGATAATTAGAACATCTCAAGAATGACAAATAGACAAAGTCAAGAAATAGAAACAGAATTGATAAATCAGTAACTTGTACATAATGTTATCTTTTATTCTTTTTACTATTTTAATATATTAGTAAACATCACTTTCAGTATCTTTTTGAAAGGAGGTTGAGTCAGAATTAAAACCGTATTGTTAATAAAGGCTATATACATGATAGTTTCACTGGGCCATAGGAGATATCTTCCTTTTTGTTTTTAAACAGGTGAAGAAAATCAATTTTAGATGTGGAAAAACCCACCATTAAACTTAAAAGGTCTGTACACCAAACTGATTCTTCAGTGTCACCAGCAAAGTAAAAAGGCAAATGATTCATCAAATTGCAATAGAGTAAAACAAATCAAGTGGATATTTGCTCTCCATCCCTCTGACAAACATCTTTCATTTTATGTTGTCATATTTATGAACTTTATTGCCAAATAGAATTGTTTAATAATTTGAGTATTAGCATGAGTAATGTTTTTGTTATCACTACACAAACTGCTCATAAAAAGAAACACAATAGTGTATAAAAGCTTTGATTCTGAATAATTGTATAATAACCCAGGTAATATATTGTTCATTCTTCAGGGTGTACGAATTTGAAATTTTTTTTTAATAGCAACTTTCATGATAAAATCTCAATTGCTGTCCAATGATGATTTCCTATTGTAATTTCTTAAAGCTCTCTCTAAAGATTTAATTGCAATTCATAAAAGAAAAAATTGTGTATAGGTAATTAACTTTAACATTTCAGATATCAGTATCCCCTATGTCAGACACTCATTGCTTAATATCCATAAATACCTATAGAGTCCATGGGTGAGCATGGAATAATAAATTTCCTTAGGTTTTAGTTTTAGTACATGCAAAATTCTGTATTAGTGTGAATTTTCTGGGAAGAGTATCAAGATCTTAATATTCTCAAAAGGAAACTACCATCTCCCATAAAGTAAGAAAGCAAATTCATACTTATTATCAAATATTACTTTTAATCATAATCTTAAAATCTTAAGGCTATGGATGTGCATGTACTATTTTAATTAACTATCACACAGCCCAATCACAGTAAGTAAAGAGTAAGTAAGACTTTCTGGAAGGAGTTATATATAGATATAGACATATAAACATCCATGTTTTATACATGTATGTAACAAGATGCTCTTATGAACACTGAGTATGGGTACTGTTTTAAAATAAAAGTCCAAAAGCTTATGATCTAAGCAGAACTTTATCTTGGTTAAGTAGTTTACTTACTAAAGAACCTAACGGGCCATAGTAAATGTATTGTTATAAAAAACAAGAATATATGTAAGAGAACTGAATTAAACAGCTTTTATTCAACTTTTTAGGATGAGGAAAACAAATGATATAAAATAAGTGATAAGAAATGCTGTCTTTTACTACTATCGCAAATCATGTTCTGTGTTTTACAAAATGCTCACACGGCAAATATGAAAAGCTTCAACATACTCTTATAACTCTGCTGCAGTAAATGCAACATTAACAAACATACAAATTTCTTCTGTACCAATCTAAAAGTAGAATTACTGAAATACTATTTTTAAAATGTTATCCATACATATTTTTATTCTTTGAATGAGATCATTGCCAATACATACATTATTTTCCTTAACTTTATTTTTACATTAAGCCCATATCTGTCATGCAGCTATCAAAAACTTTCTGGTAAATTAATTACACAGGTTTGTAGTCCAATTTAGACTCTAGCTTCTTAGAATCAGCCACTTTTCTGACTGCTTTCATGAAGTCTTCCTGTACTACAAAATCATGATCAGCACGAATTGCGAACATACCTGTGGAGAATAAAAGAACTTGATTGCCATATATGTGAATTATTTATTATAAGAAAACCAAGGGGTTGGGTTGGTGAAGTGGGTGAAGGTGATCAAAAGGTATGAACCTTCATAACATAACGTACAACCTAGTACAGTTAATACAGCAATATTCAGTTATTAATTCCGCATTGTATATTTGAAAGCTACTGAGATTTCATGTGAGAAGAAAACATTTTTGCTAGTATATGTGGTGATGGATATTAAATAGACTTATTGTGATCATTCTGTAATCTATACAAGTATCAAATAAGTTATATTGCACAGCTGAAACTAATATCAAATGCCCATTATACATCAATAAAGGTAAAAAAAGAAAACGAATATAATTTTATGGAGCATATGTGAAGTAGCCTTGAGTTACTACTTCTGAGTCAGTAATTCTGTCAGTAATTATCATTATTCATTTCCATAAAAGGTGAGAATTATTTTCAAATCAAAAGCTTAAAAACAATGAGACAATAATATGAATATTTAAAATTCAGCTCACAGTCCCTGTATCTAATGGAATCTTGAAAAAAACAAAATCGATGTACCAACAAAGCATACGCATTTTAAGCAGTAGTTTCTTAACTCTATATGCAGCAATTCCTTGGAAGGAGGAAGCACATGTATGGTTTGGAAAAACACAAAATATCTCTAGTAATTTTGACAGTCATTCCTTATTATAATGAAAAGCTTCAAAACAAGAAATTAGAGAAATCCAAGAGTGGGCTTCAACAAAAATCATTTTGCAATATATTTTATTCATGTTTCAAAGTTTACCTTATTTATATAGAAATTGATGTTTTATATGACTTTTATATTCAAGTATGATAATTCAGTTTTTTCCTTCAGGTTTTTGACAATTTCTACATTAAAAAGGGGTATCAGGTTTTTTGTTTGTGTGCGTGTGCACTTTTAACATTAATGTGTCAAGGACCTGGTTCCCAAATTTTCAGAGAAGCCTAATTTCATAGCAAGCTAAAGCTGATAATGCATTACTACTAGTTCAATGAATCCAACTAGTATTTCCACTGAGGATATTCTTATATTGAATTTTCATTAACATATAATGGGTTCTAACAGAAATTTTCAACAGTTAACTCCTATCTTCCCTTTCAAGATTTGGCTACGAGGAGCCTTAGAAATAGTCATAGACAGTCTACGCCCATACCACCCTGAACGCACCTGATCTCGTCTGATCTTGGAAGCTAAGCAGGGTCGGGCCTGGTTAGTACTTGGATGGGAGAAATAGTCATAGACAAATTCTCATATTGTCGGGTGAATGAACATGACTAATTTTTTTCTTTTTATTTATTTCTTTTCTTTTTTTATTATTTGATTTTTTAAATTTATTTTTTTACTAGATTTATTTATTCATGCATATAAGAACCGGGGTACAGGCCAGATGTGTGGGAGAGTGAGAGGATTCACCAGAGACAGAGCGGGGAACAGAACAGGCAGACTGACTGAAATACACTGCTGAGAGGAGCAGGTGAGACAGGAGAGGTCTGCCATGCCATGTGGGATTCTTGGTGGCCGGCCGGGATTGAACCCGCACTGCAGAAGCTGCGGACAGCTTCACCCAGCTGCGCTCAACCGCCTGCACCACCAGGGGAGGCCCTATTATTATTTTTTTAATTTTATGTCTTTTTTTACATCATTTTTCATTTTTGCACAATGTATGCATTTTCATCTTGGTTATAGTCCCCATACAATTCCCACCCCCCTCTTGTTTTGATCCTACATCCCCCCATAGTGTGTCTTTTGTTTATAGTTGCTTGTTGATTTCGATTTTTTTAATAGTGAGGTTTTCAAACTTGTTTAGAAGCAACAACTAAATTAGGTTAATTTATAATCCCAAACATTGCTCATTTGACTGCTTCCAAATCATTGTATACTGAATGAGTGAAACTGCAAGAGATACATTCTAATCCAAAATGAATAATCTGAAGATTTTAATGGAAAAGAATCAAATGTATTTTAACTTCTAGGAAGATGTTAAAAAAAAAAAAATAATAATAAAAAGAAGACCAAGGAATTCGAATGTCTCCACATGTTAAAAAAAAAAAAACCAAACAAACAAACTAAAGTTTTAATCCACAAAGAGTTACAGGTGTTTATGGGAAATAGATAAATATTTTTAATATGGAAAACAGAATCATAAATTGATGGGATCAGCCTTAAAGATTGATTCTACTTTTGCTTACCTTCCAAAGTCACCAAAGCAATCTTCTGATAATAATTTGATCCAATGTAGATTTTGAAAAGAAAATGTCATTGAGTTCCCTATGTAGTTCCAATCACATGAAAGTTTACCTCTTCATATTTTTTTTTTAAAGGTTTATTTATTTATGCATACAAGAGCTGGGGTGCAGGCCAGAGATGCGGTAGGTGAGAGGATTTACCAGAGACACAGTGGGGAGCAAAACAGGCAGATATACTGAAATATACTGCTGGGCCACCCAGGTGGGGCAGCAGGTTGGGTGGAGCGCTGTGAAGCTGTCCGCAGCCTCTGCAGCTCAGGTTTCCCGCTGGCCTGGGAGAAACCACACAGCGCAGCAGACCTCTCTTGTCTTGCCCACTGCTCTCCTCAGCAGTGTTTTCGGTCTGTCTGCCTGTTCTGCTCCCCACTCTGTCTCTGGTGAATCCTCTCATCCCCCTTGCCTCTGGCCTGTACCTCAGCTCTTGTATAAATAAATAAATCTTTGAAAAAAAAAAAAAAAAAAAAAGAAATATACTGCTGAGGGGAACAGCAGGCAAGACAGTCTGCTGTGCCATGTGGGTCACCTCCCTGGCCTGGCTGGGGATCAAAATGGTGCTGCAGTGGCTGCAGATAGCTTCATAGTGTTGCATCTTAAACCCCCTGCACCACCAGGGAGGCCCCTCTTCATATTTTATTAATGTCTTTGTGAGAATGATTTACTATGACTTGTACTGACGGTTTCTAGAAACTATGAGTATCTTTAATCAGATACTAAGCTACCTATGAAAATACTCCAACAGAAAAGCCATGCCTGAGAAGCTTCTTTAAACATTACATTTCTAAGTTAAAATAAGCTAGAGGTGATATGAAAATAAGAGGAAAACACACACTATAATATTACAAAAACAGTTCATTATAACCTATGAAAGTCACTAAAAAAAACCTACTGTCTAAATTTTTTTCAATCTAAATATTCAATGTGGAAGAGGAGGACTAAGCAATTCTATGTAGAGTCAGTTGCTGGATCATACAACCCACAGTGAAATTTATAATAAAAAATTACTACATGTTGAGGTGTAAAGCTGTACTCCACAAATTATAGTTATGTGAACTGGCAAATCAGTAACATTTGATTTTTTAAAATTGCTACATTTTACACAAGTTGTCTGATCACCAAATTCACAAGCTTTCAAAGCTTATTGCTGACAATAGTATCTGAAAACATGTCATCTTGTTCTGGCTCATACTGATTTCAGTCTTGGGTGTAACAAACTTACTTTTTACAAGGAGTCATATGTTATGACATGCTATAAGGCATCCAGAAGTACAAAGATATTGCCAAGGGCAAATATCATCCAATGAGGGGTATGAGAACTGGCAAATAAATACTCCAGTTACGGGACTCCCTGGTGGTGCATGGGTTAAAGACAGCACTATCAAGCTATTGCCAGCCACTGCAGCATGAGTTTGATCCCTGGCTAGCCAGGGAGCAACTCACATGGGGCAACAGACCTCTCCTACCTGACCCACTGCTCCCCTCAGCAGTGTATTTCAGTAGACCTGCCTGTTCTGCTCCCCACTCTGATGAATCCTCTCACCCCCACACCTCTGGCTTACACCTCAGTTCTTATATGCATAAATAAATAAATCTTTTAAAAATAAATACTCCAGTCTCCCATTTTTCAAACAGGTAATCCTAGAAGGCACCCCATATGTTTCTCTGAGGTCTCATTTTTTCCTGCCTCCCATAAAGGGGGGGTGGTGTATAATGGGGCAACTTTACAACAGATTTTCCTCTTTCCATGTCACTTGCTCTGTTTTATTCTTGGCATTAACCGACCCCCATCCCCCAAAAAACAATTAAGCACAAAATCCTTAAAGAGCCTAGACTCTGCTTTTGGACAAACTCAAACATGAAGTAAATTAAACAAATTAAGATCAATACCAAAACTGTACTTTAAACCCTTACCTGCTTCAGTACAAACATTTCTCAGGTCAGCGCCATTAAAGCCATCTGAAAGCTTCACAATTGCTTCATAATCTGTTGAGGAGGAAAAAAACCAGAAGTTAGTGGAAAAAAAAAAAAAAAAAAAAAATAGACATTTTCTTTTAATTTATACCCATATAGAAAATTTAAACCAAAGAGCCTGCTTTCCATTTAATCAGTTAGGCATCAGCTGTTAAGATTCTACAATACTGTCAACCAAACACTATACTTCTGTTACGTAGACATAGAAATAGATTCCTCTGAATCTTTAAAACCAGGAAATATCAAGATCTGAAATTATCTTAATCTGTTTCTATGTAGTAAAACAGGCACATGTGAACTTCAGTTTTCTGTATTTATGTGCTTATTAAAACTGTAAACAGTTTTATTTCAATAAGCCAAAACCAGTTGTAACCATGACAGAATTTAATCACAATAAGCCAAATATAAAATATACTAAAAAGTCATCAGGAAAAAATTTATCTTATAGGATTTTTAAATGTTAGAGCAAGCATTGGCTAGTTTTCTGCTTTCTATGCAAGTTATGAGTAGTGAAGTTATCAAATCTATAGTAATGGTAAAAATAAAGTGATCTTTCTAGCTACCCTGCAGACATGAAATGAAAAACTGTTGGTCTGGGTAGCGATTATGAACTTGATATTTAACAGAGAGAGAAATAAGAGACAGCACAAGCAAATAACTGATGAGACACCCTTTGAAATCATATAGTCTTCACTTAGGTTCAAGTTCCATGTGTCATCCTGAAAGCAGAGATCCCCAAGGTTAGCACAGTACTGTCATCTTTCAAGAACTCTGTATTAGAGAAATCTGTAAATTGACATTCTCAGTTTAGCTTAGTCTTTTCAGCTCAAAACCCTAACATGAGCAATGAGAAAATTAATGAGGGCCAACAGTCAACTATGTATAAATATTTTAGACTACTAACTTCTAAAAGGCTTTTTTAAAGCTGCTTGGCAAATTCTCTGTTATGATCTAGGCCATAAGTCTTTTAGGCTTTGCAAGTCATGTAGTCTCTGCCAAAACTACTCCTTTGTGCTACTGTAGTGGGAAAGCAGACACAGACATATATAAATGGGTTGGAGTCAGAAGGCAGACAGAATTTGCCCCACAGTCATGGTTTGTTGGCCTCTACTCTAGTCCAGTCTCTCATTTCTATAGATAAATATTTTATTACTTCTGTCCTCAAATCTCTAACCATACTTTCCCATTTTAGTCTGAATTGTTTCCTATTTCACTGAAAAGAATAAAAGCATTCAGAAGAAAAATTCTACAATTTTCTGCTTGGAGAAAGGTATCAGCACCTATATTCTGCCTTCTCTCCTACTAATGAAAAGACCCCCCTCAAAGAAAGTACATTATTAATCTCTTTCTTTCTTAGATCAGTCTTATCAGCATCAAAAAAGTGTTAAGTTCTTCCATCTTTGGTTTTTTCTCTACTCCCTTCTGTTGCAGAATTACTTGAGAGAAATGTATAGGGCCTTCCTAGTGGTACAAGGGGTTAAGACGCAACCTATGAGGCTGTCTGCCACTGCAGCACAAGTTCGATCCCTGGCCAGGGAGATACCCACATGGCACAGCAGACCTCTCCTGTGTCCCCACTGCTCCCCTCAGCAGGATATTCAGTCAATCTGCCTGTTCTGTTCCCCACTCTGTCTCTGGTGAATCTTCTCACTCCCTGCACCTATGGCCTCTACTCCAGTTCTTGTATACATAATCTTCAAAAACAAAAAACCAACACAAAAAGATCTTATCTTTTCAATGATAACAACCCTTCAATAGCATCTCTGTCACTGAAAATAAAAGCCAAAGTCGCTACATAATGTCCTCAATAAGGCTCTATTCAATATAGTCCTCAATATAGTCCTTCTATGAGCTCACTTGCTACTACTGAACTTTGGTGTCTTTGCTGTTCCTACAGTGTTCCAGGCATGTATCTGCTTCAGAGCCTTCCTATTTGCTGCTTCCTTTGCCTGATCTTCCCCTAAATATCCATATCTACTTTCTTCACCTTAGAAATCACCTTTTGGGTAAGACCTTCAAGGTGTTCCCCTTCCCCATCACCACTTAAAAAGGTATGCATTCATGCATGCTCCTAGCATTACCCCTACCCTGCTTTATTTTTATCCACAGCACTTATCACCATCTAATATACGATATATATTACTTTGTTTTTCTTGATAAGAACATAAGTTCTATAAAGGCAGGAATTTATCTGTTTTGTTCACTGCTATGCCTGCAGTACTTAGAACAATTCCTAGCACCTACTATGTGCTCAAAAAATATCAGCTGTTGGGCATCCCTGGTGGCGCAGGCAGTTGAGTGCAGTGCTGTGAAGCTGTCTGCAGCCTCTGCAGTGTGGGTTCAATCCCTGCCAGCCAGTGAGAATACCACATGGCGCAGCAGACGTCTCCTGTCTCGCCCACTGCTCCCCTCAGCAGTGTATTTCAGTGGATCTGCTTGTTCTGCTCCCCGCTCTCTCTGGTGAATCCTCTGACCCTCCCACACATCTGGCCTGTACCCCAGTTCTTGTATGTATAAATAAATAAATCTTTAAAAAAATCAGCTGTTTGCTGAATTTAAAGCTAGATTTGATAGACTATCAGTTATCCAATAATATTTTGCAATATCTACCAAATATGAACATATGAAAAATAGATTATTTCCTTACCTATTTCACCATGCTTTGTAATAGGACCAGCATGTATCTTCAATATATCTAATCTTGCTTGTTCATTTGGTAAATCAATATCTGCAAAATAAATGGTAAGAATTTTTTTTTCCTTCGGCAGTAAGGCCTTTGTTTATAAAATAAAGTGAGGGGTGAGAAAAAGGCATTGGGAGTAAAATGAACAGCAGATAAAGAACTTTAACTCACGTATTTTTCTATCTAATCTTCCCGGACGGAGCAAAGCAGGATCCAGTGTATCTGGTCTGTTTGTAGCCATGATCATTTTAACTCTATGCAGAGTATCAAATCCATCCATTTGATTCAGTAACTAGTATGTTTATAAATAAAAATAATAGACTTTACAAAACATCCCAACCATTAAACATACACAGTAGACCCTAACACTATAAATTTATTTCCTATAGATTTGCAATGTTCAGAATGATCATTTGATGGAATTATATTTTCCTCTCTTTTAATAAGATATACTTTCCATCCTCAAAGTTTCAAGGAAGATTATTTAGCTATGTATTTTTTATAGCTATCAGGTAGTTATAAAATTCTGAAGATTCCCACCTTGAATTCATAATTCAAGAAATATGAATCTAAATTATGTAATCTGGCTTCCAGTGATCAAATACTTTTCATGCAGCTACTTTTAAAAATAAAAACTAATAAAGAAGGGCCTCCCCAGTGGCGCAGCGGTTGAGCGCTGGGTTGCGAAGCTGCCCGCGGCCTCTGCAGCGCCGGTTCGATCCCTGGCTGCTCCCCGGCCACCGGAGGAGGGTCCCACATGGCGCGCAGACCTCTCCTGCCACCCGCTGCTCCCCTCAGCAGTGTACTTCGTCATTCTGCCTTCTCTGCTCCCCGCTCTGGCTCTGGTGAATTCTCTCACCCTCCTGCACTTCTGACTGTACCCAGTGCTTGTATAAATAAATAAATCTTAAAAAAAAAAAAACTAATAAAGAAGACATACAGATGGCCAATAAGCACATGAAATGTCTGACATCATTTATCATCAGGGAAACGCTAATTAAAACCACAATGAGATACCACCTCATGTCCATGAGAATGCTTCATATCAAAAAATACAAGGACAACAAATATTGGCGAGGGCATGGGCGTAAAAAGGAAACCTTGTACACTGTTGATGGGGATGTAGACTGGTCCTACGGAACATATGGAGGACTCTTCAAAATATTAAAAATAGATACTCCATATGATCTAGTAATTCCAATCCTTGGTATTTATCTAAAGCACACAAAAACACTAGTTTGAAGGGTTATATGCACTCCTATATTTACTGTAGCACTATTTATAATAACCAATGGAAATAGTCTATTCAATGGAATAGTCTAAGTGCCCAAGGAGAGATGTGTGGATAAAGTGCTATATATATAAATATATATATAAAATGTAATTTTATTTAAATAAAAGCTAATAAAAGCAAATAAAAGAGATAAAATCTTGCCAACTGTGGCAACAGGGATGGAACTGGATTATGCCAAGTGAAGTAAGTCAGAAGATAAATTCTAGACGATTTCACTTGTGGAATATAAAGAAACAAAGGAACAGACAAAACTAAACCAAAACAAGCCCTAGAAATATGACTTCAAAACTGAAGCTACTAGAAGAGAAAGGCTGGGAGGGTGGAAGGCTATAAGGACAGGAGACCCAATGGTTTATGGTGGAGGATTATGGGTGCTTTAGTGGTGGTATGATATAAGACACAACTGTAGTATGTGAACCTATATTCCTAAGTCATATTCAGTATTGTAAACCAATGTTACCTTAAAAGAAAAATGCTAACAAAATCTAATGTATAAAGAGTACTTAATGGTATAACAGATACTAAGATAAACAATGATTTTTTTTTTTAGTAAATTTAATAGTAATTGTATAAATTAGCGTTTTAAATCTATTACACATAGAAATACTGAGACACTAAGAATATTTCCCAATGTTTTCTTGAATAAGTGTTGAAAAACCTAACTCTATTGAACAGTTATTTGAAATATAGCTGTCTGGCAATACATATTCTTCCCAAAAATATCTGCTTACAACATATCAGTTACAAGAATAAAATTAGCATTTGCATCATTTTACAATACTTCAATTTAGGGAAAAATAAATAAATAAATAAATAAAAATTTAAGTCCTCAAAAAAAAAAAAAAGTGTATTAACTCTAAGTGTAGACCAACTCTTTAAATTATAAGGCATAATGTATATTTTATTGGGATATATTGTTTGAAACTTCTTAAAATACTAGGAAGTGTGTATCAAAGATGACTAGTTCTTTCCAAAATACATAAATAAAATAAAACACCTCAATTTAAAGTTTCTATGAAATTCCATAGCTAATTTAAGAATACTGTATATCTTCTGAGCAGATCAGTATAATTTATGAAAAGCAATTTTCAAATATTCCAATTATTCCAAATGAGAAAATTTGATACAGCATTACCTGTACTAGTTTCTACTTGCAGAAGGGTGAAAATGTATTTGGGATTCTCTATGACTTTCATAGAATTGCAGTGAGTAAAAAGAATGTGGGAAAGGCTATACATACATTCTAATATGCCAACATTCATCCTCAATTATCAAAAGAATTTTAGTCTCCTCTCATTCTCAATAATAGAGGAAAGTGTTAGTGATATTTAGATCAGCCTCACACATAATTATAACTCATTTATTGCCACCAGTTTTAATATGCCCATTACTTGTAAAATACTTTAATACAACCAGGGCAAGATCACATACACAATATAAGAAGAACAACATAAAATTTAAATACCTGAATGACTGATCTGCTCATATAATAGTAGCTATATATCAAATGGAATTCTGTAGATACTATTATTTTTTATTAGTCATATTATTGCTAGAGAAAGAAAACACATTTCTGGCACATAACTGGCAATATTTTCAAGTTTCATACTTAGGTTTATTCTTCATTTAAATTGTACATATTTTGACCTTCAAATAGTCTATGTTCGGTTCTTCATTTAATAAACACTGATTTATTCATAAATCCTGTTCAACCAAACATTACCTCCATTAAAGTTCTCTGAATCTCTCTATCAGCTGAAGTACCCTCAGAAAACCGACGACCACCTAAAATAGTAAAGAAACTCATGTGCATTACTTTTTTCCTCTATAACCATCATTTATCAAAACAAAACATGACAGTGTCTGCAGCCAAAAACAGTAGAATGAAAATTAAATCGTAGAATTATATTGACAAAGTTAGAACTGATTTTAGTATAGCATTTCTCATTCTGTCAATGTGAAAGATTATTAAAAAGTTAAGATTTCTTAAGAATGTTTTTAAAGTAACATCTCATGAAAATAAAGGTGAAGTGAGAGGAAGAAAGTTCTTTCACATTTTTTAAAAACTTCCTAACATTTGCAACAAAGGTTTAAAACAAATTTTAAAAGGTGTTTTTCTTACCAATCGCATCTATCTCATCCATAAAAATGATGCATGGCTGATGGTCCCTGGCATAATTAAACATTTCTCTGATCAAACGAGCACTTTCACCAATGTACTTGTCTACAATAGAACTAGATACAACCTGATTAAAGGAAAAACACATTTAAACATAAGACAATTCAAATAAAATTTTATTTCAACAACTACTTAAACAATCTTCCTTTTACCTTTAAAAAATTGCAGTCCAGCTGGCTAGCCACAGCTCTTGCCAAAAGTGTTTTTCCTGTACCTAAAATGGAAAGTCCTAATTAGATGGAAAGTAAAACAAATTTTCAATAGCTTTTTGAGAATGTAATCCTTTGGCTAGCCAATTTTGCAAAGTGGAAGCTAAATCCTAAATAGAAATTCAATTTAAAATTCCAAAGCTGGGGCCTCCCTGATGGTGCAAGGGGTTAAGCAATCTGCAGCCTCTGCAGCACGAGTTCCATCCCCAGCCAGCCAGGGAACAACCCACATGACGCAGCAGACCTCTCCTGTCTCGCCCGCTGCTCCCCTCAGCAGTGTATTACAGTCAGTCTGCCTGTTCTGGTCCCCACTGTCGCTGGTGAATACTCTCACCCCTCACATCTCTGGCCTGTACCCCAGCTCTTGTATACATAAATAAATAAATCTTTAAAAATAAATAAATAAAATTCCAAAGGTGTACATAGATGTCAAATTACATGCGCACACTGGAAACTTATGTTATGAACCAATGTTACCTCATTCAAAATTTATATAAAAGAAAAAAATTTAAGCAAATAAGCAATACTTAAAAAAAAAATTCCCGGTATTAAAATTTTAAATTTTATTCAAAATATCCCTTGAAATTCAATTTTAGCAAAATCAATTTATATCTTTATATATCAAACCCCACTTACAGACTTCAATGAAAACATCTGTTACATTAAAATCCATTTGTCCATCCTATACACTGAATGTTTATCTTTTACCTATGCATATTGTAATATCCACTTGGAAACTATTGGTTCAATGAGTTATACAAAACTTCCAGATGTTTTTTATTACATAGTACTACAAAAAAAAAAAAACAACTTACTTGTTTAATATCACCAATTTCATTAGAAAAATCTTTTAAAACATTAACATTAGAAAATTGGCATGCTCACAGTGACAGATAAAAGTTTTCAAAAATTCAAATTTTCACTTGAAAACTCAAATTGTATCAACAGGTACAGACGTTTTAACATGACAAATTAACTTTACTCATACTTGAAAAAAATTTGTGACAGATAACCAATGCCCAGTTTGATAAGCATAGATAGTCTCTAAACCAAACTTTGAAGTAAAACATTCCACAAAAAGGAACTGGTTCAGTTGACAACTAAAGTAACTGCACAAGTGTTTTCCTAAAGATAACTATCCTACTCAGTGTGCAACAGAAGTACTTCACATGCATTTCCATTTTATCACACAGAAAATGAGACATTGTTTGAGGATCAAGATTAATAAATTAGTAATTTTGATTGATTGATTCACTGAGAACATTTTAAAGTGCAATTGGCATTATTTTCAAATACTCCAAGTGGGAATGGTCAAGAAAACAAATACTAGCATCACTTCATGCTAGTGACTTAACTGATGCTAAGGCATGAGTGGCTTTATCCACATTGCTTATGCACCATCAGTATAGATTTTAAGAGAGTGGAAATGCAACTAACACCTTAGTATTACAAAAGCTAAGTTTTGAACTTGCATACTTCCCAAAAGTATCTCAGGAACTTCTATAAGTCTGTGAACCACAGTTTGAGAATCACTGCACAAGAATCACATGATATGTTAAGATATATACACTATGAGGCACAAGAGGATTAAGCATGCCTGACAGAACAGGAGACACCTATCTCCTATCACCTCTTTAAACAGAGTGTAGGTTGGAATCTCCCACATTAATTCTCCATCTTATATTTTCCTCTTAATTCATTCACTATTAGTAGGGCAGAAATAATTTAATACCAACCTGGTGGTCCATATAACAAACAGCCTTTGGGAGGTATTATTCCTACGCGCTGGAATAGTTCTGGGTTTGTAAGAGGTAATTCGATCACCTAGAAAAGAAATTGCATATTTCTAAAAGTAAAGATTTCCTGTATTTTCAAACATTTTAAGTAAACTATTAACACAGGTTTACATATTATAATTCATAATAGGTTTTAAATTCTATGCTATGTTAAGCCACTTATATTCAAGGTATTTCTTCATAGATTTAAGCTTTCAGATCTAAAAAATTTTAAATTATTTTTAAAAACTAATTAAAATGTGTGTACATATTTTTAAAAACCATACATTTGACTAGAGTCATGGTTACAAGACATATCATTTGTCAAAACATGTTTGAATGATACAGGTACAAGATCTGTAACTATTTTGCATTTGGAAATACAATACAAAATAATTATAAAATTAGGAAATTTGATGTCATAATTGCTGTCAAAAGAAAATGTATATAAAATTTTCATGTTGGCATGTTTGCTACAGCAAACCTAAAAGAACCAGATGTTCTACTCTCAATGTCCTACAAAGACTGATTCAAGAAAACTGAGGAATAATTAAGAATTTGCACAATTAAAACTCTACTTATAGTACTATTAACCAGAGATAAACTTGTATTGAAAAGCTGTGTCCATAAAGAGTGATTAAAACAAATCCAAAGAGTACAAATAAATATTCTCAGTGTCTGCAGATGGAAAAAGGTATTGCATATTTGAGGGGAAGGTAGGGTGGTGGTGGATATTTCTTCTGTTCTATGGCTGATGCAGCAAATTACTGTAAAAGACAAGTTTTCACAGTTCCATGAAGTACCTGTCTTCCTCTGTTGCTGTTTCATTAACTACAAAAGTGAGAACAGGCTTTTATTTATGTTTTGGACAATGCTTCTTCAAGCATGCTCACAAAATATGGTTTCATAATCACCTGTAGTTCTTGTTTAAATGCTAATTCCTGTGTCCTATCCTCAATCTACTGCATCAAAATTATGAGGAGAACCTAGAAATCTGTATTTTAAATAAGAGTGCCAGAAAATTTAATGTGCTGCAGTCTGAGAACTACTGGCTTAGAGCTTAAATCAAATGATACAGATCATTCTGGCTATCCTCATTCATTCCCAAATATTCCCATTCTAAGATAGGATGAAATTAATAGGACAATGTAGTTTGCTTTAAAGAAAATTGCTATGAAGTCATCTGTGCCATGAAACAAGACAATCCTGATTTAGGCCACTCTGAAAGCCAATATTTTTCTTAAATACCAGCAAACAGCTATATTCACTTTATGATGAGAAGAATATTAGTGGGGTAATTGGGAAAACAACATTATACATGTTATCCACATGTGCTCTGAGGCAGGTAACCTACTACGGTACTCAAAAACACACATGGCATTATTATAATTTATTCTTATTTTTTTATTCTTTCTTTTTCACAAAAAGAGAATTTTTCTAACACCAAATTGTCTCCAAATTAATAAACATCTATAATTTCCATAGCTAGAAATTCAGTGTTATTCTCCTCTTATCAAGAACATTAAAAATAAAATTTTTAGCAACCACTCTTTGGACAAAGTAATTTTTCAACCTCTTTCTCCCTTCAGGTATCTTGAAACCAGTACTATTTATTAGTAAGTTCAGGAACAAAGCATACATTACCAACCTCCCTTAATTCTCGAATCTGTTCTGACAGTCCTCCAATCTCAGAATAAGAAACATTCCCCGGGTCCTCATGGGACATGTTATAGACTAGTGGATCCACCTCTCTTGGCAAGTATCTATAATGATAAGGTACATATATTTCTTTTAAAAGTTAAACTTTCTCTCAGCCTACAGATAGAATATAAAAGACTTACATATGCAAGAACCTGTACTTGATCTTATAAAAAATATTTAAATTCATTAGAAATTGGTAAAAGGAAAAAATCAAAAACTATCCAGTGCTTTCAAGAAGCATGTATTTTAGATAGACTCTTCCCTCTGTGAAAATAAAAAGTAAAAGAAATAAGAGTAAGAAACCTACCTCATGATAGTTAGTGTAGTCATATCCAAAGCAACTCTTGTTCCTGGCTTCAGCTTACTTTTGTCAAGCTAATTTTTTAAAACAAAAGGCATCACATAAATACTTATAAAGGGCAATAACACTCTAACAAGGGCATTAATATTTAGAAGCCAAATAATCATAATAACTCTTCAAGAGAGAACATACTTGATATTAGATTATAAACACCACATCAAGAGAAAGGCTTATGAAAGTAGTAATTCAAAGTTATTTCCATCTGCCCCTTTTAAGAATGCCCCTTTTTGCAATCTTAGTGTAAAAAGTAAAATCAATACACAAAGTTTGAAGAGGCAATGGTCTCGTATTTTAAAAAGGAAATTTTTAAAGACTTAGTATTTAACATAGTTTTTGCTCACTGTTTTGATTCAGGCATTGTAGTACAGGGACACTGGCAATTAGTGCCAAAATATTTATACAGAAATCCATTAGTGAACATTTTGGGGGAAAGAAAGTATAGCATTTTAAAGGTGTGCCCATAAGATTTATTTTTAAAACTAAAGCTTTGGAAAGAATGTGTTACTTGATCATAGAATATAAGGAGGAAATGTACTACTTCCCCTTGGAGATTTTTGTTAAAATGCTAACAAAACAAAACTCCAGCAACCATCATTCATGCCTTTGCTACATGACAGATAGCATACTACGTACATCCTATATTAGGTTGAAGCATGTTAAATAATTTATTGGCATATTTAGACAAGATAGCTTATTTGGGTAGAATTGGCTAGAACTAATAGATTCACACTGAATGTTACTTTTCAAAAATAAAGTTAAAAATAGTTAAAAGAAAAAATTATACCCTTCCAGCTTTTCTAATAATTTCCATTTTCTCAAATATTACACTCCCATGTGCTCCTAAAACCACAAACTATCTTAGAAATAACCATGAATTAGGGGCCTCCCCGGTGGCGCAGCGGTTGAGCGCTGGGTTGCGAAGCTGCCCGCGGCCTCTGCTGCGCCGGCTCGATCCCCGGCTGCTCCCCGGCCACCAGAGGAGGGTCCCACATGGCGCACAGACCTCTCCTGCCGCCCGCTGCTCCCCTCAGCAGTGCACTTCCGTCCTTCTGCCTGCTCTGCTCCCCGCTCTGGCTCTGGTGAATTCTCTCACCCTCCCGCGCTTCTGACTGTACCCAGTGCATGTATAAACAAAACAAACAAACAAATAAAGAAAGAAAGAAAGAAAGAAAACATGCCTCTCTAAAAAAAAAAAAAAAAAAGAAATAACCATGAATTATCTTAAAAGTGCAAACTTTTGGCATCCAGGGTGTCCTGAAGGGTACATAAAAATTCTTTGTCAGATCAGGCACCTAATATTTTGATTGAGAAAATGTTGCCACAGTTTATAGGGTAGGCAAAATTCTAAGATTAGATTTAGTTCATTGGTTAAATTCTATTCTACAATCATGTCATACCAACGTTTTAAAACCTAATCCTGGGGCCTCCCAGGTGGTGGTAAGGTAAGGTAAGGTAAGGTATTAAGTCTTAGCACCGTGAAGTTATTGGAAGCCACTGTAGCACTCGTTCAACCCCCAGCCAGGGAGCTGGCCCACATGGCACAGAGGACATCTCCTGTCTTACCCACTACTTCCCTCAGCAGTGTAATTGAATCAACCCCACTCTGTCTCTGGTGAATCCTCTCACTCCACCCTCCCATGCCTCTGGCCTACACTCCAGCTCTTGTATACATAAATAAATCTTAAAAAAAAAAAAAAAAACAGAAACAAAAACAAGAAAACCCTGATCCTGGTGTAATGAATACACAGGAAAAAAAAGCTCTACAATGAATTTATAAGAATGGTCTAAGGACACTTCCTAAAAATAGGGTAGTACATAAATTGACTTCAGAGGTTACTGAATAAACTGAATAATTTGAAGATGTTAGTTCAAATTTTTGATAACTACAAAAATTCTGAAAGTTGTAATTATTTCTATTTGCCTACTCTAGTGTAAACAAACTCATTCAAAATCTACTTAGGCTACAATAAACCACATTAGTAACATTTTTGAATGTTCAAATGTAAAACACAAGTAGTTAGCAAGGTCTAATACTTTTCACTCCTTTTTAAAAAAGACATTAAGACGAAATGATATGAGGTATTTTCCAGTTCTAAAACTCTTTGATTTCTAAGTGTACAGAGCAGACCAAGGCAAAGAGCAGAGTAGAAAATAGAGAATATCAGGCATCAAAAATGCAGCTTGAATTTAAGCTTTGCTAGTTGTAAACAAATCACCTTTGGAAATACCGGCAAAATGTCTGCCCTAGTTAACCTCATGGATTAAACAATTTATATGAAATTGCTTTTGTAAATTAAAAAGCACTATACAAACAGTTTTACCTGCCGACGACAACCCACAACATATCTTGGTCCATTAGTAGCTTTAACAATGACTACAGGAAGAAAATTAAAAAACAAGTTAAAAATAAAAAGTAAAAAAAATACATACTTATCAATGACAAGTTCAGTTTCATTTCTGTTCTCCAAGAAGGCAACAGTTGAAACAATACTTTATAAAAAAAATCATCTACCTTCATTATTGTCATTAAAATAATAAGCATTTCAAATGTTAGAGGTTGGGAAGGGGGTGGTTCTAGCTCTTTCATTTTTTAATAATTAACAAATCTAATCCACTTACATTTTTCTTCAGTTAACTGCTTGAGAACTTCACCCACAATCTAAGAAAAAACAAAAGAAAAATGTTTGCCAACAGCAAAAAAAAAGAAAACTACCATTACCCCATACACCCCAAACTCCATTACTTACCTGCCCAACACTTTGTAGGGCCTTCAGATCATTTTCAGATTTTTCATACTGCTTGGTAAGTTCTTTTAGTTGTTCTCTTACTAAAATAATTTGAACATTTTTAGTTAAACAACAATCTGAGTAAGTTTAAGTCGCAGTCTTACTTGTCTATTTCATTTTATACATATTTTTATATACTATATCAAGCCACAAAAGAAACAATGACGTTTGTAGGTGACTTGTTTAAAAACGAACTGTTAGGGCGAAAACGTTGTATTTTCATTTTCGTGATAACCAATACTTACTTGCTTAAGCAAATTTTAGGTTACATTCTTAACAGATACTGAAACTGACACTTTGGATAAATGAGTTAGACCCTTCCTCACCTCTTCACCCACCCACAAGGATTTTTACTCCCTGGTTGACTTTCTACCTTAATAAGGTCAACAGGTGCAGTTCTCAGAATTATATGGTTATGGTCTTCCTTTCATTAAACCACTCAGGCTTTTCAATGATGGTGCACAATGCAAAAACATAAGTATCCTTTTGGCCCAGGAAATAAGGGAAACTTGTGTGCCTGACAGAGTACAATTTAAAACACGAGAGCAGACAAGAAGGTTATTATGATCGCTGGATTCCCCTCTTAAGCTCCCCATCCGGCATTCCACTCCACGAACAAGTCAGTTCCTGGGGTGTCATCTTACTTCAGCTTCCTTCACTCAAATCTCTTCCTCTCGGAGCCTAGCACTCCATCAAAACTGCCCTCCACCCCAAGCTGGGAAATATCCCTGGCCCACTTTTCTCCACTCCTGTTCTAGTCCTGTTCCACCTTCATCTGAGAACTGGAGCTGTTCTCCCTGACACTCGGGCCAGTCCGGGCCATTTCCATGCCCGCGGAGGCTCTGCTCTCCGGGTCGCGGGCCGGATGACAAAGCGCCTTGTCCCTGGACCGAGGCCTTGCCATCCCCCGGAATCAGTTGCGTGCTCAGTCAAAAGTCTCCGCTTTGTCAGAAACAGAAGTGGGCCCAGGGACGAGGTTATGTGGAAAGAAAGGTGCACTCACGCTCCTTTAGACGGCCGTCAATCTCCTTGTGCTCCAGCAGCTTCTTGCGATAGTCCTGAAGCGCCTTATCTCTAGGGTCCGCCATGATGAGAAGCCGTCGCTCATAGGGGATGCCGGGAATGGCCATGGCCGCCCGGGCGGGGGCAGGGGCGGGGCGAGGGAGGAGAGGCGCCCTGGAAGGAGGGCTCAAGGGCGGCCCCGCCCCTTCCGGTTTCCCGCCTCTCTACTTCGATTCTCCCACTTGGGCGTCTCGGTTGGCGGATGAATTTGACGTCCGCCGAAGGAGGCCGCCGGCCATACTGGCCCCTGCCGGTCGCGCTGGGTAAAACGCGCACTGTTAGACTCGACTTCCGGGAAGCGAGGCCTTGGTATTCTTTTCACTGGTGTCCTGCAACCACAAAACACTTTGTCATAAGCTGAGATGGGAGTAAAATAAGGAATAAGCAAACTTTAGAAACAGGTCTGTCTGCCTAGCGGTGGAACACAGGCGGTGCATTGGAGTAACAGGATTCTCAGGGACTTGCAGCTATCGAAGTAGGTTATTTCATTTATCCATTCTGTGAATGAAGAATTAAGAATACAATTGCATAGGATATGGTGGGAAGATTATAAAAATAATTTCTGAAGGTTAAGGAGCTGAAGCTGCATAGAAAAAGCTGTTGAGGCATTGCCTTCTAAATCTGGATTAAAAAAATGCATAAGCGGGCCTCCCCGGTGGCGCAGCGGTTGAGCGCTGGGTTGCGAAGCTGCCCGAAGCCTCTGCAGCGCCGGTTCGATCCCCGGCTGCTCCCCGGCCACCGGAGGAGGGTCCCACATGGTGCGCAGACCTCTCCTGCCGCCCGCTGCTCCCCTCAGCAGTGTACTTCGGTCCTTCTGCCTGCTCTGCTCCCTGCCCTGGCTCTGGTGAATTCTCTCACCCTCCCGCGCTTCTGACTGTATCCAGTGCATGTATAAAGAAACAAACAAATAAATAAATAAATAAAACATGCCTCTGTAAAAAAAAAAAATGCATAAGCATCTACAGCTTCATGGTGCTGTGGTAAAGCTTTAACTGAACTGTTTTTTCTTATAAATGTAACATATATCTTAATTTAAAATACATTCTCTTTGACGTTGAAAAAAATAATTTCAGAATATAATGAATGCTATCCTATAACAGAGATACAACATGATAATTTAAGAGTAGGTAGGGTAAGGTGAGGCGAACTAATTTAGAACAGATACCTGAAAAGAAGGATCCAGCCATGTAACAAGCTGGAGAAAATCCTTCCAGAGCAAACCATTCTAAAGGACCTGAGCTTGAGGAGGAAAGAAAGCTTGTTTCACTTCTAGGAACAGAAAAGAGATCAGTGAAACTGTTAGGGGGAAAGGATGTCCTGGGCTAATTCCATGCAGGCTTTGTGGACTCCACCCCTACTCCAAACCAAAGCCATCAAGACATTGGGAAAGACAAATCCCATTACCACCAAAGGAAAGGTTGCTGGGACCTGAGGGTGAAGTTAAACAGCCAGGTTTGGTATAAAAACGTGGACCTTGGGGGTCTCTCGCCTCTTGACTTCATGGCTGGTGACTCGCTGCCAGCTCTCAGAGTGGCATTTGGGAGTCCAGATCGGAGGAACAGGTAGGCTGCATTTAAGACTTTATCTCCCACTTTTCTCCCTGAGTTGTACATTTCGTCATTTCCCCTTCCCTTGTGAATAAATATTTTATTAACCTTTTGTGTGTGCCTGCAGTAGAGTATTAAGTCCGTTTTAAGCACGCGGGTAAGGACCCACAGTCAGGCAACCCGTTTTATATCGGGGCTGCCCTGTAACAAAACCAGAAGGGGTGAGCTATAGAGATGTGGGGCAAAAGATAAAATGGTAAAGCAGGCTAACTGAGGGAGTTTGAAGCCGAATGGAGCTTTCAGAGTTCTGTGATTTTGGACAAATTAGTTAGCCTCTCAAAATCTCTGTGAAAAGAACATAATAGTACCTATCCCATGGGGTTCTCATGAGTATTAAATAGGCTGCCCGTAGTTGTTCACACAACCTCCGGCACACTCAATAATGTTATTGTAAATTATTTTAAAGACTATAGTGACCTCAAAATTTCCATACAAGTCCCCATTGCTACATCTCTTCCCACCATTGTATTTGGGGAAATTTATTGTTGTTTTTTGTTGTTTTAATCGTCAGATTTCCCATATAGATTCCATTTGATCTCAACTTGTCCAGTGCCCCTAGATGTTTGAGTCTAAATAGCTACATCCTATGTATAGTTACACTCTGCAAGTTTCAGTGACTTAAATTACTAAAAGTCACATAAAATATGTCTTTGAGGCTATTAGAAAAAAGTCATAGGGCTATTGTGTAAATATTCAATTCTGTTTTTCTAAATATGCCTGGAAATTGTAATAGACAATAAACAAGGAAGAATGATTGAAGAGGGATAGTCCATTCTCCCACTCAGCTGCAACTGTTCTGGTCAAACTGGTCCTTCTATGCCAAAATAAATTACCTGTGACATCAAGAAGAGAAGAGAGGATAAGAATAGAGAAGAAAGGCAGCCCAGTTTAGTTCTGGTGCTTTTCTCAGTTTGGTGTGGTAGTTTTAAAATATAGCACAAATCCTTTCATACTTCTCATTTTAATAAGCAGGTTCTAATTCCTCTCTCCAGAATCTAGTGACTTGCTCTTGACAAATAGAATAAAGTGGAAGTGACAACCACTGAGGCTAGATCACAAAAGATATTGGGCCATCATGCGCCTCTCCCTTGGACTACTCTTGGGGAAAGCCAGCTGCCAAGAGGACACATCAGCAGATGTATGGGCCATGTGGCAAGAAGCAACTGACAAGGAACTGAGGCACTCTGCCAGCAGCCAACTGAGTGAACCATCTTGAAAGCAAAGCCTTCAGCCCAAGGCAGGCCTCAGGTGACTGAACCCCTCGCCTTGATTGCAACATCATGAGAGATGGAGTCACACAACCCTTGCTCAGCTGCTCCTGAATTGTCAGCCCACAAAGACTATGAGATGATAAATGTTGTTTTAAGCTATTAAGTTTTGTGGTAATTTGTTACACAGTAATAGTTAATATGACATGAACTGATATTTTTCAAGACAATTTGGGAAATATCAGATAGGTAAGTAGCTACTACTTCCACTCACACATTAGTCATGACACTTAAGTTTTTAGAAATGTGTTGTCCCAAATATCTACCCCCAAATACCTATAAAATGAACTTATTTGAATGTGACTATGACTAAGTAATAAGATGTTGAGACAGAAATAGAAGTTAAAATGGCTAATAAAATTGTTAATAAAACTAATACATAAAGTTGTGTGTTTTTATAGTACTATGTACTTTAAAACTGAAAGAGTCCACTGCCCTATTCTAGTCTACCCCCAAGTCCCGCCCCTCATTTATTTAACATATTTCCTCTACATTTAATTCTGTATTTCTAAATGATATGCTTATGCTATTATTTCCCAATAGATCAATTTTAAGATTTATCATTTGACCTCCTAAGAGGAAAATAAAAATTTAACACCTTAAGGTCCCCATATTCCCTACCTGCATCTTGCATACATAATATATATATTTTCGTTAAATCACTACCCAATATTTACCTTATTGTGGGACTATGTAAGTCAAAAAATATGCTATGGTTACATCTGCTTTATTATAAAACTCTTTTGCACTTCCTACAATTAAATGCTGCCTCATTTTAAAATATGTTGTTGACTTTTTTTAATCACTGGTTCTTCCTACCTTGCCAATATAATTGTAAACTTACTCTGAATAGTGTTTTTCAGAAAGTCAGTCATATCAAGCATCCCTCTATTTTTTTTACCTAGGCACTCCTCCTGTAGGCCTCCATGTTCATGTTTTAATCAGGACTTTCTAGGTCTGTAGCACAGCTCTCTTCTAGAACTTGCCTTCCTTCCCTAACTCCTCAGGCAATTCCGCTGTCTGTCCTTTCCTGACACCTTTGTTGGGTTAGATCACATCATCTCAGTAATGTTTTGAGAGAGATTTAGAATTTGTATTATTTTTCATATCTAAAATTATCTTAATTCTGCTCTCCTACTTGATCACTTCCTTGACTAGCTGTGGAATTGAAGGACGTGCTCCATTTCCCTGTAGCTCCTGTGCATCTGTAGTGTCCTTCTGATTCTCAGTTCTTTGTAGGATACCAAGTTTTTTATGTTTTTCTTTGTGAAAGTCTTTATCTGTTAGGATCATCTTCTATCCACTGAATTGGGCACTCAGTGGGCCCTATGAATCCAGATAACCATCCTTAAATTTTGACTATTTTAAAAAATTATTTCTAAGATTATTCCCTCTCTGTTTTCATGTATTCTCTTAGTGGTACTTACAAATCAGACTGTTCTTGAATTATTCCTCTATTTCCCCTATTTCTCATCTATTCATACCTTTTTTTTTTTTAATTGCACTATCTAGGAGATTTCCTCAATGTTTCTTCAAATGCTTCTGTTGAAACTTTATGTTTTAGCTATCCTATATTTTCCAAGGACTTTTTCTTATTTCTGTTCCTTTTTTTTTTTAAAAAAGATTTATTTATTTGTGCATACAAGAGCTAAGGTACAGGTCAGAGATGCGGGGGATGAGAGTATTCACCAGAGACAGAATGGTAAACAGAACAGGCAGATTGACTGAAGTACACTGCTGAGGTGAGCAGTGAGCGAATCAGGAGAGGTCTGTTATGCCAAGTGAGCTGCTCCCTGGCTGGCCAGGGATTGAACTCAGGCTGCAGAGGCTGCAGATTGCTTCCTGTATAAACAGGAAGTTAAGAGGTTTAGTTACCATATACAGCTCTCTGTTGAGGAATGTAAGGTAAAGAAGACGAATATAGAATTCAGGTGACTTGTCTCACAATCGCGGATCATCTAAAGCATCTTGAAAGGTCTAGCAATGTACCTTGTGCACATTTATATTCCATAAATATTAATTAGATGAATGGATCTAGTAAAATATAAGCATCAACTCTCTAGTTTTTACTTATCTTTCTTCATATTGTATGTCATAAATATTCCTTTTCTTAGACCATTTTTTTCCTTTAAATTATTGCCTGTATACAGTGCCAGAAAATGTTTAAGTGTTGAGAAGTTTCCCATAGAAATCCCCATGAACCATTATGAGAACTTGGGCTTGGGCCATTTCCTGCTTTGGTCATTAAAAAAATAATAATAATAGCTGTTGTTTGCACAGTAATAAGAATTACATCAAGAAATGCTGTGTATATTAAATCTAAGTCATTTTATTGTTATAATCACTACTTGTGACCTTGTTCATCTCTAAAAAATTTAAGGTTGTTTAGCAAAGTAATAATGGATGGGAGGCTGGACTTTCAAAAATCAAAAGTTGAACTATGTACCCTGTGGTACATAGTTATGAAATAGTTATGGAATGACTAATTACTTATTTCAGATGCCCTAACACAGACAGGATTGTTGCCAGAGCAGGTAGTTGAAGAAGGAAACTCACATAAAGTCACACAGTCACACAAAGGACTGACTTGAAGGACTTTTAGGAACCCTCAGTGACATTTACTTGTGTATGAAACTGTATTTTACACATTCTAAAATCCTTTACAAATCTGAAAGGAAAAATCACAATTATCAAGACAATATAGTGAAATCCAGCAATCCCACTATTGGGTAGATAACCAAAGAAAACAAAACCATTATCTTGAAGTCATAGTTGTACTCTCATGTTCATTGCAGCATTGTTCACAATAGCCAGATTATTGAAACAACCCAAATGTCTGTCAGCAGGTGAATAGATAAATAAGATATGGTATATAGATACAATGGAATATCATTCAGCTGTGAGAAAGATGGAAATTCTGCCATTTGCTACATTTGGCCTTAACAAAGACCAAAGTCAGACAAAGAAAAACAAATACTGCATGGTATCACTGACATGTGGAATTAAACAAAAAACAAAAAACGTGGAACTCATAGAGACAGAGGATTGCCAGGAATTGGAGGTGGGGAAAATAGGTAGAGATTGGTAAAAGGGTACTTACAGTTATAAGAATAAAGCCTGAGGATCTAATGTATAAACATGGCCACTATAGTTGCTATAACTGTATTATATAATGAAATTTGCTAAGAGTAGAACTTATATGTTCTCACCAATGTGGAAAGAAATGAGTAAATATGTGAGATGACAATCTGTAAATAAACCTGAAGGGGGAAATACTTTTACAATTGTGTACATATATCAAATTACTATGAAGTAGACTAAGTATTTTACAATTTTATTTGTCATTTACACCTCAATAAAAGTTAAAAAAAGACAATAGATTAAGAAAATTGTCTTCCATGATAATTGTTTCTGATGATAAATTTGTTCTGGGTAGGAGTTCAAGTCTTATGGAATGGAACTTTTTTATTCTAATTTTTTTTTTTGGTGTAGAAGAACTGGGGTGTAGGCCAGAGGTGCGGGGGGGTGGTGGTGGTGAGAGAATTCACTGGGAAAGAGTGGGGAGCAGAGCAGGGGGATCTACTGATATTCATTGCTAAGGGGAGCAGTGGGGTGAAACAGGCTGGGGAGGCAGGTGAGGTCTGCTGTGCCATATGTGGGTTAGCTCCCTGGCCAGGATGGAACTCAGACCTTCAAGTGGGCTGTTGTAATAGCACTGAGATTTAACCCCTAGGCCACCAAGAAGGTCCTGGAATAGAACTTTAATCCTGTAAACACTAACACTCTTAAACCCTTCCATCTTACAAGCTATTGCATCAGGGTGAAATTCAGAGCTGATTCATGAGTAGATTGCTTCCTTCTGCAATCTTAAACTTTAGTCATTTAGTTCCCCTTTTTTATTGTATCTTTCATTTGTGATGACCTAATTTTTTGATATTAATACCTTGGCCATATGAAATTTCTTTATTAATGTCATTAATATAGAATCTATATTAAATATAATACAGAATAATATATATTATAATACATTAATTATAATGAATTACAATTAATTGCAATTGCAATGCATTAATTACAATTAGTAAAGAATATATTAATTACAATTAATAAAGACGTTGCTTGTTATGTCACAGTTATGTCTGAGACACATTCTCTGCTTAAGCAGCTTAAAGATATTTCAATTTAGTGGTAGAAACATGAAATAGTCAATATCATAACAGATTACATACTAAATTCCATGGAGTGTCCCTCCACATGAGGAACTGGGCCTTCTTCATCTCTATACCTGTAATGTTAAGCTCAGTCTAGCATAGAAGAAGTTTATTGAATTGAAGTCCATTCAGAGACTGGAACTGAGTGAAGAGGAAACCAGGAAGACCATACAGAATAGGGAGCAGTGAGCTGAGTCTGGCCCTAATGCTATGTACATAGGTATAATGATAAAGAACTTTCCAGGAAAAGAGATTGTATTTATATGTACACGTGGCATGCTGCAGACATTAGAATCAGAGTTTCTCAGGCTAAGTGACATCTCTTATGGGCTGGTGATTTTTTCTAGATGTCAGTTTACTTGGCAGTGATGGACAGGGCATAGACATAGGCTTTGGAGTAAGAAATATGTGAATTGGAGTTTGACCTCTACTGTACCATGTGGTTTTGAGTAATGTACAATATATAAACTTTTTATGACAACTTTTCTCAGCTAGGAAATAGGAATAGTATCTATCTTGGGCCAACCATATCCTAAGCTACTTCATTGATTGGCTTTTCGGAAAAAAAAAAACTATTTACACACAAAAAGTAGCTTGAAATATTTGAATTTTTAATGGACAAGATGTTGGAAAGCTTTCCAGTTTCACTTTGAAAATTTCTCCTTGAAAAAAAAAAACAAAACACAATTTTTTTTTTCTATTCCCACAGCAGAGAATGAGATCTGGCTCTACCACCACCCAGTTCCCTGCCCTGGTTCACTGCATCTCACTTCACAGGGCTGCTTTCCTCCTCCTGGGCTGTGGGAAACCCCACCCATTTCATCATGATGTAGTGTATTTAGTTCACAGAAAATACACACCGGATATCAATGACAAAAAATAGAAAAAAGTGACCCGTTTTATGAACACTTTTAATAGTGAGTATTTTTGACATAGTTGGTAGATACTGGGTTAAATAAAATATATTGTTAAACTGAATTCCACCTGTTTCTTTTGGCTCTTGATGTGCGCACTAGAAAACTTACATATGCAGCCCTGGTCTAGATGATCACTAACATCCTTACAACTTTAAGACTCTGCCAGGGACCCAGCGGACACGTAATTCGTACGGTTCGATTTCCTCGCGTTGCAATACTAAGGATTGGCCGGCTCCAAGCGGGCTGGGGCGGGGCCCGGCTACCAGACACAAGACCCTCCCACTCTCGCTCTCGCCCTCGGAGCGGGCGGACCCCCGACTCCCGCACGGGGGTGGGGGCCGGGTCGGCCGGGGTGCGATTCCTGGCCGCGGGGCGTCAGGGAGGCTAGGCTGGGGAGCTGCGGCCGGGCGCGGCCAAGCCGGGAAGAGGAACCGTGCGTCAGCTTCACGCGCGGGTCAGGAAGAGGCCGCAGGCCCCGGGCGGCTGGCACGGGCGCCCGGGCACGTCCGCAAGCCCCGTCGGGAGTGGCTGCCGCTGTGAGGCGGGAGAGCCGAGGGCGGGCCGGGGAGGCGGCCGGGAGGTGGGGCCGCGGGGGGCCGGCCCGCCGGGGCTTCATCTGCGGACGCGCGGCCTGCGCGGGAGAGCTGGGTGCGCCGAGGCGCCGGGCTGCGCACGGCCGGAGAGGCTATGGGCCGCCGCTGGGGCTTCCTGATCGGGCTCCTGGGGGCCGCGTATGTGCTTGGTTCCGGCCGCAGTGGACCGCAGCCCTCGGAGACGGCGGCGCAGAGGTGCTTCTGCCAGGTGAGGGTGTGCGCAGTGGTGCTACCTGTTCTGGTGCTGCGGTCCCCGCCGTGCGCTCCCTTCCGCGCGTCCTGCAGGTGGGAGTCCGGAGGTGTCTTTGCCCCTCCGCCGCCTAGAGAGAGCCCGGTGTGCCTTTGCTACCTGGATCTTCTGCACCCCACGGGGTTGGTGGGCACCGCATCTACGTGCGGACCCGCGCTTCCCGTCAGGCGTGGGCGAGAGGTGTGGGTGCGCGCTGTATGTTTCCAAGTTGAGTTATGCATCGCTGTTGATCTTTCGTACCTGGGGAGGGTATGCATCCGCTGCACGCACACTCGAAATTGTCGTTTTGACAGAACCTGTGTCTTTGCAACCTATGCTGGGTGCTTTCGGTAGCCTTTCTAGCCAGCACAGACTTTCGTGGGGTGGACGCACTCAGATCCCGTTTTCAGGCAGGAGAGTGAATTCGTGTGATTTTTCTGTGTCTAAGCCCAAAGGGTCTGGTGTCTTTGGGGCGGTACTTGCCTGTGGCTCCTCACCCTGTGTGTCCCGTATTTTTCCTGAATGTAATGAAGTTGTCTTACTGAGACACCCAAATAATTGATTTGGGTGTCTTCAGTGCACAATTTTAACTACAACGTTATTGATGATCGTTTTCTTCTGTTAATAAGAGCCTATGGGTTTCTTGAGCAAAAAATTCAAAGAAATGTGCAGTTTTTAGTATCTACAGTATCTGGTATTTAAATATCTTAGTCATTTTTTGATTGGCTTCTGTTGATAAAAATGACATTTTATGCAAAATTGATGGGTGGACATCGATTTATTTACTTAAAGTGGATTTTACTATTAATTTATTGTAAGAAATAGCATGTATAAGGGCGACGAGACAATTTCACAGATGAAAGAAGTGTTTGAGAGGAAGGGTTATTTCTTTCTCTGCTTTGAATTACTGGATTTTGTTTTGCTGGGTGATTTGGGAGATGAAATGAGTATTATCTGAGAATGTGTAAAAGAAGTTGAAAGGAACCTGTTTTATAACTAAGAGATTTAAAAGTTCATTTACACTCAGTGATTGCAATGGGCACACAGTCAAGAACTTAAAAAGAGAAAGGATCATTTTTCTCCTGATTACAAATATAATGACACAAAAACATTTAAAGAAAAAGTAAAGCAGAAATAAGTGATTTTTAAGTAAGGTATTCAGTGCTGAAAGATTTCAGTGTAAATTTTCACCTACATTCTAGAGATCTGGATAATGGAATAAAAGTACATGTTGAACTTTTCAACTTTCAATCCCTCCTGCCAACCTTTTCAGATATTTGACTAAAGTTGGGGAGCTTTTAATTTTTTACTGTTTCTTCTGATTAGTAATTATGCATTTTTTCACCCTTCACAATATTTTCATGGTTAAAATACTCCTGTAACACAAAAATCTGTTAGATTTCTTTATTTTCCTTTTAGACCAAGTGTGGCAACCTCTTTTTCTTTTCCACATCAACTTAAAAAGTAATAAAATTCGAAAGCCATTAGCCCTAAGGGTCACTGCAGGGGGAGGTGCAGCATAAAATGAATAAAAAAATAATTTTAAGAGAATTTTTAAATGGTCTACTTAAACATGAAGACAGAGTGTGTCAATTCCAATTCAGGAAATGAGTCAACAGTATACTTTAGTTCTATTGTGGTCTGTAATGGAAGAGATGGGTTAAGGGGATGAGAGGGGAGAAGTGATGTTGGACAAATGATGAATACACAAGATGAGAAAAATGGAGACAAAATGTAGACATGCTCACACACAAAGAATGAGATTAAAAAAATGAGAAAGAAAGGATAAGGAGATATTAATGGTATTATTCATTCAGTGAACATAAACACAGTGTTTATGATTTAAACACAGTGTTATGAGTGTTTGCAATACAGAAATAACTCTGACATGACCCTTGTCCTGAAGGACTTTTAGTTTACTGAATGGTGTTCACTGGGGTTTGGTGGAGAGGTGGAGATCCAAAACATTAAAAAAGCTGGTTAGCAAGTATTGCTAGAAAATACATTAAAAACTGAAATGTCACTTAAATTTGGAAATACCAGTTAAAATAGTCTCTGCCTTTCTTTGCAGTGTCTACTTAGCTGTAAAGTTCTGTTGATCTGTTCATAGTCAGTCATATCCCTTTTCTTCTTTCCTGTAGGCAGTCCCTCTTACACTTATGACTCAAATTATCATATCATTACCCCTCATCACACTTAAGGCTGACTTGCAGTAGGAGTTCAGCTAACAAGGTTTGAGCTCTGATTTGAGTCAGAGCAGCGTGTGGTTATTTCAGCTTTGACAGTCATTGACAGAGCCCTACAAATAATCAGATTAACTTTTTCAAGTGTTTATTGAAGCCTACTATGAACTCAAAATTTTAGTCCCAGTTCTTTGGTGGAGATCCAAAACATTTAAAAAGCTGGTTAGCAAATATTGCTAGAAAATACATTAAAAACCGAAATGATATTCCAGAGTACTCTACCTGGTACATTATTGGTGCTCAGCAAGTGAATTACAATATAAGATTTGAGTGCCGTATTAGCAGGAGTATGTTCTTATAATTATTCTGCTTAGCAAGCCACTTGCATGTTTTTCTAGAATTGATCTTTCAGATGAGCTGACATTTCGATATGAAACTTGGTTACTGCATATGTCTGACAGCTGCTATTGAATCCTACTAAAACCATTTCCCCTGTGACATAAGTTCTTTTGACAGTAGCCCTTCAGCGTTAGTTGTTGAAAATAAGTGGCCAATTTGCTGCAGACTTGTATGTAAATCTTCCTTATATATAACCCCCCCCACTTAACAAAATCTTCTAGAAATGCAAATGGTCAAAGGCATATGAAAAAATGTCCAACATCACTAATTATCAGGAAATGCAAATCAAAACCACAATGAGATAGCACTTCACTCCAGTGGAAATGGCCTACATTAAAAAACAAACAAACAAAAAAAAAAACAAACAACAAATGCTGGAAAGGATGTGGAGATAAATGAACCTTCTTACACTGCTGGTGGGAATGTAAACTGGTCCAGCCACTATGGAAAGCTGTATGGTGGCTCCTCAGAAAACTAAAAATGGATCTACCATATGATCCGGTGATTCCACTCATAGAAATCTACCCGAGGGACACAAAAACACTAATTCAAAAGGAAACCTGCATTCCTATGTTTATTGCATCACCATTTACAATAGCCAAAATATGAAACAACCCAAATTCCCCCAAATAGAAAAGTGGATAAAAAAGATGTGGTATATTTACACAATGAACTATTACTCAGCAGTCAAAAAAGACAAACACATGCCGTTTGCTACAACATGGATGGAGCTGGAGGGGATTATGCTAGCTGAAATAAGTTCAAAGGAAAAAGATAAATATTGGCTGGTCACATGTGTATGTGGAATATAAAGAAACCAAACACAAGGTCAAGAAAAAGTTAAAACTAGAAGCTGACCATAGATCTGAGGTATACAGCAAGGGAGGAGGAGGTGGGGTCAAAACAGGGGAAGGATGAACACAAAAGAATATGATGGTAATATGGTGGTGGAAGAATTATAGGAAATAAAAATTTATTAATCAAAATAAACCAAAATGAATAAAAAATTAATAAAAAGAATTATTAGTAAAGTAATAAAAAATTAAAGAATCTAAAATTGGTCTTTTTTCCCCTTTCGTGTACAAGTATGTGTGTAGTTTGTGTAAGCAACTTCATAATCAGGACCTCGCCTTTCTTTAAACCAAAGTTTAAATTGTACAATTCGATGTTATATAGGTATGGGCTTGAAGTATGTGAAGACTTTTCAGACAATTATAGCCCTAGTGTAGAACATTGGAGAGAATGAATCTAACAACTTTAGTCTCAATTCATGAAACCCTAATATACATATTAAAGAAGTAAGAAATACTGACACCCAGATCTGAAGGCAGTCTGAACATCTTTTTCATTTAAATTAATCAGAAACAAGTTTATAGACCCCTATGTAGTCGGATGTTTTACTAATCTTAATATGATTAGTGTTAATAATATGCAGATCCATTTATTTGAGTGCAGTAAATCTCCACTAGGTTAATAAAACAGGAGTAGTTCAGATAACCCAGAGTGGCTGCTTCAAAAATGGATTTTTTTTGCCCGGGCCGGGGGGGGCGGGGGCACATGTGTCATTGAAGGCACCCTTGCATACATGTATTTTAGCTGATTTACCTGTCTAGTGTCCCACTGAGATCCATTAAAAAAATTTTTTTTTAACTTGTCAGCCAGAGTAGCTGGGCAGTGGATGATAATACTTGATAATATGTTGGATAGCAGGTGGGAATAAGTTTAGGATTAAAATTTAGTCAAAGGGATCTTTGAAACAGGTTATACCGGAGATATGTCCATTGACTGGGTGCTTGCTACATTCCAGGCTTTTCTGAACAAAGCATGTAGAACATTGCAGTCATGCATTTATCTATTTAACCTTTTAGCAAGACCAAGATGTTACAGTGGAAATGACGTCCACATACCATGTCTTAGAAAGGTGTCAACTACCTGGTAGGGTCATTGGTGTTTCCATGCTTCCTGTTTGTTCCTGTCAAGGAATGAATAGTTTTCATGTCCCTTTTTTTTTTTTAATGGCTGAAAAACACAATAACATTAGGTACAAATAAGGTTTTTTGTGAAATGTACTTTGAGTACTTTTAAAATGTGTTTTATCTTTCATAGTTTGAGAATATATTTGTATAGTCCTTTGGGCAAAAAATGATAATATGTAGTAAGAGTAGAGGTTGTTAGTACACAAGGAAACCACTTGGAATATGTTTTTATTTTTTCTTTCATTGCAAACTAAAGGATATAATATGAGAATAGTGAACAGATAGGATAGCTTTTTTTTCTTTTCCCTTGCCTTTGTATTTGGTCCAAACCAAGCAGAATCAGTGGAGAAAGTAACTGAGGCTTCCTAGATACCTAACTAGGTTAGGTAACCTAAACAAAAGTTTCAAGTTTTGTGTTCCATTAGGGCTATAGATGTAAAAATTTTTGAAAAATTTAACTGCAAACTTGGCTTTTTTTCTTATTCATTAAAAAAATGTGGGTTGCTTTGGGAGTAGCAAGATTTCACAAAAAGCATTTAAGAATTGGTAGGGGAATAATAATAATGATTAATTTTGGGGGGACATTTACTCTCATCTTGATACCAGCTCTTTGAGGTGGGAATGTTTATTATTTCTATTTTCTATTCACATAGGAAACTGAGGACTAGAGTGGTTAAAAACCTGTGGTAAGTTCAACAGGTTACTATTAAGTAGCATAGATGGGATCCAAATCCAAGAAGATATGACTCCAGGGCCTGCTTTTTATTGCCTCCTTGTGGGTCTGTCAGAGGTGTTGCTGTGTTACTTAGAAGTTTCAATAAAAGACCTTCAAAGACTTTCCAACATTTAAGTGACTAGAAATTTAAACTGGGTGGTATCACATGTCACACCTACCTTGGTCCTAATATCTACTGTCCCTCAACTAGGGCTTTTTAATCTCTGCTTATTAATTTGCCCCTCACCTACCTAAAGCTGAACATTTTCTGAAAACTATGGAATAGCAGCTTCAAATTTTAGAATGTTCCAGCCACTTTATGTGGGGTGTGTGTGGGGAGGATGGAGGTAGGTGGGAGTGGGGCTAGACGGAGAGAGTACAATTTTTAAAAATTTCAGAGTACTGTGTTAGGGCTGTAGTTCTGTTTTGCTTTGGGAGATAGGTATTGCAGTTCTTTTAAGCAGCTTGAGCACATCATGACGCACATTAGCATCACCTTCCTTGTTACAAATCAGCACCTGTTTTTTGGAATCATTTAAGTAATTTGCTCTGTTTCCGAGATTCTATTCCAGGCCTGTTAACTGGATTTCTTTCCTAGACCTTTTCTGAGATGCTGTTCTGGTAACACAATTGGTTCTTTAGTTTCTAGGACTGGGTCTGGCATCATAACTGCCAGATTTCTGCCAGAGATCAGGTTCTGCTACCTGTTGGCAGGCTTATCTGGATGGTCACATAGCCTGGATTTCCAAGTAGCTTCCTTTGCTGGACTCTTGCCATCTGTCGAAACTTCTGTCACCCCTGCTCTAGGTCCTTAGCTGCCCTGCTCCCTATTACTGTAGTTGGGACTACCTCCTACTCAATTTCTAAGGTAGTGGGCAGAAGATTTTTCAGATTCACCATTGTCCTACCTTCTCTCCTGTTGAGGTTTCTAGGTTATAAGCCACATCTGTTGTGGGGGTATCTTGCTTTCTTCATGGTATAGACCTTCTTACAGCTTTTCTTTGTTATTTGGATAATAATCAGTACGATGGAGAGTGCAAAGGGTCGTTTTACTTTTGCTTTCCTTGCTCTATGAGTGCTTTCCTGCCACCCATGCTTGTGTGATTCGAGGCACTGTCACCACCATAGTTACGGAAATTCATGTTTACAATTAGTGTAATGCTGGCCTCCAGTGAAGGATAGTGCGAGTGGGTAGCATTCATTCATTCGCCCACAAATACTGAACATCTATGTGCTTCTAGCAGTATAGTGATAAATGCTGGGAATACAAAAGTGAAAAAAAACATGATTTTGCTCTCAAGGATTTTAAACTTTAATGGACAGGAGTGAAATAAATTCAATCCATTGAGGTGATTCTTATTAGGAGTATGTGTAGTATCTTGGCAGCATATAGAAGAGGCAGTTAACCTACAGGTGATGAGTAGTACCTGCAAGACACCTTCCCAAAAGAGGTGATGCCCTGATCTGATAGATTTTCACCTTAAAAATGAATTCCTCAGAGGGGAAGAATGGATTGCTTCAAAGCTGTCCTCTCATATTTTTTGTGTGTGGTTGTATGTCCTCTCATATTTAATGTCCTCTCATATTTAATGTGCTGCTTTGCATGTATTGTTTTGGTCTCTTCAATCTTTGTTCCTATTGTTCTTTATAAAATAACTTGTATCTAAGGGAAGAAACAGTAGCTATTTTATGTCCTTAGAAGTCTTGCTTTGAGAGTTCAAAAGAAAGAGGTGTGAAAAAGCAAGCCATCTAGGTCAGAAGCACTTTTATTTGTTAGTGCCCAAAATTAGAACTCAATCCATTGTACATTCAGAGAATTTTTAGCAGGAAACAAGAGCAAATTTGCATATGAAATGAAAATAGTTATTACAGTGATAAAATATGTACATCAGATTTTTGAAACTGAATTAGTGAGTCCCAAGCAAATAAAACTAGGCAAATTGATTAAAAAAAAAAAAAAGGTCTTAGCTATTGCTTCATCATCCAAAGTGTTCTTATCTCTTAGATAAAAAAATTCCATTACTGTTTGTGATATTCTAAAATTAAAAGTAGTATAGCTATTAATAGGTATTCTAAAGGGAAAACATCTAAATTCAGTATTTCAATAAATTATTATTTAATAAGTAGTTTATAATATAAATATTCAGGACAAAGTATAAGAATCTCTTCTGTAGCATATTGTATATTAAAACTTTTTTCTTAAATTATGATGTATTTGTTACCTAAAGCATTGTTTAATTAATCTGTTGGGTGTGTGCTTAGTTCCAAATAAAGATTTAAGAATTTTCGTTTCACAGTGGATAACATTGTCCCATTATAATATGATTTTTTGTTGCATCCTGTATAGGTGCATTATTTATTGAATACAGTTAATATATTAGTTTTAGGCGTTTGAAGATCGGATTGGCTTTGTGGCCAATTTGCCATCGTAGTTTTGTTAATAAGTAATTTCTAAGGACCATTAAAACCTATAAAAAATATTGTGATCATATATTTGAGGATTGTTAGAACCTTATAATGAATTCTTGTTTCTCTTATAAATTTAATATCAGTTATTTTTATATATTCACCAAACATGTCTCTGAGCTACACATCCTATGGAAAACTAAAAGGGTTTCCAATAGGAAAGAAGACAGAGACAACTGAATTAAAAGCATATAGTCTCAGGAAAATCAGGAATGGGAATGCAGATGCACCTCAGGAAAGACAGATGTAAGGAGGAGCTAGAAACCCCCCAGAAATCCAAGTAGTGTATCTCCTGTCTCTACTTTGCTGTTTCTTTTAAATTCTTTCCTTTCTCTGCTGACTCATATACTTCTCAGATCACATGATGAAATATGGTCTGAGTTTGTTTACTGGTTAAACCACCGGGAGAGACATGACTCCTTAATAATCTCAACTCCAGTTTCTTGGAGAGAGGACATTGACCAGGTTTGGGCAGATGATGACTCCTGGTCAGGCCTGGAGGGCATGACTGCAAAGTGATTGCAGAGGAGTAAGAGTGTGTGTGTGTGTGTGTGTGTGTGTGTGTGTGTGTGTGTGTGTGTGTGTGTGAGAGAGAGAGAGAGAGAGAGAGAGAGAGAGATTATAAACTCAGTATATCCTACAAAAGGTATTCACTGTTTCCTCTGGATATAAAGTAAAAGCAACAGAATTACTAAATTACTGTTATACCCCATCTCAGCGAATTATGGTGAGGAGGGAGTATCAGAATTGCTTAAGTAGAGAGAAAAAGTATCGCGTGAAGGAAAAGAACCCTCTCAGATCTAATATTTCATTTTCTTTCTGACAGGTTAGTGGTTACTTGGATGACTGTACCTGTGATGTTGAAACCATTGATAGATTTAATAACTACAAGCTTTTCCCAAGACTACAAAAACTTCTTGAAAGCGACTACTTTAGATATTATAAGGTACTTTTGGTTTAAATTCTTTGTAGAAAAATATTTAAAGTTTAAATGGATAATTATATTTTTCTTAAAAATTACTAAACTTCAAACTTCTGGCTGTTTTTAAAAATTGGTCAAGATTATATTACAGAAATTCATTTTGTAAGAGTGAACCCTGTGGTTCTTTGACCACCCACTGGATACTTTTAATTGCAATAATTGGGTTTTGCACTCTAAGTTAGAAACAAGTTGATTAAATTGAAGTCAGAACTGTAATTATTGTACTGTTATAAAAATTGTGAGATGTTTATGATTTTCTAAAAACATCAGATTTCTTCTAATTAAAATAATAAAATAGTTTTGAGAAGAAGCAGACTTTATTGTGACTTGTATGATTTTAATATGATACTTATCTTGAGAGAGCTACTGAAAGAATTTAGAAAACCTGATTATTGGAATATGTAGTTCAAGTCTGAGTTCACAGTTGTCTCACTGTTCTACCTGTTAACTCTTTCTTGTTTAAAAAAGAAGGTGAACTGTGATGATCTGAGCCACCTGGATTCCTAGTTGCCATCTCTTCAGGGTCTGCCAGCTAGTGGCAGTCTGCCTTTCTAACCAAGCCTAACAATTTACTTCTACCGACAACACATTTATATAATCATTGGAACGTAAAAACCGTTAAGTGGAGGAAACAATAATTTTGAGATGATAACATGACCAGGGTATAGCATCAAAGTTCAATAGCTGTCAATCATCTCAAGATTCCCATTTTTATAGTTTTTTCTATTATTTTATAGGTCAACCTGAAGAGGCCGTGTCCTTTCTGGAATGATATTAGCCTGTGTGGAAGGAGGGATTGTGCTGTCAAGCCTTGCCACTCAGTAAGAAACATGTATTTATTTAAAACTCTTCTTTATTCGAATAATTGCCACTGTTTAAAGGGGGCCAATATGACAAGAGTAATATTTCAACTTCTAGATTAAATGCAGTGGTGTTTAATATTTATAGATTAATATTGAAAAACTACATTTACAAATATTGAACTATATTACTTTGAATTATACTGCCTTCATAATAATAATTAAATTTTGTGGCCAATATCATCCTTTGACCTTTTAGTGGGATTAATAGTTCTTTTGATTGATAATTGCTTTTGTTCTTATATTTTACCTGGACAAAGTTATGTTTACAGTATAATAAAATGAAATTAATAGAAGAATAAACAAAAACCTTCTCCTTTTTTTTGTGACTGTATTGTTTTCCTTAGGTGGAAAGAGTTGGATATAATGCCTGGTTTTATTTTTTTATTTTTTTAAAGATTTATTTTATGTACTTATTTATGTATTTATGTATGTATGTATGTATTTATTTATTTATACCAGCACTGGGTACAGTCAGAAGCATGGGAGGGTGAGAGAATTCACCAGAGCCAGAGCGGGGAGCAGAGCAGGCAGAGGGACCAAAGTACACTGCTGAGGGGAGCAGCGGGCTGCAGGAGAGGTCTGTGCGCCATGCGGGACCCTCCTCTGGTGGCCGGGGAGCAGCCGGGGATTGAACCGGCACTGCAGAGGCTGCGGGCAGCTTCACAACCCAGCGCTCAACCGCTGTGCCACCGGGGAGGCCCTATAATGCCTGGTTTTAAATAGAAATTCTCAGAGCATTAAAACTTGAAAGCAGAGTATTTTATGCTTTTCAGTGAAGCCTTTTTTCTTTAAAAGTTTATCATTTTATTTTACTTTTTCATGTTGAAATATTTACAACATAAGATGTACCATTTAAAAGTATACAGTTCAGTACATTAAGTGCATTCTCTTTGTAACATCATCTACCTCCAGAACATCATTTTCCCAGATTTAAACACACTGCTCATTACATAGTAACTCCTGTTTCTCCTTCCTTCCAGCCACTTCTACTTCCTTCCTCTATGAATTTAATTATCCTAAGCCAGTCATATAAGGCAAATCATTATGATATTTTTCCTTGGGTATACAAATACCTGTTCGAGTCCCTACTTTCAGTTCTTATGGGTATATATCCACAAGTAGAATTGCTGGATCATTTAGTAGATCTGTTTAATTTTTTGAGGATTGCTATACACTCTTTCACAGTGGTTACACCATTTTGTATTCCCAGCAGCAATGCACAAGCTTTCCATTTTCTCCATATCCTTACCAAAGCTTGCTTTTTTCTGTTTTATGGATAATAGCTATCTTAATGGGTATGAAATGGTAGTGTAATTTTGAGCAGTTGATTTTTAAACGTGAACATATTGCTACATAGACCTACCTGGCATGTAGAATTAAGGCAAATGTAAAATTTTATTTATGGGTATTTTATAAAATTTACCTAAAACTTATTTATATGATTTATTAAAAATGCTAAAAATGTGGTTGATCCTTAGTAAAGTCATTTAATTGCACTTGTACTTTAAATGGGTTATTATTAACACTAGTCAGAAAAAGCAACTTGTTATACAATTATTGCAAATTTGAATCTCATTGTGAAATAACAATTATTTGTGATTATTGTTATAAAATATAGAACTACAGGATGTGACCTTGGGAAGAAGACTGGACGGGGCAGCAAACCTAAGAGATTTTTTAATTATTGATTCCCAGATTGACAAACTGACAGATGAGACTTATTTATTGTAGAACACAGCCAATTTTAGCATTTAAGAAATGTTAAAAGATAGATGTTTATTATTTGACTTGAACACGCAGAAATGCTAAAAAAGAATAAAGTGGAAGTTAGCAGTTTGTACTGAGAAACTGAGATAGAATCTAGTTATTTCACCTTTTGCAGCAATGGGGCAGAATGCCTTTCATGCCAATGTTGTGTTTTTTTCCTTAAATTGGTTTCCTGATGCAGAAGTTTTTTCTTTCTTAATTCCTCCCATCCTCCTTCCCTCCCTCCCTTCCTCTCTTCTTTCCTTCCTTTTTTTTTTTTTTTTGAGAAAAGAGAATTTCTTTAAAAGATAATTAGAAGATGTCCACTTAAAAATGTTCTTAGTTAATAACATGTATTAATGTAGCAGAGAAGTGCCATAATTAGACCTACAATTTAGAAAGATGACTGAAAGTATTTTTGAGAGTGGAGAGTAGAAAATTATGAGGTGAAAAAGAAAATCAATTAGCAATTAGATGTCATTTGGTTCAATAATCAGTAAAGCTTGAGGGCCTGCTCTGTGCCATAAGTTTCTCAAGCACTTATCTCGAGAAACTTATGGCTTAGTATGGGAGAGTAAGACTATCTGATCATTTTAATACAACTGTGATAGCCCATTAATGGAGATATACTGAAGGTATACCACTGTAGAAGCAGTGGCAAAAGGGGGGCCTCCCCGGTGGCGCAGCGGTTGAGCACTGGGTTGCGAAGCTACCCGCGGCCTCTGCGGCGCCAGTTCGATCCCCAGCTGCTCCCCGGCCACTGGAGGAGGGTCCCACATGGCGCGCAGACCTCTCCTGCCGCCCGCTGCTCCCCTCAGCAGTGTACTTTGGTCCTTCTGCCTGCTCTGCTCCCCGCTCTGGCTCTGGTGAATTCTCTCACCCTCCCACGCCTCTGACTGTACCCAGTGCATGTATAAACAAACAAATAAATAAAACATGCCTCTAAAAAAAAAAAAAAAGAAGCAGTGGCAAAAGGAGAGTGGAAAAGGAAGGCATGTAGAAACTCCACTCTAAGTAATTGAGGAATGAGACATGTATATTACTCTTAGGACAAGTCTGGGCTCAGTCCTAGTGGTTCCTAAATAGGGCAGTCTTTTGGAATGAATGAATGATCAAATTTCATTTCAAATACTTTGAAATACTCAATTTAGCCTAAATAACTAGTTTTCGTACTGAGCATTTATATTGTACATTGCTGCTATGTAGACATCTCACTATTACCTATTTTAGTATACATATTAAAATAAAGACATTTCATCATAAACACAGTGCAGTGATACCCAGAACAATTCACAGTTCTTTTTAAATCTAATATATATACAAGGTTAAACACAGTTACCTCACTACTTCAAATGATCTGCTGCTGTTTTATTAATGTCTTTTTTGGGCTAAAATATACAAGAAAACAAGACTAGCTTCCTTTTTTGTCAACACTTTGATTTCCTTTTATAGTTCATTTGTAGACTCAGGTCAGGTTATACACTGGGGCCCAGAAGGAGATAGAAAATAATAAATATTCAAATTCTCTTCTTTGCACTTGGTACTTCAAAGTCTCTATCTTTTTTTTTTTTTTAAGATTTATTTATTTATGCATATAAGAACTGGGGTATAGGCCATATGTGTGTGAGTGGGGAGGCGGGGGCAGCGGTGAGAGGGTTCACCGGTGACAGAGTGCGGAACAGAACAGGCAGACTGACTGAAATACACTGCTGAGGGGAGCAGCGGGCAAGTCAGGAGAGGTCTCCTGCACCATGTGGGTAGCTCCCTGGTTAGGGATCGAACTTGTGCTGCAGTGGCTGTGGATTGCTTAATAGGCTGTGTCTTAACCCCTTATGCCACCAGGGAGCCCCCAAAGTCTCTATCCTTTGATTTGCACCCCCGATTCCAGAAAATATTTGAATGAGGCAGATTGTTTGCTCATTGAGGCAGGAATCTCTCTACAAGTTAAGAAACCACTTATTTATCCTTTTTACAGTGAATCAAACAACATTCTTTCACTTCCATTATTACTTGGCCAATTATAAAAGAATGACAATATCCAGTATTAGTCTCAAAGTAAAAATGAACACTCTGGTGATTGAGTCTTTTTGGAGATCAATTTGGCAAATGTATCAAAAAATTTAAAAGATACCTACCCTTGAACCTTGCAGTTTTGTTAGGAATTCTCTTGCAGAAATAATTGGATAAATGTTCAAAGATGGCTATAAAGCAGTGGTGGTTTTCCTATTAACCAAATGTATAACACTTTGAGTATCAAAGGGAATAATGGCTGTGACTAATTTTACATTTCCATGCCATAAGATAGTATATGATCAACCCGCAGAGCAATTTGTTGTGGATTTTTTTTTTTTTTTACATTTTAAAAGGACAGATTTATTAGGAAAAGGAGAAAGAAAGAGAAGTACCTTCATAGTGACTGGTGGGGAGAGCTGCTGCTGCTTTTCAAAGGGAAGTTTTGTGGAAAGAAATGCCAACTTAGTTACAAGCAGGCAGGAGAGCTGCCTGTTGAATTTTTAACTTTTAAGAAATAATAACTTTGCAATTATTACAGTGTTTAAAAATAAATCTAACTTCAATATTTATTGTCTGAATTTTTCTCATAAGTCATTACAGTTTAGGACCTACCCGGTGGCGCAGCAGTTGAGTGCTGGGTTGCGAAGCTGCCCGCAGCCTCTGCGGCGCTGGTTCGATTCCCGGCTGCTCCCCGGCCACCAGAGGAGGGTCCCACATGGCGCGCAGACCTCTCCTGCCGCCCGCTGCTCCCCTCAGCAGTGTACTTTGGTCCTTCTGCCTGCTCTGTTCCCCTCTCTGGCTCTGGTGAATTCTCTCACCCTCCCACGCTTCTGACTGTACCCAGTGCTTGTATAAATAAATAAATAAATCTTTAAAAATAAAATCATTACAGTTTAAAGTATTTTAATCAAAAGAGAGAATGTCATATCAAAGCATTTTTTTGGTCTTTTTTAGGATGAAGTCCCTGATGGAATTAAATCTGCAAGCTATAAGGTAGGTCCTAGGTCCACATACTAATAATATGTCTGGTGTCTTAACAAAAAACTTGAAAAATGGGCAGTTACCCTACTTTCTTGCTCCCCTTTGCACTGAAGCCCCCTGAGAGCTATTTGTACTCAGTGGTTCCATTTCTTTTGTTGTTATTGTTTAAACTTTTATGATGGGAAGCATGAAAGAGAAAAGTAGAAAAACAAAACAAAACAATTACTCATCACCCAAGTTCAGTGGTTATCAATATGTGGTCAATCTTATATCTGTATCTTAAATAAAACTTTTTTTTTTATTTATACAATAATCAGGGTACAGGCCAGATGCGCAGGAGGGTGAGAGGACTCACCAGAGACAGAGTGGGGAACAGAACAGGCAGATGAAATACAGTGCTGAGGGGAGCAGTGGGCGAGACGGGAGAGGTCTGCTGTGCCATGTGGGATTCTCACGGCTGGCCGGGATTGAACCTGCGCTGCAGAGGCTGCAGATAGCTTCACAGTGTGGTGCTCAACCACCTGAGCCACCAGGGAGGCCCTTAGATAAGCAACTATAAACCAGAGACATACTAAGTTGGGGGGGGGGAGAGGAGGGGAGAGGAGGGATTAGGGCCAAAATAAGGGGGATGGGAATTGTACTGGGAATATAACCAAAATGAAAATCCATACATTGTGCAAAAATGAAAAATGATGTAAGAATTATATAAAATAAAAAAAAAAGAACCAAAACACTTTCCTTACAAATACTTCTTATACATCTCTAAGACAAAGAGACACTTAAAAAATATAACCATGATCAGGGTTCAGATTTCTCTAGTTGTTTCCTAGGTGCCATTTTAATGATTTGGTTAAAGCAGGATTCAAGCATTTTCTACATATTGCACTTTGCATTTCGTTGATGTGTCTCTTTTATCCCTTTTAAAATAAATTTTTAATATTATAATACTTTTAAATTTACAGTGAAGTTGTGATGATAAAACAGAGTTCCCATATAACCTACACCTAGATTCCTTTATAGTTAACATATATCACTATGATCCATTGGTATGGCCCATTATTATGGTACATTGGTGAATCAATATTGATACATTATCACTCACTTAAGTTCAAACTTTCCTGTATTTTCTGAGTTTTCTACCTTATGACTTTTTTTGCTCCAGGGTTCCAATCAGAATACTGCTGTGACTCTAATAATTTCTTGGACTTTTTTTTGCTTTTGATAAGATAAGATACTTTTGAGGCATACTTGTGAGGTATTTTGTAGAATGTCCCACAACTGGGATTTTCTTGTGTTTTTCTCATTAGACTAGGGGTGTGTTTTGGGGAGGAAGACCACAGAGGTTAATGCCTTTTTTTTTTTTTAGTCAAGGTAATGTTACTTTGTATCATTGTTTGTATTTTGTGGGTATGTAGGATCACCCCTTCCCCAAGTATTATTATCATAGTTCACCCATCACCAAAGTTTCCATCCACTGTGCTCTCTCCCCTCATCTTGTTCTCATCCCTCCTGCTCCCTTCCCTCTGGTTTCCCCAGTTCTATAATCAGTTTTCCAGGGTTAGTGTTGAAGTTTGGCTTTATGTCTTCCTTTGTTTAGTTTCTCTACAATCCACTTATAAGATATCATCCAGTATTTGTCTTTCTCCTTTTGACTTTCCCCCCAGCTTCTTATAATCCCTTCCAGCTCCATTTATGTAAATACCATTTCATTACACCATATCATGGGTATATTCTATGAACATGTCACTGTTGATGTTAACCGATAACCTGGCTGAGGTAGTTTTTGTCAGGTTTATCCACTGCAGATTTATTTGCGTCCTCCTGCTGCCCCTCCCCCCACTCCATATGCTATTCTTTGGAATAGAGCCCACATTTATCCTTGAGGATAGTAATTGGGATTCTTCCATAGGGGAAATTAGTGTCTCCTCCCTCACTTCCTTATTTATTCAGTCATTTATTTATGTCATGGATATTAACTTTATACTTTGGATTATAATTCAGTATTGCTTGACTTTGTTGCTCAAATCATTCTAGTTTGGCCACTGGGAACTCTTTCAGAGGTCTCCTATATATTATGAAAGGAGTTTTTCCATGCAGTTAATCAACACATTCTTACCTTTTATTTGTTGATTGATTTTGGTGAGAACATTTAGTTCTAATATCTTAGCTGATTTCAGCTACATAATACAGTGCTATCAACTGTAGTCACCATGTAACACAAGATCTTTAGATCTTATTTATCTGACAGCTGAAAATTTATATCCTTTTACCAACTTCTTCCTATTCCTCTAATCCCCCAGTCTCTGGCAACTACTTTTTTACTTTGTTTATATGAGTTTGACTTTTTCTTTAATCATATAAGTGATTCCACATATTATTTGTCTTTCTCTTTCTGGCTTATTTCATGTAGTGCAGTGTACTCAAGGTCCATTCATGTTGTCACAAAATAGCATGATTTCCTTCTTTTCATGGTTGAATAATATTCAATCAAATATACATATGTATCACATCTTTAGCCAGGGTATTTTTAGAACATGATACTTAGAGTAGAGATGGATCATAGACATACATGATCTAGTCCAACTCCTTATTTTATGCAAGAGAAAATTGTGCTCACAAATTAAGTCACTAGAGGCCTCCCTGGTGGCGTAGGGGTTCAGCCTCAGCACTATCACACTATGACCTTGCCAGTTTGCGCCTGAGTTAGCTCCTGGCCAGGGAGCTAATCCACATATGGCACAGCAGACCTCTCCTGTATCACCCACTGCTCCCCTCAGCAGTGTATTTCAGTAGATATGCCTCTTCTGCTCCCCACTCTGTGGTGAATCCTCTCACTTCCTGCACCTCTGACCTATACCCCAGTTCTACGAAAAAAAGAGAAAAAAACAAATCAGGTCACTAGAAAAGTGGGACATTGACTCATGACTTCTTGCCTAGTGACTTGCTTATAGCATGAAGATTTTCTCAGTGGAAATTTTGGTAATGAGTTATGAGAACTGTAAATCTATATATTTTTAAAGATTTATGTATTTATACAAGAACCGGGGTACAGGCCAGATGTGCGGGAGGATGAGAGGATTCACCAGAGACAGAGCGGGGAACAGAACAGGCAGACTGATGAAATGCACTGCTGAGGGGAGCAGTGGGCGAGACAGGAGAGGTCTGTCACACCATGTGGGTATCTCCAGAGCCAGTGGGGATTGAACCGGCACTGTAGAGGCTGCGGACAGCTTCACAGCGCTGTGCTCAACCTGATGCGCCACCAGGAAGCCCTGTGAATCTATTCTTTATTTTGTAAACATAATAGTAAATTGTGATTTCCAACAATAACAAGGAACAAAGCCTGTTACTTACTGTTTTAACTTCAGGAAAAATTTGAGGGCTTAAATTTTTGAATTTGAAATCAGAGAGATGATGCCAAAGATAAAAGAATTTCAAAATTCATTTTAAAACTTTTAAAAATGCAATAAATTGCATTCTAGTTATTCTCCTTTTCATTTTAGTATTCTGAAGAAGCCAATAATCTCATCGAAGAATGCGAGCAAGCCGAACGACTTGGAGCTGTGGATGAATCTCTGAGGTCTGATGTTTTTTACAGAGTTGTTGTATGTGTTTTCATATGAAATATTAACTAAAAAAAAAAAGAACAACACTGTTTATTTTTTTTGTTTGAAGTGAGGAAACTCAGAAAGCTGTTCTACAGTGGACCAAGCATGATGATTCCTCTGACAACTTCTGTGAAGCTGATGGTATTAACATTTTTTTTTTTAATTTATTTATGCATACAAGAGCTGGGGCACAGGCAAGAGGTGGGGGTGGTGGTAAGAGGATTCACCAGAGACAGAGCAGGAACAGAACAGGCAGAATGGCCGAAACACTGTTGAGGGGAGCAGCGGGCAAGCCAGGAGAGATCTGCTTTGCCATATGGGTTGCTCCCTGGCCGGCTGGGGATTGAACTTGTGCTGCAGAGGCTGCGGACTGCCTCATAGAGTGGTGCTTAGCCCCTTGCACCACCAGGGAGGCCCTGGTATTAACATTTTTTATAGTATACATGTTGTTTAAAATTGTGCCTAAGAAAGGATTAATTCTTTTAAAATGATTTGTTAAAACTCAATTTCTAACATTTTGACAGTTCCGCAAAAACTAAATAGAGAATTAACATGTAACTTGGCAGTTCAACTCTTAAGTATATATATATACTCAAACATTTTAGAGACAGGAAAACAGATACTGGACACTCATGTTCATAGCTGATTTTTTTTTTTTTTTTTTTTTTATAGAGGCATGTTTATTTATTTATTTATTTGTTTGTTTGTTTGTTCTGTTTACACATGCACTGGGTACAGTCAGAAGCGCGGGAGGGTGAGAGAATTCACCAGAGCCAGAGCAGGGAGCAGAGCAGGCAGAAGGACCGAAGCACACTGCTGAGGGGAGCAGCGGGCGGCAGGAGAGGTCTGCGCGCCATGTGGGACCCTCCTCCGGTGGCCGGGGAGCAGCCGGGGATCGAACCGGCACTGCAGAGGCTGAGGGCAGCTTCGCAACCCAGCGCTCAACCGCTGCGCCACCGGGGAGGCCCTCATAGCTGATTATTTACAAAAGCTAAACGGTTCGAATAGCCCAAGAAATTCGTCAATAAATGAATGGATAAACAAAGTATATACTCAGGATGGAAATACTATTTAGCCATAAAAAGAAGTAAATTCTGATATATGCTACAACATGGATAAACCTTGAAAACTTTATGCTAGGTTAAATAGCAGATAAAAGGACAAATATTATATGATTCCACTAATATAAAATATCTATAATAGGCAAACTAATAGGGACACAAATGCTGATAGATTTGAAATTATAGGGGTTGGGAGGAAGGGATGATGGGGAGTTACTGCTTAGTGACTACAGAGTTTCTGTTTGGGGCCATAGAAAGTTTGGACAGTGGTGATGGTGGCACAACATTGTGAGCATGATTAATGCCACTGGATTTTACACTTAAACATGGCTAAAATGGTAAATTTTATGTTATATATGTCTTAACCACAATAAAAAAATTTAAAAAGAAAAGTCAATTTCTGTAACAAATTTACCTCTTGAGTTTTGTTGTTCCATGTATCTCGTAATGTAGTTGTACACACATACACACACATGCAGGCATTCTGTATGACTAAAATGTGTGGATTGCCAACACTAACAGTTGTTATATTGGCATTGGATTGCTATGTATTTTCCTTTATGATGATCCATGTTATTTTTGGAAAAAAGGATATTGAACAATGAGTTGTGTCTGCAACATCTAAAACTAAGCCAGATCACTGGTACTATTAAAATCCAGCAGCCCTAGAACTCATTAGAACCTTTGATTAAGATTTGTGGATTACCCTGTTCTCCCTTTTTCCTAGTATCTCCCTTTCTCTGAGTTGAATTGTTAGCCTTTTAATGGACTCAAACTGAGTTTTGGCTCTTTTGGGGCAGATTAATTATCCAAATTAGTGAAAAAATTTTTACAAAAATTAGTGAAAAGAATTATACGGATGGGCTACTGGCTTAGGACCCCTCTCTGCTCAGAATGCTTCCTGTCTTTCTCCTTATTGGATAATAAACTTCTTGCTCTTCTGCCTAAAATAAATAAATAAATAAATAAATAAACAACAACAAAAAAAAGAATTATACAGATAATTTTAAAGACAAGTAAAAGATTAAGCCCGCAATCTTCCTCAATGCAAAAAAGGAAAAAATGAGTACTTATTTTTATTATTTATTTTTTTAAAGATTTATTTATTTATGCATACAGAGCTGGGATATAGGACAAGATACGGGGGTTGGGGGGTGAGAGGATCCACCACAGACAGATGGGGAACAGAACAGGCAGACTGACTGAAATACACTGCTGAGGGGAGCAGCAGGTGAGACAGGAGAGGTCTGCTGCGTCACGTGGGTTGCCCCCTGGCCGGCCTGGGATCGAACTCGTGCTGCAGGGGCTGCGAACTGCTTCATAGTGCAGTGCTTAACCCCTTGCGCCACCAGGGAGGCCCACAAGTACTTATTTTTAATCTTTATCTTTTCATCTTAAAAAAATTACATAACCATGTTTTGGCATATATAGGATTATAATCCCTGATTTCTAATTCCAAACTCTGAAAAATGAACATTCTCCCACCTAAGTTTAGCACAGACTCACATGAAAATTCATGTTTCACAGCAGAAATATTTATGTATTTGATTAAATGTTGCAGCCTAAGTTCCTGCTAGAGTAGAATTCAATGTATATTGTATTAATTTTATTACCTTTCTAAGATCTGAAAAGTTCTAGATTCCAAAACACATTAGCTCCTTAGGGGTATTAGAGAATGGGTTATAGACTTAGACTAAAATTTGGATTAGCAAAGGCTGGGGGGATAAAATGCTTTTTCAGTATCCTTATTTTACCATCTTTTCCATGAGGATTCTTTGACTTAAATTTTGCTGTGTGGGAGAAAGTTAAATTTCTAACATTCAGCAGATTTTTTTTAGACCTGCAATGTTAGCAAAAGAATGATAATACTTTAATTTCTATTACCCAGGTATCCTTTTGAGACTACATGCTTACCTTTGTGCAGCGAGGATTGAGAATCAATAATTCAATTTTTATATGGTGAAGTTCTGCTATTTTGAGTGAATCACTTGTCTACTAAATTAGTTTTCTTCTGTTAAAGAAAGGTGAATTTTTTTAAAAGGACAGAATTACAGGGAATAATGTATATAAAAAGTAGAAGAGTATAGAAGGCATTTTATAAATCCTAGTTGGAAATGTGAACTTTTCTCATCTGGCAAAATACGGTATAGTAATAGTAATGTTTAATAAGGTTGGAGGGATAAAGTATTTGTTATAAGTGAAATTATGAACCAGTTAATGTTTATCTCGTTAGGCAGAATGTTGAAAATTGAATAATTTCTTGGTTGGTTTTCTGTCTTACACTACCAGAGGCTGGGTAGTTTACTTACATATTCTTAAAATCAGGATTCCTTTTTTATGAATATATTATAATTTGTTATACTGTGGCAACACCTTTAGCATTGAGAAGAATTGAAATATCTATCCCTGTACTTGATGATTTCATTCAAATTTGCTTTTTTTATTTTTACTTTATCTGGTTATTTTAATTGCTCATTTTGCATTGACCTCTCAGTTATTTCTAGATGTTGTCACTGTGCTGCTTTGAGAAATAAATTTTCCCCAAATTTATGCCTCTTCTACCCTTTGAATTGGGATAAAAATAGCCAAGTTTATTCTTATTTTTGTCTTCATTGTTTTAATAATAATTAGGTAGTACTGAGAATTTGATTACCACACTGCTCAGATTTTTATGCACTTTGGTTGCTTCGAGGCCATTTTCTCTCACTTTCCTCATCTTTGTTGCTTTATATTATTAAGCTTCATAGATGAGAAGATATTGCTTGGCTTTTAAATTATTTTCCATTGGTTGGTTGGGTTAAAGTTACAATACATTATGCAAAATTTATAGAACATTCGAGAAACCAGTATCCCACCAATTTTTATGTCTTTCATATAGATATATCTGTGATTGACTTTTCTGTGATAATGCTTATCTTTTCATTATTTAAATACTCTTTGTACTTCCAGTTTTGTTACTGTAAAATGGTCTATTAACATATAACATAGCTAATATTAATTTTACTAGCTAATATTAATTTTACTCTTGTTATAAGCACCCTGCACATATAAACTTATTTAAGCCTCACAATAACACTATGAGTATTATCCACAATTACAAATGATGGCAGTAAGGCATAGAGAATTTTGCGTAACTTGCCCAGTGTTGTGCACTGAGTCAGTAACAAGTGTGTAGTCTTCTGCCTGGAAGGGCCTGTGGTTAAGGAGAATCAAAATCTGTTCTGCTTTGCTGGGCATTTAGGTTGTTTCCAGTTTTACTTTTTATAAATAATGGTAGCATGAATATCATACACATGCAATTTTTTGCATGTTTAGGATGATATCTTTGGGATAGCTTGGTAGTGGATCCTGCTGGTGGTCACGTAAGTAACCACCACTGTGGTAACAGTGCATGGTACAAAAACTTCATTTGCCTCAGTTACTGATGAACTGTTGTGGTTAATGTGGAAGGAAATGTATAGTATATTCTTTTACTGGATAGCATATGAAAATTGGATTACCATGTTTCTTTGAAATTCACAAATTTCTATTTTTGACCATTTCCAAAAAAACCAGGATACTTTTATAAGTCGTACGTACATTGAATGTGGCTATTTGTTTGATCTGAGGTTTGTTCCTCTTTTTCCTCCTTTCTAGCTTCTGAAAAGTTGTTTTCAATCTCAGATGCATACTTTAAAATTAGTTGAACACTGTCTTGTATACTAGCTTTTTAAGATAACTGAAGAAAAGATTTAATAAAACATTTTGTCTTATAGACATACAGTCTCCTGATGCTGAATATGTTGATTTACTCCTTAATCCTGAGCGCTACACTGGTTATAAGGGACCGGATGCTTGGAAGATATGGAATGTTATTTATGAAGAAAACTGTTTTAAGTATGTGTCTTTTTCATTTGGAAATTTTTGGATGATGTAATGCTTTCTCCTTATAAACAAAATCTTAATGATTTAAAAATATGAGTTAAATTCACTTTGTTAAAGGATGTATTTGGACATAGAAATATGCTTATTTATTAATTCAATTACTCTTCTGGGCAAACATGTATGCATGAAGTTCAACAAATTTGAGAGAGAGAGAGAATGCTCTGTTGCTATGTTAAACATTAGGGAGGATTCAGAGAAAATCTTTGGAGTTCCCAGTTACACTTACATTAATAAAGTGCCAGATTGTTTCTTTTTCTTTCTTTCTTTCTCTTTTTTTTTTTAACTTGAAGAGTCTCTCCAGTTTGGAGAGTGGAGATTTTTCATTATTTACTCATTTCTGCCCCATGTTTCATTTGACTTCTCTTTCCTGTTATTAGGAGTATTTAGTTTACTGACATGACTGACTGACTTTAAAGATTTCTGTTTAATGTCAATTAAATTAGAATCCAAACAAAGCATTTGTATTAGTTTTATAGTTACTTCCTAACATATATCATGATTTCCCTAATATTTCTAAACCATAAAGAAAATATAAGGCAATAAATTGAGTATGTTAAAAAATAATTTATATATTCTGTTCTCAAAATGTCTCAAGTGTACAAATTTTTAAAATTTAAATAATGGAGATGAAAACAATCCATATACTTTATTAATAACACTAATGCATATTTATCTTAAGATTTAAAAGACTTTGGTGCTTTTAACCTTTATTTTTGGTGGCATACTAACCTTTATTTTTCTTATTATAAAAATCTTTTATTTAACAAACTTGATGACCACAGGGCAAATTGATCTACCTATGATCACCTAAATGGAAAATAATTCACCACAATGTTTGTGTTGGATATATATATATTTTTTGCTTGTTTGGCTTTCCATTAAGAGTGTACTTTGTGCCATAAATGCATAATACACAACAAATAAATAATATATATTCAAATACATATTAGTAACTCTAGAAAAGAAGTTTAACTGGTATTTTCTCTCCCTGTGTTTAAATAACTGATTAAGAGATGACTGTCTGACTGTTACAATGGGGAAAAGCCAGGAACTACTATCATTTAAAAAAATAAACACCCTCCCTGAAAGCAATTAAATAAAACTAAATATTTTATGATCTCCATAAAACCATTGATTTTGGTTATTGTCATTAGGAAATTTTCTGAGATAATTTTACTCATTTAATTATGGCATGGTAGGGAATATGTTTATATTTTATGCTTTAATTCTTTTGTTTCTAGGCCACAGACAATTAAAAGACCTTTAAATCCTTTGGCTTCTGGTCAAGGTGAGTTATTTACTTGTATTGTTACATCATTTATCATCTGGTAAACTTTGGTTAGAAGGAAGGGAAAGACTCTCTAAGAGCTGGCAAGAGCATTTGATTTCATATATTTCTGTTTCCACAGAAATTATGCCTCACCCTTGCAGATAAGTTGGTGTTTAAAATATTTACACTTAAGTAATACATATTTTTGTAATGAAGTTCATGGTATTAGACTATCATAGGATAAAGAATAAGTTATGTATATTTTTTCATCTATGAATTTTTTCCAGAATATGTATGTTCAGGTTTTCTACTATTTTCACTCATCTTTTAGTTAAATGAATATCAAAAAGGGCTGTGTTAAATCTGTTTAAAAACAAGAAATTATTGCATATAATGAGAATCTGATTTCAAATTCACATTACTTTTTCTTTCATTAGCATTTTTCATTTTCTACTTATGCTCAAGGTCTGGCCCAAATGCTGTCTTTTCCACAAAATTTTCCCTGGTTCTTCTAACTTCGAAGAAATCTCTGTTCTCACAAAGTGACTTATGCCACATTTTATTTTTCTTACAGCTCTTTATACTGTCTAATGTGATCGTATTATTATTGTTTGTGTATCTATTGATCTATGCTAGTAATTTGGAATTATGGGAAGCATTTATTGGTTTCACCTCTTAATGTTGAGTCTGAAACATAATAGAAGGAAAATTTTTAAAAAATAAATGATCAGTAAAAATTGCTCTGTACATTTAATGGTCTTGTCTACAATAATGAAAATCACTTTTTTCTTCAAAAATGATTATCCACCATTTGCTGTGTGCTAGGCACTGTTTAGGTGCAGAAGGGATACAATTGAAATTCACAATCCCTGCACAGCCTGTAAGAGGCAGATGGTTTGTTAAATCATTTTAGTATATGATTTCAGACTTTTTCCTTAGGAAATATATATCCCTATTCTCTGAATATATACTTACTGATGAAATCTTTGATGTGCTTTTAGCAAATGTATAAGGATTTCATTTTTGAAATTTATTTGAAAAGCTGCTGATCTCATATAGTCAATAAACATAAATTTTCTCCTGGAAAGTAGTGGGATTGCATCATTCTCTAAACGTTGGCAGGCTTGGATTAGAAATGAAAGAACATCTTTAAACAAGGCTTTTGGGTTTATACAGAATTATATATGGTAACTCAGTGGAAGCTGTTGATTTATTGTTACCTGAAATGCAAATTCTTAGACAAGAAGTCATCTTCACTATGAACACTATAATCTGGTAAATTAATTAACCATCCTCATATAAGCTAAATGGAAACAGGCTAAGTGTTTATCAGTAGGGAGCTGATTAAATGATATATGGACTTCAAATAGCAGAATACAGGCATTATAAGTGTTGGTGAAAATTTGTATTTATTGATATCAGTAAGTGATCAACAATACACTGAGAAAAAGAAGCCGCTCTCTGAGTATGTATTATATACTTATATAAAAACATAATATTTCTAAATACCTATGCACAGAGAAAAAGAACACCAAAATATAAATGGTATTTATCTTTACGCAGAAGTTATAGATGATATTTTTTTATTTCACCTATTTTATCATTTGCAACGAGCATATGTTACTTTAATAGTCAATGATGGCATTAAATAGAAGTAAGCAAAACAAGATAACTTTTCATAGTAAATAAGCAGCTGCATATAAACTGCTATATTGTGCCTAACTTGAATCCTACAGATAATCTTTAAAAATATTCCTGCTTAAGGTAAAAATGTATAATGCCAGTTTGGAAGTTTCAGAATCAGAACAACACAAATCTCTAATAGAATCTGTGTTATAATTTTGGATAATTAAGTGTGGGAAAAGGCTCTGCCAAGCAAATAACCACAAATCCTTAAGATATTTAAGAGACTCTCAGGTGATAGATTAGTTTTTTGTCCTGTCAGTCCATATTTAATTTTGTATAAGCTGAAACAACTCTTAATCTGAACTCTTGGACATGACACCATTTAGTCAAATCAGGCATAATTCCTATATCACCACCAGAGAGAGTTATAGTTACAAGAGTCTCACTCTCAGATATTACTTATGTGGATAAACTGATGGACTAAAACTAACCATTTATTAAAAAGTCTTATTTTTAGGAAGGATAATATTTTAAAGGGGGCATCTTGGAAGAAATTTATAACAATAAATGTTTTGTTTTGTTTTTCAGGGAAAAGTGAAGGTAAGTAAATTTCTTTATTACATGTTACTTATATGATTTGCTCAGCTAATATGCATTCAGGTGGCGTTATGGAAAACATTTTTTTCTTCCCCCATCTGAGAGGCAAGTTATTTTGTATTTCTTTATCTGAAATTATTGAGGGGAATGCGGAGGTTAAAGGAAATGACTGCTGGGCCTCCCCGGTGGTGCAGAGGTTGAGCACTGGGTTGCGAAGCTGCCCGCAGCCTCTGCAGCTCCAGTTCGATCCCTGGCTGCTCCCTGGCCACCAGAGGAGGGTCCCACATGGCACGCAGACCTCTCCTGCCACCCGCTGCTCCCCTCAGCAGTGTACTTTGGTCCTTCTGCCTGCTCTGCTCCCTGCTCTGGCTCTGGTGAATTCTCTCACCCTCCCGCGCTTCTGACTGTACCCAGTGCTTGTATAAATAAAAATAAATCTTAAAAAAATAAATAAATAAAGGAAATGACTGCCTGGGCTCAGACAATACAGTCTGTTTCAGCCTCTTGGCAATGCATGTTTTATCTACTGCACATGGAAGCTGACATATCCCACCATCCCCTCCAACCCCCAGCGCCCCTCGCTGGTTGGCTCTGTTGGGGTTTCATATAGGAACATTCTGAGTATAAAATAGCAAAACATAAAGATAGGATCAGTGGACTGAACTGTTGACTTTCAAGGCAATCCTGACTCATGGGCCTGGGTATCACTGCCAACTCTAAGTTAATTGTAATGCTAAAAAGTTTTAAACATATTTTTGGTTAACTTTGTCTTTTGGGAATCTTCTCAAGATATCAACCTCAATCTCATTATCAGAGAAAAAAGTTGTTAACCTGTGGGACTATCCTTAGGAGTAACTATCTTATTTATGAGATATTCATGAAGTACTCATATGAAAGCTGTCTTAATTATATGGTATCTGACTGGATCACAGTCAGGTCAGATTGAAAATAACTTCTCCTGGACTATAAAACTGAATTAAAAATTTCATTTCATTTTAGGCTAGGTTCAAGTATTATTATAGTCTCATTCTACCAAGTTCATGGTCCAAAACTTGAAGATTAAAAAACAAAACCAAACCTAAAGTTTTTTTTTTTTTATAAGGGAACAATTACTTGCAGTCTTGCAACCCCAAAATAATAGACAATGATAATGGCTAATACTATGATAATGATAAATGCCTAGTAATGTAATACTAATGATAATGGCTAGTTTTCTAAGCAATTTACAAGTATGATTTAATTCATTCTTCCTACAATCCAAGGAGGTATTATTTTATTCCCATTTTATAGACCAAGAAAATGAGTTGCAAAGAGGTTTAGCAACTCAGCTAAATTCATATGTGTTGTAAGCAGCAGAGTTAAGATTCAAATCAGGGAGTTTGGCTCTAAGGGTCATGCTCTTAGTTATTACCTCATACTTTTTCTCTGTTAACATCTTGATTATTACTATTTTTATATGTATAATTTTATAATAGTTATATTTACAGTTTTGAATATTATTATTTTGATATCCATTGGCTTCTATAGTCTTTGTCTTAGTAAGCTGAGGCTGCTTTAACAAATCATCATAGGCTGGGTAGCTTGAACAGAAGACATTGTTTTCTCACAGTTCTAGACACTGGGAAGTTCAAGGTGCCAGCAGATTTGGTTTTTGGTGAGGGCCCTCTGTGTCTTGCAGAGAGCTCACCTTCTTGCCATATCCTGACGTTGTAGAGAAAGAAAGAGCTCTAGTCTTGTCCTCATGTGTGAACACTAATCCCATGATGGCCCCCCACCCTTATGACTTCACCTCAAAAGAGTTACTTCCTAAAACCCCACCTCCAAACACCAGCATATTGGGGATTAGGGCTTCAACATATACATTTTTGGGGGAGGACCTGCAAACATTCATTTATAACAGCGTGGATTTCTGGAAATGGATTTACTAGGTTAAAGGATATAGACATTTTAGGTTCTTGGTACATAAGACTAGTTGCTTTTTGTCATTGAGAGGATGTGCTGATTGATACCCCTTCCAATCAGTGTTCCAGTTAGTTTTACCTTAATCCTTGTCAAAGATATTTTTATCTTTACTGCTAAAGTAGTATCTATATTTTTAATTTATAACTTTTATTGCTAGAAAGATTGAACAATTTTTATGATATATATATACATTTTCCTTTGTGAATTCTCTATTCATATTATTTGTCCACTTTTAGTGGGCATTTCAGCATTTTTATTCAGTTCATGAACTTTTTACATATTTATGATATTATCCCTTTGTTGTAATTTTCAATATGCATTTTACCCAGTTGTTTGCATTTTGCTTTTGTTTAAAAAGTTTTCTGACAAACATGTTTTAAATTTTTATGTAGTCTAGTTTTATTGCTTCTTCCTTCCATTATTTTTATGTTGACTTTTTAATATTGTATAAGCAACTATTGCCAAAAGAACTGTACAGTACAATGTTTACCATCTCTAGTAAATGCGCACATGAATCATAGTTATAATTATTTCCATACTTTTATGTTATTTTAAATAAACATTTTCTTCATGTATTTTCCTGTTCCACGTGCTTATCATTTTAATAGTTTTATATTCTACCTGGTAACTAGTCTGAGGTATTACTATACATTTTGATTATATCAGAATTTACAAATTGTATTTAACAATCATCTTTCTACAAATTATCCTTTCTTCCATTTTGAGTTATTTTTTTAGAGCTTAATTCTAAAAACTGTTACCATATTTACATATATGAACAGTGATCTTATTAGGTCATAGAATATAATTGATATTTGGCTTTTGTAACATTCCCTTGAATTGCTCTTTTGAAATAGAGAATGGCCTGTACTACTATCAACTGTATACAAATAATATACTTCCAATGCCATTTTACAATTATTGATATTTACTTCTCTAATTTAAGAAAACATATATGAATACTTAATTTTCATAGCATGAACTGTTGTTAAGACTAAGTGTTTTTCCATGTATTGGATTTGTTATTTAAACTCTTTTGACCTAGTATAAAACACTATCCAGAAAGGTGTGAGTTGGGGGCTAAGGCAATGTTAATGCTTTCTGAAGACTGAGTAGTAGAGTGATAATTAATTGAATCCATGCAAATCTCTCCTTCCTTTGGAGGAATTCCAAATAAAATTCAGACCTTTAGTTAAACAGTCTTTAAATCCATTTTTGGCAAGAATATGTTGTAATACATGAAAACTCCTGAAGAATGTAACATTTTCATTTTGGCATTTTTATAATCTTGTGACTTGGTTTTTGTTTTTGTTTTTTTTTTTCAGAGAACACTTTTTACAGTTGGCTTGAAGGTAATTTGAAACGTTTAAACAAATTTAAACGATGATTTTCCCCTCATTTTCAAGAGACATGAAATGAATTGCATATTTTATATATTTCACATACGAAATTTTCATTTCCAAATTACTTTAGGCCTCTGTGTAGAGAAAAGAGCTTTCTACAGACTTATATCTGGCCTACATGCAAGCATTAATGTGCATTTGAGTGCACGGTATCTTCTACAAGGTATGTGACATTCACTTTTATTCATCTTACCACACTATTTTCAGTTATTCTTAAAATAGTCTTGGTATTTTACTGAATGGGAAGAGACTAATACATTTAAATATTAGGTAGTAAAAATTCATTCTTTTTTAAAATCTTTATTATTTTTGTTTTTATTGTAGTAACTAGCTTATCAAGAATGTAGCAGATATAGATACTGTAAGGAATAGTTCATATGTCCCAAGCTCTTCACCATCTTTGAAGAAGCTGCTCAAAATTATACACTTCACTTTAGAAATGTTCTTTTGTTTCCTTGTGGGAATTAAAATATTAGAGTGTATTATTCACTAGATACTACTGTAACAGAGCCTGTTTATTCATTTGCCAGCTTCAGACCTGGAATTTAATGGGTAAAAGCATTTACTGCTGCTCTTTATGCTTTACGAATGCTGTTAAAAGATGTGACCATGGCTGATTTTCATCAGTAACATATTTCTACTGAATTAAGTTACTTCTTAGCTCACAGAAACAAAATATAGTTTGTTTCTATTTTAAATAGAACTTCAAACTCATTACAAGTTTCAGTCATTTTTTAACTGTGTATTATTTTATGAATATGATTATATTTAGCAAGTTGGTCTCGGTAAAACACTGACTTTATTTTCCTTTTAAGCATGGGTTCTAGAGAGAAAATTTTAAGAGATAATGCTAAGTGAAATAAGACAGAAGGAGAGAGAGATACTGCATGGTGTCAGTAATAAGTAGAATATAGAGGAACCAAACCAAGAACCAGAGAAAGACAATCTCAGAAGCTAGTCCTTGAAAACTGACTAAAAGAACTGATGTATTCAAAGCAGGGAGGAGGTGGTGGGTGGGAAGCAAGAGGGAAGGGTGATTTGGTGGTGGTTGCATACCTGATAGGGAGAATCCTGAGTTACCACAATGAAAAAAATTAGCTAATAAAAAATTTTAAGGTAGAATTATTAAAGGCTAAATTATGAAAAAACGTTTTCATGGTGATATTTATTATATATTTTAAAATATTAAATGAGATTAACTTCTGTAGGCATTAAATAACATAATATAAAAAAATGAAACTTTCTTAATTTTAAAATTCAACTTTTAATATTTACTTAATTCCTTCTTCTCAGAAACCTGGTTGGAAAAAAAATGGGGACACAACATTACAGAATTTCAGCAGCGGTTTGATGGAATTTTGACTGAAGGAGAAGGTCCAAGAAGGCTTAAGAACTTGTACTTCCTCTACTTAATAGAATTGAAGGCTCTGTCAAAAGTGCTACCATTCTTTGAGCGTCCAGACTTTCAGCTCTTTACCGGAAATAAAGCTCAGGATACAGAAAACAAAATGTTACTTTTGGACATACTTCATGAAATCAAGTAAATTATAAACTTTAACATTAATAGAAGAGTGACAAGTGGTATCTAAAATTAAATTGTAAATATTCAATTTAGAAAAGTGAAACTATTTAAAGAATATTAACACCTGATTTTGCTCGTAGGTCTTTTAGAATTAAATTTTGTTTTAGTTTTATTTTTCACCTGGGTGCCAACAGGCATATATATTTAAAGAGCCTTTCTTTAACTACTTGAAGCTTGCATTATTTTCATATAAAATTGAAGAGATTGTGTTTGGTGCCAAATCCTACTATATAATACAGATAGCTCTTACATTTGATGATAAGAATTTGTTTCAGGGTATTGGGGTATTTATTTTGCCATATTTTCTATTCTTTATTATTTATCACTGACCAGTTATATTAGCAGGACTTTTAACATTTTATGATAAATGAAAATGAATATCCTTTTTAAAAATGCAGGTCATTTCCTTTGCATTTTGATGAGAATTCTTTTTTTGCTGGGGATAAAAAAGAAGCAAGCAAACTAAAGGTAATTATTTTACACATTAACTTAATTTGTAGATATAAACTCTTATGCAGGTATAAATATAAGCCCTTGTTTTCCTACTTATTACATTTGGATTCTGCACTTGAAATTTTAAGAAAAATCAGAATTGTAATCTTTTTTTCTTAAAAAAAATGAAGTTCAAAGGCAGGCCCAACTTAAGATTAGTTTGTATTATGTTCAAAGTAATAACTAGAATCTGTTTCACTGGATACTTCACAGATGTTTTTTTTTGGGGGAGGCATAGAAGAACTGGGGTGTAGGCTGGAGGTGCGGAGGAAGGAGAGGACTCACCAGAGACAGAGTGGAGAGCAGAACAGGCAGATTTACTGAAATAAACTGTTAAAAGGAGCAGCGGGCGAGACAGGAGAGGTCTGCTGCGCCATATGTGGGTTAGCTCCCTGGTGGGAATCAAACTGAGGCCACAGCAGTGATATCTCTGAGACATAACCCCTGGGCTACCAAGGAGGCCCCACAGATGGTTTTCACATTAATGATCGTATGTCAGAAACAGCGGTTATATATTAAAGGGAAGGGCTCTAGAGCATTTGTGACTGTATTAGTCTGCTTTTGCTGAAATCTGAAAATGATTTTGTTTAAAGGTTTCTCTTTAGGGGAGAGAAAACAGTGTTGTTTTGTCATTCATCTCATTTCCTGGGAATTAAAGATATTTAGGAATGCCAGAATGCAACCATAAGAGAACAGGATACCCAATAACTCATCATAGGGTTCAGTCTTTGTCTCAACTCTTTAATAGAGATCTGACTTCAAGCAAGACCATCTTTGTGGATATTTGCTTCAAAATACTACAAATTTAAAATGTTACTAGGAAGATTTATTAAACACTATGTGCACAGCATGATTTTTGTCATTAAAGGGAGGAAAGCTCGTGCCCTCAATGGATTTCTACTCTGGGGACACAGTTATATTATAGAACTATAGGTTAGTAAAGGCAGGTGGCCCTCAGTAGCAATGGACTTGATCTGATTTCATCAGAATATGTATAACAAATACTATTTGTCTGTTTCTTACTTTTTTCTCTGAAAGAAAGGACCTGATTTTATGTAGCTTTTAAATAATATACGTTCTTGCATTCAGGGTTTTTTTTTTGCTGTTAGATAATGGTTATTTTTGACCTCCTATCTACCTCCTACTTTACTTAATGCATTCTTGCTAGAAATCTCTGTGCTTATATAACCTTCCAAACTGCTTCCAGGAACTTAGAGGTGAGGGGAAGATGCTATAATAAAACTTTTTTCTCTACTGTTTTCAATATTTTCCTTATTTTTAGTACACTTGTTGGTGTATTTGAGAGGGTTTTGGTAACCATTCTTTTAATAATGTGCAGATTAGAAATATTTCTCACAATGTTTTAATTTTATGCATATAGTAACACTTTTAAAGTGAAAGTTATCTGTTATTGATCATAACATGTTCTATCATCTGGAAATTTATTGAATGTATGCATCACCTATATACATTGTTTATCTACATATGGATTTTGTAAACCTTTATAACAACTATTAAATCTTCCAGATTTCATTGCCTTATAGGATGGAAAAAGCTACTTTAGAGAAACTTTTATACTCTGTTATTCTAGTAAAAATTGTGATTTTTCTTTAATTCAAGGTCAAAATACAAATTTGTAGGAAACCTTATACCAAGTCACCCAAATCTAGTGTTATCGCTAGGTGAAGCTTTTTCATGTAGGTTTAAAATTAGCATTACTTCTCATTCAACTCAGTCCAGAACATACAGAAACATCAGATAATGTTAACATATTGCAGCAACTGGTTTTAGTAATTTGATCTTCCTATTAAATGAATAAAGATACAAGATCTGCAGTCCTATTAAATGTATTCTATATGGTATAGCCATTTTAGTGTCTAAATCTGAATAAAACATCAGAATAAAAGACTACCCCAGAGCAAATTGAGGTCCTCTTTGAATAGTGGTTCCCATCTTTGATGACATACTGCCATTTTTGCATCTTTGATCCTGTTTTCTTCTGGTTGAGGTGTGCACTTTATCACATTAAATAAAAGAGAAAAAATACTATTCTCCCCGGATATAGGCCAATTTGTTCATGACTGTTCCACCTGAAATGTATATGTAAAATTTCCAGCATAAAGTATGATAGCTTGGAATTCCGTTATAATTCCAGAGGGAGTCACTTGACTTCCCTACTTTTTCCCTTTTTCTTGACACTTTTGGATGAGCTGGATACATGTTGCCCTATTATAAACAATATAATAGCCTAGTGTTCACAGATATGTACATTCTTTAAAGTATAAAAATGAAAAAGGAATAATAAAGCAAATTCAGAATAGTTATAGCAGGTGGAATATATAAGATGTTGGAGGGATACACATAGGGTTTCAACTGTACTTTCTAAAATTTGATGCAGAGTACTTGGAGGTTCACTATAGTCTATGTATTTCTGTATGTTAATGATAATATTAGAAATAATAAAAGAAAATCTGAATGTTTTACCTAGTATCAGCAATAAGGATTTAATTTAGCTATTATGAGACTAAAAGTTTTCATTTTGCCCTTTTTCCCCTCCTGTTGGCCTCCCTTCTCTCTCTCTTACTTGTGTACTTTGGTAAATGATTTCAATCAACTTTTGTTTCCCCTCCCCTGATAAAGACATATAATAATCACATACAATACCTCAACCCAGTTACTGTTATTTGTGGATAGTTTGGCTTTGGAGTCAGGTAGATTTGGGGTCTAAGTTTGCTGTTTACTGGATATGGGAATTTAGGGGGATTACCTAACCTCTCTGAATCTTATTTTTAAAATTCATTAGGTGTAAATTATATTAATAGCTACTTTTGGATATTAGTAGCGATTTGTGGTGAAGACAAAGTAAAATTGTATATATAGATTGTGGTGTATAGGACATGCCCAATGAATGTTGATTTTAATTTTCTTCCCTTTTTTTGGTACCCTATATAGCACCTCGCACAGTGTCAGGCACATAGAAGGCACTCCAAAAATACTTAGTATTTGACTATATATTGTTTCTTATTTGTTTTAGGAGGAATTTCGATTGCATTTTAGAAATATTTCAAGAATCATGGATTGTGTTGGTTGTTTTAAATGTCGACTATGGGGGAAACTTCAGGTAAGCAAATCTAGCTCGATCTTACTTTTTTTCTTTGCACAAAGAATTATCTTATTGTTCTTTTTTTCTTATTTCTGTTACAGACTCAAGGTTTGGGAACAGCTCTGAAGATCTTGTTTTCTGAGAAATTGATAGCAAATATGCCAGAAAGTGGGCCCAGTTATGAATTCCATCTCACCAGACAAGAAATAGTATCATTATTTAATGCATTTGGCAGGTTAGTTTGAAAATTGCTTTTGCTAACCAAGTAAGTATAATGTAACATAGATACTCTCAGATAAAAGTGGTAAGGAATATCCTAAAAAGTGAAATTATCTTGCCATAAAGGTTTATGATCTTATCAAATATTTATGTAGACACACACACAGTCATTAGATGTTATTATTTTCAGCTATTGACTTTTATAATCATGACTAATTTACTGATTGGTCTTCAGTAGTAATCTTATTAAATTTATATATTTTTTCTAATTAAAAATAGTTTTTTGTGCTGTCCAAAAATGTTTTTGAAGGTTTTGGAAAAGTCATGTTAATATAGTCGTGCATGTAAATTTTCTTTGTGAAAGCATAATTTTATAAAAATGTTAATGTATCTTTAAAAAATAATTTTCACCAAAGAGATTAGAGGATACGCTTGAAATGAGGAACTTAGATTATAAAATTTAAGTATGGATGCATTTCCTTATGGCCTATAATATATAAAAGATGTAGAGATTTATATATTTATAATATATTCTAAGGACTGCATTTCTTTTCTTTTTGGCAGGGTGGGGAGGAATGTTAACAATAGAAATTTATTTCTTTACTAGTTTCAAAGGTGGAAGTCCAAGATCAAGATTCCAGTACTTATAAGTTGCACATGTACTTATAAGCACCAATGCAGTTATACTAAGATCCCATCCTAATGACCTCATTTAACCTTAATTTCCTCCTAAAGGACCCTATTTACAAATGAAACTATATTGGATTTCAACATATGAATTTTGTAGGGAACATAATTTGGTTTATAGCACTGGTCTAAATTTTTTTAATTGAAGTAACATTGCATTATATCATAAATTTCAGATTTGCATCATGTATTTCTTTACTTTTAAAATTTATGATTTAATATTTTGGGTTTGAAGTGATTCACTTTCAAAATTATTTCTCTAACACACTGACTTTTTTTTTTGTGTGTGTGTATTATTTTTTTTCAGAGTTGTAATAATTACACTTAATTATATAATTTTATTTTAAACATATTTTAATATCCCACTGTATTAAATTTATTAGCTATGTAATCATAACTAAAACTTTGATTGCAGTCTTTTATTAATAAGAAACTTTTCATTGACCAAAGTAGTTTTTAAGAAAAATCTTTTTTACCAGTGTTCTTCCTTTTTACATTTATATTTTAATGAGAAAATACAATTGGTTTAACCTTTAGAGAAGAAAAAGCCCTAAATCTTCTTTGCATTCAACAAAGTTAGAAATTACTAAAGATCATTTTTGCCCTCAGTTTGTTTGACCATGCCAGATATTTCTGAGACACACTGACTCTTAATGGCTGTATTTCAACAGTGTTATTTCATGGCGGAGAGGAGACCTAATGGACAAACTTTTTTTAATAAAAATTAGTGGATATTATACATTTATTATTTTCACTCTTTAGAGTCCCGAGGCTTTGATTCTTTGATATGGCATGTTAATTTTTTTCAGAATTCATATATGTATGCATATTTAATATATGTCTTGATATTTATATACTTTATACTTTAAATGAGTATTTTAAATACTAAGCATATGGGTATACTTATAAATACTTAAAATGCCCAAGTATTATAATACTTAAGTAATTTCATACTAAGTACATACCTTAATGCTGTGATACTAAATATATTCTTTTGAATGCATATGAATTTTTTGTTTATGTACTTTATACTTCTGTATATTATAAAATTTTAACAAGTTCTGTATACTTAAAATTTTTGGCAGTATTATTTTGTCATGTCAAATTAAGAACTAAAGTAAATCAAAGTAAATTAAATAATTGTGTACTTTTAAATTCGTTGAAATAAATTACTTTAAAATTTTTCTGTTCTCTAAAAATGCAAAGTAACTTAAAGAGAAAATTTATATAAGCTCGCTTCTGAGTGAATGTTTTCTTTCGTTTCAGAATTTCTACAAGTGTGAAAGAATTAGAAAACTTCAGGAACTTGTTACAAAATATTCATTAAAGAAAACAAGTTCAAATGTGCCTGTTTTTGGACAATGGAGGCCAAAGAGTGGAATTTCATTCAAAGGCATAAAGCAATGACAGTCTTAAGCCAAACATTTTATATAAAGCTGCTTTTGTAAAAGGAGAATTATATTGTTTTAAGGAAACAATTTTTTAATTGTGTGGTCTATGTATAATATTGTGAGTAAAAGTAATATTTGATAATGTGGTACAAATTGAATAAAATCAGGATTATTAAATTCATAAATAGTAAAACTAAGTAAATGAGGTATTAATTCTCTCAAACTAGAATTTTGTGTAAGATGCTATGTAAATAATACTGGCCAATGTGACAACCATTTAATAGGAAAATGCTAAGAAGCCTTATGAATGGCCCATAATTAACAACCTAAAATTTTTTAGTATATTTAAGGTTACCAGATTTAGTGAATGAAGATATAGAATGTCCTATAAAATTTGAATTTCAGATGAACAACAAATGGTTTTTAATACAAGTATGTTACATGCAATATTTGGGACATACACTGAAAAAAATTTCCTTATTTAAAATAATTCAGATTTAACTGGGAGTCCTTGTTTCATCTGGTAACCCCAAATACACTGGTATGAAACAAATCATTTGTAGAATTAAACTGATATTTTCACTGGGTTGTTTTGGTGTATAGAAAGATGCAGTGACAACTCAAAGGCAGATGGGGTTTGTGAACATTGTGAAAAGTTGAATAGATTTATATATTTATTCTCATAATACTTTCCCTAATATTGAATGAAATTTTGGCAAAGTGTTTTATTTTTATATAATTTCAAATTTACAACAAAGTTTCCAGGATATAACCAAGAACTCTTTTACTCAGATTCAACAATTGTTTGTATTGCTTTTTTCTTTTATGTTCTCTCCTTCAATCTTTTGAAAATCAGTTACATCATGCCCTTTGAAACCTAAGTACTTTGTGTATAATAATAAAGTTTTTTTAATGATTTTTTTAAGGAAAAAAAATCTGATACTATAATACACCTTTGAATAAGGAATCATTTCAAGTTCCAATCTAAAGTTCTTGAGTTTTATTACCCTTTTTATGCTTGATCTATATAGTCATAGGGTGTGTAATTTTTGTTTTTGTGTCTGAAGTTTATTTCCTTTTTCAGTTTGGGAGGTTTTCAGTGAAAGCACTTCAATGATACTAAAATTTGGAGGGGGTTAGAAATTTATGTTGTATGGTAATTTTAGGGGAAAAAGAAACTGTATACCTCAAAAATCATGTGCCCTTATGTCTTAGCAGGTATACCATGTTGAGAATTAACATTATTGATAAAGTGGGGTTTATTTATATAATGTTTTAGAAATATCACTTTACAATGTTGTAAACTTTTTCTTCTCTAAGTCCCTAAGGCCTAGTATAGTGCCAAAGGCATAGTGGGTATAAAATAAATATTTTTTGAATGAATGTATGACAATGTATTCAGTATATTTTAAATGAATAACCACAGAACCAAGTTTAACAATATTTGTTGTATTTTCTTTTCCCTCTTCATTTTCTCTGAGTAGGAGAGAAGACATTAACCTACTAATTAAGTCAATGTTCTTGGAGACTCAAGGACTATTAAGTGAGCACCATATATAAAAGCTTAAGGACATTTATAGCACTCTGAAAAATGTGGTAGAGGGGTTTAAATGGTAATTTTGTCTGTATATCCCTCTAATTCTCATCCCTCTGTTCCTTTTTTTTTTAACAGCCTATCTTTTGAAACAATATTCCAATCTTCGCTTTGTCACCTCCCACTTGCTCCTTAACTAAAATCTGGCTTTCAGCTCTATAGTTCTCAACAATTTCGTCTTTTGACTAAAACACCCCAATTCTAAATCCACAATTCAGTTCATAAGTCATTTTCTGTTTGACTTTTTTTTCCTGCATTTGGCACTCATCACAAGTCTTGTATAAAATCATTTTTTCCTCCTGGGTTCCTTCTGTTTTATTTGTTCCCGGACACTTCCTTTTTTTTTTTTTTTTTTAGCTTCCTTAAATGTTATTCCTGAGGCTTCCCTTGTTCTTTTAACCACCACCACTTCTCACTTTTAGGTAATTCCAGTTCAGTTATTTCTAAATCATCATCTTTAGCCCAGACTTCTCAATACAGCTGTGTGTCTTAAAAAAAATCATTCTCCTCAAAGTCTACTTTTATGCTTTTGTTCCTTACTTTGGTTAATTTCAGAACCATCTTTAAAATTTTCTAGAATCATTCCTCTCCTTTACCTTCCTCCTATCCAGTTAGTGTCTAAGTGCTATGGATTTTCTCTCTTTATCTCTGATACATCACTCTTTCTGTTACTATTGCTGTTCCCTAAAGTACTACACTTAGACCTGTTTCTTCATACCTGGCTCTCTCCCCTCAATGCTATCCAAGTTGGCTTTCAAAAAGCACTCCCTGTTAAATACCATCAGTGACTTCATGAACCTTCGGGAGAAAGTCAGATCCCTTTGGTGTACAAGGTCCTCAATTGTGTCTACCACCCCACCCCACCCCCATGTTCTGATAAAACAGACTTACAGTCCTTCTGATACACCAGTCAGGCCACTACACCTTGGTGCGTGCTGTTCTTTTGCATCAAGTGCCCTGGCCACCCTTCCCCAGAAATGTCTCTGTATCATTGCAGGCCCAGCTTAAAGAATCACCTCTATAAAATCTCCCTTGCTCATCCAAGGAAGGTCATCTAACTCCTTTTGTGTCACCACTGTAATTACAACCTACCTCTATTGTGTCTCACTTATTGTACTGTATTTTTGCTTTTTAAAGCCTCCTTTACTAGAATGTGAGCTCCTTAAGGGCAGGAAAAAAAACTATCCATTTTTGCATCTCTAAGTTTTTGGCATATGAACACATAATAAATGCTTGTTGAAAAAACTGCTTTTAAAGTGACAATTTCATTATATTAGAGGTTACAACTTCATTTCAAAAATTCTTTCACAGCATAGTGAATAGATGCCCAAGGACTTGTGGATTTTAGTTTGGGGTGGGGGAGTCCTACAATTGTATTCAAAATTTGGTGTGGTTTTGGTGAGTTATAATAGGGGTCTGCTATGGAAGAATGTAAGAATTCTTCTTTAGGGGGACAAGGCACAATTCCTCAGTGAATTTCTTGTATAATCAAAGAATAGTTGCTCAGGATTATGGGCTTGATAAATCTATTTCCATTTAAGATTCTAAGGAGAAAAAAACAGGTGTTGTGAGTTATTTCATACACAGTTTCTTCTTAGCTTAATATTTGCATAAACCTAACAATGTATTGGTATTTTAAAGAGTATAGCATGTCATATGAAATTAGTGTGCAATACTAAGGGACATGATGTTCAGATGTAATTATAAACCCACTAATTGACTTATTTGTAACTCCTAATATTTCTTTTTTCAAGGGAAGCACTAAGGAATGTTATCCTTATGTGACAGAAACGCAATCAGTATAGTCAACTGAGAGATGTTAAGAAAACCAGACCTCCAAATAAAAGCACAAACACTTTTATTTTTAACAGTAGTGTTTTGTTACGGTTTAGTGAAACAACAAATAAATACATTCATTGGCTGCAGCTATACTTTACAACCAGTTTGAAACTGATTATATAGCTGAGAAACACTGTTAAACAATAAAAAAGGCAGCTATGCATAAAAAAGCCACTTCAGCTATAAATTACATCTTTCATAAAACTACAACCAGCTATAATGGGTGGTAAGAGTTTCAAAATTATTGGCCACCCAAATGAAACGATAAAAACAAGTACTGCTGATCACTGTAAAATTACACATTTAAGCAATGAAATTCACTGTTCTAAATAATGAACAAAAAAGCAAAGTTTGAAATTGTCATCATGTGCTTCAGTGCAGGATGAACAGGGAATCGGTAGCCCTTTGATTTTACAAACAACTACTTCTTTCGAGACCAAACTTAAAGTGCTCCTAGTGCTTTGGAATTTTTAAGCAAAAATTGGGCCAGAAGCTTAATCATTGTCTTTGGTGATGTATTGTGGGTCATATGTCTAAGAAGAAAATGCAAGAATTCAGGTACCGTAGTCAGTGATTAGAATAAAGTGATTAATTTCAAATTTGGAAGAATCAACTAATACAGCTGTAAGAAGCAAGTTATTTTCTCTGAAATATTTTTTACAAGTAATCTTTGCTTACCTGTTCAAATAGGAACAATTATCACTTTGAAAATATTTATCACTTTGAACCCCAAAGATTAGTCAAGACAACACAGATTTCTTCAGATAATTCAATACTTAACATTAGGAAAATTAATAGCTGGCATTCTGAAATGAAATCTAATAACTTGTAATCAAAATATACTCAAGTGCTCATTGTGTTGTCATAATACCAAGGCTAACTTTCTGTAATACAACTTTTCAGATAGTTGGTTACAATGAAAATTTATCTTTAACAAACCCAAAGTAACATGAGTTTGTACTTCTGATTGAATCCAAAGTCATTTTATACGATAAAATGAAGACATTTCATCTGTGCGCCAGCTTCCCAAAAGATCAATAGTATATAAAATTTATTCCTTGGGGTTTCCTGTACTTGTTTATACTTTTGTGAAGTTATTGCATCATTTTTTTAACAACTGAAAAGTATTTTAAGTATGAGGGAAGTAAAACAACTTTCTAATCAAAGCAGAATACCAAAAAACAGTTGTATTAGTTCCAGTTCTGAAGAAACAGATCAGCAGACAATTGTATACAATTGGTCATTTTTAAGCACATGGTGACAAGTTTCCAAATATTCCCTTGGCATCTTGAGGTATTCAGCATCTACTTCACTCCATATAGACACTGGTTGAAAGTGCATTTTAAATTCTGCTATTACCTTAGGCTGGCATATTTAGTTATTTTTTTTTGGATTTGGGAAAAGACATTCAAGGCAGTTTTAATGTAATTTAAAAAGTATTCCAATATTATTAACCACTGGTTTTATACTGACCTAGTTAGTACCTTTACTTAAATTTGCCCATTTAATCAAGTGCTGGAATTTATATGAATATAATTTGACTTTGCCCATAGACAAGATAAAAAATATGTGAAAACTAAGGGAGGAATTACATCTTACAAAGTATTGCACTTGAGTTTGCTGAAATAATGAATGATTTAAACATTTACCTGAGGACAATCCTGATTCAGTAGGTAAGATCAGTTGTACCTTGTTTCAGCTAAATTGAAGGCTTTTTGAAATGATGTTTTAATTTAGGATTGTACATTTTATGAATAATTCATAAATGCATCTGTAAACTGTTTAGTCCCAAGAAGTTTCTACCAAAATCTCCCTATGCAAAAACCACTATTGCTTTCTTAAAGAATCATGCTTAAACTACTACATATATCTGACTTATACAAAATAATCACAACTGATTCTACTCCAAGTAGCCACATAATTTTTAGTAGTATACTTTCCTATTGAAGAAATGACTGTGACTTTCCAAAGAACACTGCTGGTCATCACTGTAAAAGTTACTACTGACAATTGTTTAAAATGATTGTTTGAATATTTTCATTTGGTACTTTACAGTCATGCTTAAAAGAACTCCTCCATGATTATGTATTTTTAATTAGATTTTTAAAAAGAATGATGCATTTTTATACCTTGATTGTGTGCACTGTTCACACTAAAAATTTTTATTGGATAAGAATTCCACATAGAGTACACCACTGAATATACAGGCTTTAATTTTCACAGGAAAATTGCCTCCTAATTTGGTGTACAGTATAATATCCCAGTGTAACACTGGAGTATGACTTTGGGGACTGCAGTGTACTCTTTCAAAACAAAGATAAAAGTGCAATTAGGCAAATATACATTTGATGTTCCAAAATCAGGATATCTGGAGACCTTCAGGAGCCTTAAGTTCTAACCCCACAGCCCTTCCACTCCAAACTTTTCATTTCACTATGAAGAGGTCACAAGTAACAGCTGGGTCCTCTGTTGAACACAGCCACATTTCCAGGTTTTATTTTCAGTTGTAACAGATGAAGGAATGTTTATGTGGATGGAATTTAAACATGTTGAATATACACATTCGTGAAAAACAATAAAAGAATCACAACTTGGTAACGCTGTCAGTTTTGTGGCGTTACGTATAAGCTATGGTGATTGTTCATATCTAAATTACTACAAGTAAAGAGCAAAGGAGCAGTATCTGTCAGAGGTCCGTTCAAGTGAGGAGAGACTGTGTAACTGCTGCTGCCACACCCAGTGATAGTGCCATACCAGCCCAAACCTTGCGAATTTGATAAACTGCAACAAAAAAAGGGCAAAAAGCCACAGGACTAAGTCACGTTGGTATTTTCAGCTTTCAATGAATTTTGTAACCGCAGTTAGTAGCAAATATATTAAAATAGACTTTTTCCCAAATAACGAATGACTTTCCACAAAATTTAATGAGTTATCTAACATCCTTGATTCTATATCATATATTACAAAAGGATGGATAAATACCACTTAGAACTAGAATTTAATTATCAGATAATAACATAGGGCTTATGATAGATTAGACTATTCTAAGATACAATGTATGTGTATATATGTGTATGTATCTGTGTACACACCCATTAAATCTTTACAACAATCCCATGAGATCAGTTTTATTATCATCCCTATCTCACGTGATAAATGGTCTCAGAAAACTGACCTCAGTTACTTAGGATTACAGGAAATGTTGTATTCAAGCTCAAAGCATGATGCAGGTGTGCATTAAGACTTTCACTTTCTCTGATTCATAGCTAAAGGTCTAAACTTAAAGTAATTTTGGAATAAGGAAGGAACAGAAAGATTTCCTATGGCACCTAAGTGTCCCAAGAGTTACCCCTAGGGATTCTCATGCAGATTTTGAACAGTACTAGTGTATGGAAACATACATAATAACTATAACAATATCCTTTCCCTGCTTACTACTCCCCCACCAGCTAAATCACCTAAGGAATCCTGAAATGAAAAGGCTTTTCTCAAATAAATGTAATATATGGTTTTAGGATCAGATGATAGCTCTTTACCATACAGGTCCTACCATAGGTTTAATATTAGCTGCTCTAAACATACCAATATTACCTGATCTTTTTATTGACATATATCACCAAATCACCTTTTCCATATTAGAGATAAAGCTTAGATTTGTTCTTTTCAATATATTTCAATACTAATTCAGTACATTTACCTTCCTTCTCTTGAACTTCCTAGTCTTGGCAAATCATCATCACTATCATATCGCCTTGGATTGTCGAAAAAGTAAGCTCTGGAACTATAACTGTGACTATTTATCATGCCAGCAGGTGCCTGTGAACAAAGTATTAGAGCATGAAGATTTACTTTTCAATTAAGAAAGGAGATGGTCTATAATGCTTTTTAGTCTTAAACTTTGCCAAAAGTAGAAAATCAATATAAATGTTCCATTATTTTCAAAAATAAAGAGAACAGGCATTAGGGAATATTATGATATCATACCAAATTCTGATTTAATCTCTGTGCCCGGAAAAACAGTACCACCGACCATGCTGGCACATGTTCCCACAGAAAGAGGACCATTCCAAACACTATATACTCTTCTCCACTTATGTCTTCTACATGAGCCTGTGAATAGAGTATGACAGAGCAAGTTTTATTTTTCTTTATTTTTTTTAAGGATTTATTTTATTTATTTATACAAGCACTGGGTACAGTCAGAAGCCCGGGAAGGTGAGAGAATTCACCAGAATCAGAGGAGAGAGCAGAGCAGGCAGACTGATGAAGTACACTGCTGAGGGGAGCAGTGGGTGGCAGGAGAGGTCTGCACGCCATGTGGGACCCTCTGGGCTGGGGATCAAACCGGCGCTGCAGAGGCTGCGGGCAGCTTCACAGCCCAGCACACAACTGCTGTGCCACTGGGGCAGCCCGACAGAGCAAGTTTTAAATCTGCTTTATGTAAAAGTAATCACTAGCTACAATTAACCTGCTTCAGGTAGGGTATGTTAAAAAAAATATAAGCCCTGAGCCAATTTTCCATATTTTGTGTTTTTTTATGTTAAGGTATTTATCCTTTAAAGAACTTAAAATATTCTAATATTTATATTAGAATAAAACGCTATTAATTTTTTCACTGCATAGATTTATGAAAATATTTTAATATATGAATAGGGAGTGACTTCATTTTTAGGTCCCACAGTCTGAAAAGAGTTATAAAAGAGATTATTGGTTTCAAGTGCTGTAATTGACAAAAGAATAGCACTTATGTGACAAAAGTAGAGAAATGTAACATGTCAGTTGCTCATCTCTTCTGTTACTGACAAGTGAGATTTGGAGCCTGAATGCTATATTGAATTTGCTTCTATTCTTCTAGGTGTTGGGGAGGGAAATGGTAAAAGCAGTGAAGAGAATCTGCCACTTGGGACCGTGTGTGAAAATACCTTCTTTTTAGAAAGGTAATTGAAATTCTGATAATAATGGTATTTCGGTATGCCTTAAAGTTAGTACTAAGTTCATTTAACATTAAGTAAAGATAGGATATAAGATTTGTGAAACTGTACTTTCAGGGAGGGAATGGAAAATGCTGGGAGATTAAACACACACACAGCTAGAGTACTAGGGAGTACAATGACAAACACCCAGACACCCAAGGAACTACGAATGCTCTCCCATTATCAAGAAGGATAGTGTCAGATTTTCACGAGTCATTATTTAAATGTCTAAAGTGGAACCAAACATTTACATTTTATGTAGTTCTTGGGTAAGACAGGAATTAATTTCACCTTAACAAATGAAGATATTCACTAGGTAATGACAGGCAATCAATTTTCCTAACAATAGCTAATACCATGCTTCAGAACATTAGTAAAATAGGTTTATGACCAACAGGTTTTTGACACTATTAGAATTATTTATAAAAGAAAATATTCCTTTGGGGTCCTCCTTGGTGGCCAGGGGTTAAGTCTTAGTGCTGCCACCGTGAAGACCCACTTCTAAGACCTGCATTCGATCCCTGGCCAGGGAGCTAACCCACATGCAGCAGACCTCTCCTGTCTCGCCTGCTGCTCCCACAGCAGTGCATCTCAGTAGATATGCCTGTTCTACTCCCCACTCAGTCTCTGGTGAGGCCTCTTACCCCCAACATCTCCGTTGACACCCTAGTTCTATGCAAAAATAAATAAAAATTTTTAAAAAAATCCGTTGGGAAGAATTATCTCTGACGAATGATTTTAAGGGTCATGTGTAAATGGAGATTTTAAAACACCATTTTTAAATACGATTATTGATAACTAGAGATTCCATAAAAGTGTTTGTAAGTCAAGCACTTAAAATGTTCTCTTAGTTAAGGTCAACTTCATTATCATATTATTAGATTGGCAATATATGGTAGGTACTTACCTTATCTGAAAGATTATCCCAGCCATAATTAAACGGACTTTCTAATGTGTCCTGAGATATGGTGATCACCACCAAATTATAACATGCTCTTGAAGAATAGAGAAGAATGACTACACAGCCTACAACAACAGTCTGGCACAGAGACATACCCTAAAAGAAATAAAAATCATCATTGGGATAATCTGCACATTTTTCATGACAAGCTATTCTTCCACATATAATATAGTCACCTCTTGCATTGAACTCCTAGAAAATATTGAGCGAGCACCTGTGGAAATAAACTCTTGATTATTTATTTTGTAATTCTTATTCCTGTGTTTTTAAACTACCTTGTGAATGTGGATAAGTTCTTCGCCAACTTGCTCAATGGCAGCATGAGAAAATTTTGTTATGCCATGGTTACTTTATTCCCTTAAGTAATATATGAATAGTCAAGTTGGTAAAAAATTGAGTTTTAATTTATATTAATCAGAGAGGTAGCTGCATAATGAGAAAAAAAGCTTTAATCCATCTGATACACTTAATTTCCAATAAGATACAAAATTAGAATAGAAATATAGCTCTTATGCTAGTTGCTTCGTTCTATTAGATTCCATTATTGTTGATATAAAACCTCTATTAATGCCATTATGTTGATTACAAAATATAAGACACCCAAATGCACTTTCTAATCCTTAATATTTTAATAATAAGGCTTTCACCGACTCCCTAAATACAGTAATTCCTTATGACACAATGATTCTTAGCTGAGGTATATCTATTACAGAGATACAGTATTACCTTTTACAGGAATTCTTTTTTTAAATTAAATTTATTTATATATATATTTTACATCATTGTTCATTTTGTACAATATTTGCTTTCTCCTCTTAGGTGTAGTTCCTGTAAATTTCCCACCACCAATTCACCTGTGCACCATCAGCATAGTCCCTTGTACTCTTTCCTCCTCTGTTTTGATCCCTCTCCCTCAGAATATCTCTGATTTACAGTTGCCTGTTAATTTTATTTATTTATTATTATTATTTTTCCTTACAGAAATTCTTAACCTGGATCTGTATTGCAGTGTCATTGGCTTCCTTTATAATCCTACTTACTTTATGCACTAAAAACATTATTATGAAAAGTGGCATCTTTGCCAAAGAGACCCATTGTAAAAAACAATGTGTAAATTTGTGTTTGGGTTGTCACAATGATTAAAGAACAATAGAGGTGTTTAGTGCACAGGTCCAGGGATGGTAAATGACCTGAAATTCACAGGAGAATCCTTCACATAAAAGAATTCTCCTCTGACTTTCATAACTTCCCATTGCTTTCCTGGACATTCATGAAGATGAAAACCAGTAATGATCTCAGTCAGAACCTGTGTTTTACATATGAACAAAATTTATGTTTGCACAGTTTAATAGATGCCAGCATTTCCAGAAACACATATAACATGTAAGCTGAAGAAAACTTGTATTGTATTTTGTTCAGTAATTTATCAATAATTGTTTAAATATTTCAGAAAACCATGACACTGACAACAACACATCAGTTGAGATACATCAGTTGGTGACACATTGTAACAGTCTGTATTTGTAGGTCCCATTCAGTTTCTATGTATAGATATAAACAGTATGCCACCAAAATCTACATATTGAGAAATCTAAAAATTATTTACCTCTTTATATTACAATTAGGGCAATTCCATTAAAAAGTTATATAATTAGGTAGGTTAAACAATATCAATTTTAGGAGAGAAACAGGATTTAAAAATGTTTCTCATTAGAAAGATGCACTGGGTAGGGTTAAGAACCATGGTTATACCACTATAGAGAGCTGTGTGGAGATTTCTTGACCTACTAAACATAGAGCTTCCATATGATATCCAGCAATTCCACTCCTAGCTATTTACCCAAAGGACACAGAAACATCAATTCCAAAGAGCACCTGCACCGCTATGTTTATAGCAGCACTATTTACAATAGCTAAGCTTTGGAAACAACCCAAATGCCCAAAAATAGATGACTGGATCAAGAAGATATGGTACATATACACCATGGAATATTACTCAGCATTCAAAAAAGATATAAACACATGCAATTTGAAGCAACATGGATGGAGCTAGAAGGAATCCTGCTCAGCAAAATAAGACAGAAAGAAAAAGAAAAATACCAGATGGTCTCACTCATAGCAGGAATCTAGAAAACTTAAGGGACCAGGAAAAAGAATAACTATAAGAAAGAAAATATCAAAATCAACAAACAACTATGAACCAGAGACACTCTATGGGGGGTGGGGAGGGGGAAAGGAGGGCTTGGGGTCAAAATAAGGGGGTTGTAATTATATGGGGAATAAAAAAATAAAATTTAAATAAAATAATAAAAAAAAACCATGGTTATAACTGACTTCCTCATCGGAGCAACACATTTAGCAGTAAGAGAACTAAAAGATGAAAAATACCTTGAAAGATTTTAGGATAGTAACAGAGCACCTTCTCTGAGCCAACCCACTACCATAACATAAATTAAGTATGAAAATAGATAAAGCCTTAGCAAGATTTAAAAAAAAATGAAAGCTAAAGGTTTTTACAATATGCTTTTTTATCTTTGTGACTCCAAAAAATAAATGTTGTTAATAACACAGTTCACCCAAAATCAATCCAGATCTCATTTTAAAAGTACTATTATTAAACAAATGGCAACAAGAAAAGTTAGACTGCTGTAAACATTACCTCTTTAAAAACCACCTGTTTATATTTACTGCTTTGCGAAATAAAATGACTGCTAAAAAGATATCTTATAATATGGTGAGACTGTTTTTACTTGTAACTACTACAAAAACTTTTTTTTAAAAAGGTAGTGAGAAAAACAGATAAAACTGAATTAATTGATAAACCAAAATAACACTGCTGCCAAAGTACATACATATAACAATAAAAGAAGCCCACTGATTTTGAAAACAAGATTATTCCGGCAAAGTACAGGATTACAAAATAACAAAACAAAACAAAAAAATGGACTCAGCAACAAGGAAAATGTTAAAAAGTTTAAGAAGACCTAAATGAATAGAGTCAGAACAATTGCACTCAGGAGCAATCTTCTGTGAATGGCTGCTTATTCCTTATTCTCCCGTCTCTGATATGTACATACCAATTTTTTTTTTGGATATTGCATACTTGACATGTAAGAGTTACTTGTCACTTGTTACCTCACTCTAGGGTCTATCATTAATTATCACAATTAACTTCAGATTGCAGATTATTAACTAGAGCTCAATATTTTAGGTATTTTATCTTTTTTAAATTGAGGAAACATTGGTTTATAACATTGCTGTTGAGGTATCTGCAGAACACTATCAAAAACTCAGCTTATCATTCACTGAGTTGTCACAAATACTTATACCTGTGCAATCCAAATGTCTACCAAAATAGAGAACATTGCCATTACAACAGATCGTTTCCTCACACCCCTTCCCTATCAGCGGACCCCAGGATGCAGAGTATCCTGCTTCTGTATTTACCCCAATTTATTTCTGTCTATGCTAGGTCTTCATGTGAATGGAATCATAATATGAACTCTTCTACTTTCATTCATTCAGATGATGTGAAATTCATCCATATTGTTAGTTTATCAGTGGTTAGGTCTTTGTGTTGCTGAGGTGGATGGTTTGGGTGACCGTATCATTCTGGCTTGCTCAAGAGTTTCCTAGTTTTAGCACTGAAAATGTCACATCCCAGAAATTCTTCAGTTTTGGGGGCACCCGGACATTTATAATCTTACATTGTAAGATTATATGAGTTTGTTTATATGACATTTGTTTATCCATTTTTTCCTCTTCATGTAGTTTCTATGAACATTCTTATACCAATCTTTTCCTGTATATATGCTTTTTATTTCTTTTGGGTAATTACCTAGGAGTGGAATTGCTGGGTCATTTTGTAGGTATTAGTTCAGCTGTATAACAAACTGCCAGATCTTTTTCCAAAATGGATGTACAATTTACACTTCCAACAAATTATGAAAGTTCCAGTTTTTCCACCTCCTAGAAAACATTTGGGTTTGTCAGCCTTTTAAATTTAGCCATGCTGATAGATATCTTATTTTGGTTTTTATTAGCATTTCCCTAGTGACCAATGATATTGTACTAATTGCCATTTCTCTTCTTTGTGAAGAATCTATTTAAATCTTTTGACCACTCCAATTGGATTATCTTTTTGTTATTTTTGAGTTATAAGAGTGCTATATATACTGGAAATGAGTTCCTTATCAGATATATGTATTCAGATATTTTTTCAAATCTGTGGCTTTCCGTTGCATTTTAGACTTGCCTTTTGGTGAAATTTTTTAAATCTTAAATCTAATTTAATCAACTTACTCTGCCCCCTTTTTAAAAATTCTCTGATCTAAGACATCTGCTTTTACCCAAGTTGTTAAGATAGTCTCTGGTATTCACTTTTGGAAGCTTTAGAATTCTTTCATTTATATTTAGGACAACAATGCATTTAAAAAATTTTTTACATGTAGTTTGAGGTGGAGTTAGAGGGTCATCTCATTCTGTATGGATACACACTTATCCCAACATCACTAGTTAAAAAGATTTCTTTTCCCTGCTGGATTGTTTTGGCTCTCTGTGCTGTTCCATTGACCTGTCTATTTTATACCAGGAGCACACTGTCTAAGTCTCTAAGTCATAAACTGTAACCCCTCCTTTTTTTTTATATGATAACTTTCTGCACTGTCCAATACAATAACAATTAACCACATGTGAGTATTTACATTTAAATTAAACTAAGTCAGTGCCTCTGACATATCAGCTACTTTTCATGATCAATGTCACTTCTCACTAGTTAACATTCTGAACAGCACAAAAACAGAATATTTTCATCATCGCAGAAAGTTTGATTGGAAGGCATTACTTTTTAAGTAAAGTTAACATTCTGAACAGCACAAAAACAGAATATTTTCATCATCGCAGAAAGTTTGATTGGAAGGCACTACTTTTTAAATAAAGTTATGTTCTTTGCATTTCCATATAAATTTTGGAATCAACTCTCAATTTCTAATTTAAAAAAAATCATGATAGAATTACGATTGGGATTCCATCATTTTGAGGAGTACCGTCATTACAATAATAGTGCATCTTATAATCCATGAACAAAGGACTCCACT